CTTTGTCAATCTCATTCATCTTTTTATAAATATCAATGATCGAACCGAGATTAGTTGAAAGATTTGAATGGTCGAAAGGTAAACATTGTTCATTCATATTTAATGCTTGTTGATAATAATCCAGAGCAGTATTTAAACTACCTTTCTTCTCATGAACATTTCCTATTGCACCGAGACATGATGCTATCTGAGAGTGTTGATCAGGGAGAACATGTTTATACATCTCGAGAGCACGAGACAAATAAGTAAGAGCCGTATCGAAATCTTCTTTAGCGTTGTATACCATCCCAATATTTTCGATTGCCATTGATTTTTGTAGATTATTACCAGGATATAAGTTTTCGTAAATTCTCAAAGATTGTTGATAATAATCGAGTGCTGTATTAAAATCACCTTTTGCTCTATAAATAAGACCAATATTGTTGAGTGAACCAGCAATATGTGGATGATTTGAAGGTAGTTGTTTTCGACGCATCTCATAAGCGATCTCATAGTTTTTCAATGCCAAATTCAATTCCTTTCTCTCATCATGTACTGCACCAATATGATTATAAATAGATGCAATATCAGGATGATCATGTGGAAGTGATTTCAACAACATACTAAAATATTTTCCTGCACGATCTACTTGACCTAATTCATTCAAGAGAAGTCTACCAAAATAAATAAGTGGTATGTATTCTTCCATCTGTTGTTTCGATAATGAAAGATATTCTTCTACTTTTTCTGCACCTTCATCAGTTGCATTTAGTTGCACTTTCCATACAGTAAGTTTAGAATCAAAACACACGGACACAATCTTAAAGAGTGAGTTGAGATTGAATAAAACTTCTTCTTCACCTTTTATTCGACTTCTATTTCCAACATCAGTAAAAATCACTGTTTTCAATAATGGATTTGCTTTTATTTCAAATAGGACTGATGTAAAATCATTTGATTGAACATTCATATGAATAAATCCAAGTGATACATTGATATTTCGTGATGTTGATAAAAATCCATTTGTTGAAATAGTTTTACCAATGTTTTCTTTTATTTTTTCTAATTCTTCATTTGGAATTTGTGTTCCACGATACAAAGTTAATGTTCCTTTATTTTTCAAAAGTTGATTTTCTTGTTCAATAGTTGAACATAAATCAATAATAAAGAATCGAAAATTAAAGAGTAATTCGATATCTTCGGTTCGAAGTGCTTTATTTAATAGTTTATAAAGAAAACATTCATCTGTGTACCATTCAATTGCTTTGTCACGAGTATAAGTCTGTTGAAATTCTTCAATTTTCTTTAATTCATGTTTATTCTTTTTATAATAATCACGACACATATCGAGCATTTGTTGTTTTGATAGTTTATCTTGTGGCATTTGTTTAAGAACATAAATTAACATTTGATGTAACAGAAATGATGCTGATTCTTGTGATAAATCTTTTAATGACTTTTGTTTTTGATCAAAAAGACTAAATGATAATGTTTGTTTTTCGACTAGATCCATTTTCTCTTTGATTGATTCTAATAAACCATGTTGTTTAGTGAATATTCCAATGATTTTATTATATTCTTTCATTAGTGGTTTATAACGTTGATGATTAGAACAAAAAATAAATATAGCAATCAAAGATCGATAATGATGAGTTTGTAAAAGTATCTGTTGAGCAAAAGCACCTGAAACAACGAGAAAGATTTGTTCATGTTTGACTGATTTGATAAAATCGAGACATTGATCAAAATGAGAATAAAACTGAACAGCTGAATTGAGTTCAGTTAACATAGATTGAGTGAGAAGATAATCATGTGAATCATTCATATTTCCATCAAGCCAAATCAACTGAATATCTTCTTTGTTGTCTGAAACTTCGTTTGGAAGAGGATTCTGTGGTCTTTGATTCAAAGATTCACTAGTAGCCATTAGAACTAATAATCAGTTTATTATTACCTTTAAAAAAATTCTGAATAAAAATATTTTATTTGAGAGGCTTTTTATATGTTGTGTGTTGCAGAAGCAAAACATTTCTTTTCTTCCTACTTTTTCTTCAACATTATCTGACAAATGAAGCGGATAATAGTGTCATGTTAAAAGTGCTTCGAGTTTTTTATGAGTCTGAGTGTCTTACTAATACTTTTTCGCGGAATGAAATAATGTTTTCGGTTCTGTTGTTTTTTGAGTGATGTTTTCGATTATGCAGCAGAGGCTTAGTAAATAAATACCGTCTACTAACGTGTGACGAATGTATAGGATCACACTAATGTATCTATATTGTATAGATAATTTTAAAAATAATAAACATTAGCTATTTTATTGCATATTTTCATACACTGCTCAGACTATATAGTCTTTGTCATTAGATATGAATCGTACCCAAACAGTTTGATTTGGTGACCTTCCTTCAATGAGTATGTATTTGGGTTAGAGTCCTGCACATGTACAGGGTTTTGCGCCTGAAATCGAACTGGCTCGTTTTTTCACGCCCAGACAGGGATGATGCGAGTCAGTTAACATTGGAGGGGGAAGGGTGTAGCAAAATTTTTGAAGTAGAAAGATGAATTTTGTGATTTTCTGCAGGTTATAGCATTATGTTTGATAAAAAATCTTGGATTTGCCGATTTTGTTGAGCAAAAATAGAAATTTTCGAAGATTGGAGGGGTGCTACACCTCCGACACTCCCCTACCCGGTCGCGATATCCCTGTGTATGTTGAGTAAAACAACCAATAAAAATATAATACAGAGAAAAATGAGTGTGAACAGTTGCGAAAGACATAATAAATTCAATGTAAGTAGGTATTATGTATTCGAAGAATAACAAATGTTTATTGATACTTTAAATAAAGAAAATGAAAACTTAAAATAACGAGAATGCCATAGATACTACACTTAAACTATGATACTTTGAAAATGATTCGAAAAATTTAACATATTAGCTTTACAATATTTTTATGATTCTCCTTGACGACAGTTTAACGAAAAAAACTGTTTTTTCAAGGTCATCTGTTTGATATGTAACACCATAGCCTGATATAGCTGCTGTTGCTGTGTTGTCGTTTTGAACATTGTTGCTTTGGGTGGTGGGCACTTGTTGATGCTGTAAAGACCGGGATTCAACTAATGAACCACCGCTAACACAACTACCTTCAGATGACGTTAAATCAGATGATCTGCATCTGATTTAGCATCATCAGTCAGATGCAGTTGGTGTTAAATCATATGGAGATGAAGAATTTGAAGCCACGATGCCTGAAACTGTAAAGTTTCATTAAGTTTTTGGAAAATAAATCCATGTGATACGTGTCAAAGTACTCCCTGTGTTTGTTTTAGTTTGATGAAAAGTTTTGAAACAACTCATATTTCATAATTATAATATAAAAAGAACTAAAGATAATCGAATAAACAATATAAATTACCGAAGTTTGTTATTATTGACAGCTGAATACTTACGTATGTGTAATGAGTATTTATACTCGAATAAAAAATAGTAACGAAGGGAAAGAGAAGAGAAAGTGGGAAAAAACGCAGAGCGCCTACGAAAACAGTGCGTTACATAACAAATTGTGATAATATGTGAAAGAGAACGACGTGTTGAATGCCATTCTTAACTACTTGTTTTCTAAATAGCAGACAGATTCCTTTATTTTTGCTTATGTGATATAGAAAAATGAAATTTCTTCTTAATAAATACTTTTCTGATTTGAGAGAGTTATAGTCTTTAACTTGGCGTTGTGATTGTAAAATGAATGTAATATTTACTGAAAGCCACACGCACACCCTTAAAATGGTTTCAAATCTTCTTTCTTTTTCGAAAGATAAATTATTTCAATGAATTACTCATCGTACATTAAATGATTGACTTAAAGATGGTAGATATATTGCTTTTGAATGTTTTCTATTTAATATTGATCAAATAAAAGAATTATTAAAAAATCGAAATTTTATTTATGAATAATATATTCAAAGAGCACAAATCATTATAACAAATGTTATAAAGAATACCGAAAGAACTGTTGTTACAATTAATGAAAGTGATATAACAAATAAACGAATAATATTTGATAAATAGTTCATTATTACAGACATAAATATACTATTTAATGCTTGTGTTAAAATAATTAACCATGTATAAATGTAAAACAATGAAATAAATTAAATAAATAAGAACTTCTTGATGAATATGTTGCTGGAATTCAATTAAGAATTACTCCATGAGTATAAAAGAAAGATATTTTGAATATGTATACATTCTGTATGATATTTTTTCAATCTTCATTCTTTATAAATACTAAAAAAACCACTTCATATACAATATATTGTTGTAGAAAGAAATGTTCAAAATATTTAACTTTAAGATTTATATACTCTCCTACATATTTAATTTTTACTTTTTCATATATTCGATTGGGACAAAAAGAACTGAATCAAAACAACAATTTCTAATGATTTTTTATTTTTAATCTATTCAAAAGTACTTCTAGTTAGTTTTTGGTTTTAAACTCGATTTTGTTAATAAATAATACAATTCTATTTTGTATAGCAGATTTTATCATCTGAAGTAATTATTGAACAGTCTGTTCGTTATTTTTGACTATAGAATTTATTCTACACATCAACTCTCGACTTTCAAAACTCATATTAGTCTTTTTTATTTCTTCTAATAAATTTCTGTAAATACCGAAGTTACAAGCCATTTCATCTTGAGGGTGAGTGTGTGTAATGAATGAGAAGAATACTCACACGCTTAATATTGCTCATACATAATAAAAATCATATATAACTTCAGTTTATATTTAAAAATCTCAGTAAAAATTCTTTTGCTATATGATGATGATAATTTTTTCACTCAGATATATTATGATTTTATTTTTATTTAGTTTTAAAAGTTTATTTTGATACATGAAAAAATTATTAGGAGTTAAAATAAACGCGAAAATATAGTGAATAAAGCAGGTATTAGAGTTAAAATAAATGTGAATATATAATGAATAAAGCAGGTATCATAGTTCAACTAATTGTTTAATATAAGGATATGAAGGCGCTAATGAATAAAAGAATAAGACCAGTATCAAGACTAATTCGAACACTCATTGAAGTTGTAGTCGAACTATTCCAGAATGATCTCGCATAAGATGACATATTATAAGATGATACTCCATTAGTAGTACAATTGGGTCCAAATAATGGATAATTTCCTGGTCCAAAACATCCAACAAGATATGGATATGTTGATGTGGCGAAATAAGCATAATTACCAATAGAATCATAAAACATTCCATTACAAACATCAAAACCTGTTGTTACTCGTGTACCTGAAGATAGATAAGGACCATAAATAACATGTCCATCTTTGGCAATACCAATGACTGTCTTCGTTTGATAACTTGAAAATGAAGATATAGAATATGTAGCAATATTTGAAATACAAGAACTAGTAGCAGCACATGATGTAATATTTCCTGTTGGAGGATTGACTTGACAACCACTACCAATATGATAATGATATATACCGGTCGGTTGACAATGAGCAAGACAGCTATCTACTGTTTCAGCGGTTCCACCTGCTGGTGGAAAAAATGGATCGATATTATTTGCTGAATCAGGAGTAAAAATCAATACACCGTCTACTGATACTCCTGTTGCAGTGGGTATAGCTGTTGTTCCATAATTAACAAAGCCGGAAGCCGATGGAGCTGCTGATGCACTAGTTACTGTGCAGAGTGTTTGCGAAAGTGATGAAACAGTGTTCAGATTTGAATTTAACGAATTAATGCTGACATCAGGATTAAAGTTTACTTCAAAATCAACATTTAATTCGGCAAAACTGCCCATGGGTACACTAGCACACCGTGGAGGTCAACCATTTGTCTGAATACGAATTTTAATAATACCACTGGCATTTCGACAAACAGCACTTAATTTCCGTTGCCAAACACAAACACCATTAATAGTTTGACCAGGACAAACAACACCACTGGCTGAACAAGTAACATTAATCCCGGTAGTTCCTACAATATTACTGGCTGTATAATTAATTGTTGTTCGAAATGATGAAGCCGCTGTTTGACAATCGGATAATGAATTAGATGCTGTTGATTGAACATTTGGTAAATTAATCATATATAGAAATACGTAAAAAGCGCAGCACAGTTGTCGGTAGGTCATTGTTAATATAATGTTCTAGCTTCTGTTGTGGATTACTAAATATATAATATGCTTATATACATGTGAATATAAATAGTAAGTGCGTAGGCAAGAAGCAAATGTATTTCTAACTTGAGGGAGCGATTGAAATTTGAATTAGCATCAGATATTCTCTTCTCTATATTTTTTTCAATACTCACTAACTGTTTTGATTATTTAAATAGATATTACGGAGTCTGAGTCTTTTGAAATAGTTTTATTCCCTTTCTTTTCGATTTTAAAGGAGACGATGCAATTTTCTTTTTTCTCTTTATATACATCTAAATACTTACAGTGATATTGAATTGACTGAAACAAGAAAATATGGATGCTTGTTGTCACAAAAAAATATTTTAGTTGAAGTAAATGATCGGATTGTTTGACGATGTTTCTTCCATAAAACAACGGTGTTATGGAAACAAACATTATTTTTTTATCAACTTTTTTCTCTCTTTTAAGATATAAGAACGTATTGTGCAAGTAAACAATCTACAGTGCTCGTTACTTCCCTATATTAAAGGACAGCATATGCATTCCGGTTGGTAAATTTAAAAAAATAGTCGTTTTCTATTTACTTCAAAAATAAAAAATTTCATTTCCTCTTTTTGAAGAATAGAACAGATAATTTTTTTTCAGTCAGGAATGTCTATTTCTTTACTTTCTCTAAACTAGTATTTATTCTTTATCTGAGATGTTTTTATAATTTAATAATATATAGTGCCAAGAAAAAAATGTAGGTTATTCCCCTATTGTCATTTTGTTTGTATAACATAAACATTATGAAACTAATCATTTTAATTGTTATTTCATCATCATCTGTGAATGCTGGCATGCCAATGACATAAGAATAGTTACTTGAATGTATAAAATAAAAGTACTGTCGAACAGTATTTAACAATCAACTGTTTTACGTACATCAAGTTTATTTCATATAAATATAAAAACATGATCTTTCATAGCACAAGAGATACTCGCGCGTAATAGGGAATAACAAGAAAATTATGTAAACAAAAATCAGATACAGTTTTAAGTATCGTTGGATCATACAATTCAACTTCATTACCATAATTTCTCTTTAATTATTGGTGATTTTTGGCTCATTTCATGATGGAAATCCAACGTATGCAATGAAAATTCTCTAAATATGTCTTTCTTCAAATAAACTGTAAAAACTTGACAGATAAAATTTGAATATTTAAAACTGAATTATTGTTTGTTTTCTTAAAACATAAATAAAATATCCGATATGATACGCTCCATTTTCAGTCGCTAATGAATATTTCGGAAAGAATGATATAAGAATTTGTGAAACTTCTCAATTAAGTCCATTTCAAATAACTAAATAGTCATATCTACTCTGATCATTCTGTTTTGATTTCTTTATAGTAATAAGTCATAAAGAAAAAGAACACATTTATATAATTATAACAATATTGTAAAAGAAAATGAATAAAAAAAAGTCATTAGCAAACGGTTAAATCAACGTCTCTTTTCTAACTGTGCAGTTATCGAAAACAAATCTTCGTGTTTGACATGATAATTCCGATGACAAAGATAGAGTGTCTTGCTTTTTTACTAGGATTAATGTGTTAGATTAACAAACTGGAGAAAAAGTACATCTTGATCGATTATATATAGATTGTGAATCACTTATCAACATGAATCCAAATGAAGAAATTATCCTACCACTTCTTTCGTTCATTATTAATAAGCAACGTTTTCCTAACTTGCAGTATTTACGTTTTATTAATTGCAAATATATCTCATCGTCATGGGTCAATATTAATAAATGGATTCAATTCATTTTTATTCATATTAATGAACATCAACTTAAATGTTTACGTTTTGATTTTATTGAAAAAGAAGAAGAACTACCTGATGTTATGACTATTGATGAAATAATAAACATAACTGAGTCTTTATGCATTATCGATATCCAACAATTTATATCAGAAGATTATATTTCATATTGGATAGAAAGAAAATAAAAATAAATTTTTGTATATCGTTATTAGTTTGTTTTATATAGTTAAATCAAAAACTATAAATCATTCTTGAACTATTCTCATGAAAATAAAAGATGTTTGGTATAAAAATAAGTTTTATAATATAGATGTGTCTAACAGTCATAAATGAATTATCATTGTAATGCCTACAATCTCAAACGTATAAACAATATACGCTTATTTTCTAATAAATCATCGTATTTGGCTTTTTAATTTTCTATTCTACACTTCTCACATTGTTCACATTTAAACGTTTTTCTTACTTTTGCTGTCGATTTTAGGCTATTCTTGAGTATAACACAACGTATATTGAATAAAACAATCAATAAAAATATAATACAGAGAAAAATAAGTATGAACAGCTACGAATAGCTAAAATTGATGATGATGATCTTTAGATTATTTAAAATAAGATTATAAATTTTTAAAAGAAAAGAGACTCAATTATTATTTTATCCTAACTTTCATCTGTATTATTGTCTGCTTATCAATACATTTATTTATTTATCTATGACAGAATTTGCGTCAATAAAATTGGCTTACGCAACAAAAATAGAATATTGTTCGAATTAATTTATCTTTAACTATTATTTGTTATTTGGAGTCTAATATGAATGAAATAGTATATGTAGAGTTCTATCAATAAAAAAAATACTATTTCATTTGTTATCTAAATGATATATTATGTTTCTCATATAAAATGTACGGTTGTGTAGAGATAATATTGTTGAATACCACTGACGTTTTAGTCAAAAATTGAAAATATAAAATACTTCTTTACATAGATATTGTTTCATCTGAATAGAGCCCTGCGGTTCCGAAAAAAATAGAACCGAAAACCGAATCGGAACCGGAGTTTTTCAATTTCTGTTATCCGGAACCGCAGGGCTCTACATCTGAATAATACCATTATTTACACATACTTTCATATTTGTTATCTATTCAGTGGTCTGTGAATGTCAAGAGAGATCCATGTCTGCATTTTTACTATTATTACTACTGTTTTCCTTTTCAAAAAGAATCTATTTTCTTATTTCTTATTTTATTTAGCACAAGATTAATGAAACACAATAAGTTTTACATGAAACTGTTCGTTATTTTGACAGAGACAACAGAATCGATGAAAAACTAAAGCATTTTATCACTGAATTAAACATTCTTTACTCTTAACGACAGTGGACAGTTTCTTATTGCTTGAAGTTTTTTTATTCTTCTTTTCTTGAGGTGAAACTGACAGTTGTTTATCTTTCAGTCTGATAATATCTGTTTCACCTCTCTTCACCATTTCATGTTCTGCTCCATAATTTGCTTGATAGATCGAAAGACTTTCATTGAAATAACGAAGTGCTTCGGATAAGTTGTTCATATCTCTATAATCTATGCCAATATTTCTTAAGCTGTTTGCGATATCAACATGATCAGAAGACAATATTTGACGTTTGAGTTCAAGTGCTTTAAGGTCACATCGTAATGCATCTTCATTCATATCATACTTGGAATATAAACAACCCATTGATGTCAAACATACAGAAGTGAATTCATAATCAGATGGTGTACAATTCTCTAATACAGATAGAGCTTGTTCATAGTATTGTAACGCTTCGTTTCGATTGTCATCCCTAATTAAATCACCCATGATCTTTAATGTTCGAGCAATACGAGGATGATTTTCACCTAATCTACTTTTTTGAATAACAAGTTTTTGTTGACACAAGTCTAAGGCTTTGTCAATCTCATTCATGGTTTTATAAGTATCGATGATCCAACCGAGATGATCAGAAAGATTCGAATGCTCGAAAGGTAAACATTGTTCTTCCATATTTAGTTGTTGTTGATAATAATCCAGAGCAATATTTAAATTACCTTTCTTCTCATGAGCATATCCTATTGCACCGAGACATGTTGCTATCTGAGAGTGTTGATCAGGGAGAACATGTTTAAACATGTCGAGAGCACGAGACAAATAAGTAAGAGCTGTATCTAAATCTCCTTTATCACTGTATACCCTCCCAATATTTCCAATGCTCATTGCTTTTTGCAGATTATTACCAGGATATAACTTTTCCTCAATAGTCAAAGCCTGTTGATAATAATCGAGTGCTGTATTAAAATCACCTTTTGCTTTATAAATAAAACCAATATTGTTTAGTGAACCAGCAATGTGAGGATGATTTGAAGGTAGTTGCTTTCGACGCATCTCATAAGCTATCTCGAAGTTTTTTAATGCCAAATTCAATTCATTTCTATCGTAATGTACTGCACCAATATGATTATAAACAGCTGCAATATCAGGATGATCATGTGGAAGCGATTTCAACAACATATTAAAATATTTTCCTGCACGATCTACTTGACCTAATTCATATAAGAAAAGTCTACCAAAATAAATAAGTGGTGTGTATTCTTCCATCTGTTGTTTTGATAATAACAGATATTCTTCTACTTTTTCTGCACCTTCATCAGTTGCATTCAATTCCACTTTCCATACAGTCAGTTTAGAATCAAAACCGACAGAAACAATCTTAAACAGCGAATTGAGATTGAATAGAACTTCTTCTTCACCTTTTATTCGACTTCTATCTCCAACATCAGTAAAAATCACTGTTTTCAATAGTGGATTTGCTTTAATTTCAAATAAAACCGATGTAAGATCATTTGATTGAGCATTCATATGAATAAATCGAAGTGATACATCGATATTTCGTGATGTTGATAAAAATCCATTAGTTGAAATAGTTTTACCAATGTTTTCTTTTATTTTTTCTAATTCTTCATTTGGAATTTGTGTTCCACGATACAAAGTTAATGTTCCTTTATTTTCCAAAAGTTGATTTTCTTGTTCAATAGCTGCACATAAATCGACAATAAAGAATCGAAAATTGAAGAGTAATTCGATATCTTCAGTTCGAAGTGCTTTATTTAGTAGTTTATAAAGAAAACATTCATCTGTGTACCATTCAATCGCTTTGTCACGAGTATAAGTATTTTGAAATTCTTTAATATTCTTCAATTCTTCTTTATTCTGTTTATAATAATTACGACACATATCGAGCATTTGTTGTTTTGATAGTTCATCTTGTGACATTTGTTTCAAAACATAAATTAACATCTGATGTAAGAGAAATGAAGCTGATTCTTGTGATAGGTCTTTCAATGACTTTTGTTTTTGATCAAAAAGACTAAATGATAATGTTTGTTTTTCAACTAGATTCACTTTTTGTTTGATTGATTCTAATAAATCATGTTGTTTAGTGAATATTCCAACGATTTTAGTATATTCTTCCATTAATGGTTTATAACGTTGATCGTTAGAACAAAAGATAAATATAGCAACCAAAGATCGATGATGATGACTTTGTAAAAGTATTTGTTGAGCAAAAGCACCTGAAACAATCAGAAAGATTTGTTCATGTTTGACTGATTTGATAAAATCGAGACATCGATCAAAATGAGAATAAAACTGCACAGCTGGATTGAGTTGAACTAACATAGATTGAGTGAGAAGATAATCATGTGACTCATTCATATTTCCATCAAGCCAAATCAACTGAATATCTTCTTTGTTGTCTGAAACTTGATTTGGAAGCGGATTCTGTTGCCTTTGATTGAAAGATTCACTAGTAGCCATTATAACTAATAATCACTTTATTATTACCTTAAAAAAATTCTCAACAAAAGTATTTTGTTTCAGAGGCTTTTTATATGTTGTGTTGTAGAAGCAAAACATATTTTTCTTCGTACTTTTTTCCAACGTTCTTTGATAGACAAAATCGGCGAAAGTGGAATATTAAAAGTGCTTCAGGTTGTTTTGCGAGAGCGAATGTCGTACTGTTACTTGTTCGCGGAATAAAATAATGTTTTTGGTTCTGTTTTTTTCTTTTTTGAGTGATTTGTTTGATTATGCAGTACAGGTTTAGTAAAGAAATACCTTCCACTAACGTGTGACGAATGTATAGGATCACTCATGCATCTATATTGTATAGATATTTTTAAAAATAATAAACGTTAGCGATTTTATTGCATATTTTCATACACTCTTCAGGCTATTGAGTCTTTGTCACTAGACATGAACCGCACCAAAACAGTTTGATTTGGTGACCTTTATTCAATGAGTATGTGTTTGGGTTAGAGTCGTGCATGGGTACAGGGTTTTGCGCCCGAAATCGAACTGGCTCGTTTTTTAAAGCCCAGACAGGGATGGCGCGAGTCAGTCACCATTGGAGGGGGGGTGTAACAAAATGTTTTGAAGTAGAAAGATGAGTTTTGCGTTTTTTTGGAGGGTGTAGTATTATCTTTAGTAAAAGATCTTAGATTTGTCGATTTTCTTGACCAAAAATAGAAATTTTCGAAGACTGGAGGGGTCTTACACCCCCGACACTCCCGTCCCCGGTCGCGCCACCACTGTGTGTGTGGAATAAAACAATCAATAAAAATATAATACAGAGAAAAATAAGTATGAACAGTTACGAAAGACATAATAAATTCAATGTAAACAGGTATTATATGTTCGAAGAATAACAAATGTTTATTGATACTTTAAATAAAGAAAATCAAAACCTAAAATAACGAGAATGCCATAGATAGTACACTGAAACTATGATACTTTGAAAATGATTCAATAAAATTTAACATATTAACTTTACAATATTTTTATTATTCTCCTTGACGACAGTTTAATGAAAAAAACTGTTTTTTTTAAGGTCATCTGTTTGATATGTAACACCATAGTCTGACACAGCTGCTGTTACCGTGTTGTCGTTTTGAACATTGTTGCTTTGGGTGGTGGGCACTTGTTAATGCTGTAAATTTCGAGATTCAACTGCTGAACCACTGCTAGCAGCACTACCTTCAGATGATGTTAAATCAGATGCAGATGAACAATTTGAAGCCATGATGCCTGAAACAATAAAGTTTCATTAAGTTTTTAGAAGATAAATCCATTTGATACGTATCAAAGTATTCCCTGTGTTTGTTTTATTTTGATGAAAAGTTTTGAAACAACTCATATTTCATAATTATAATATAAAAAGAACTAAAGATAATCGAATAAATAACGTAACTTACCGAAGTTTGTTGTTATTGAGAGCTGAATACTTACGTATGTGTAATGAGTATTTATACTCGAATAAAAGATAGTAACGAAGGAAAAGAGAAGAGAAAGTGGGAAAAAATGCAGAGCGCCTACGAAGACAGTGCGTTACATAACAAATTGTGATAATATGTGAAAGAGAACGACGGGTTGAATGCCATTCTTAAATATTTCTTTTTTAAATAGCAGACAGATTCCTTGATTCTTTTTTATGTAATATAGAAAAATGAAATTTCTTCTTAATAAATACTTTTCTGGTTTGAGAGAACGATAGTCTTTAACTTGGCGTTGTGGATGTGAAATGAATGTGATATTTACTGACACCCACACGCACATCCTTGAAATGGTTTCAAATCTTCTTTCTTTTTCGAAAGATAAACTATCTCAATGATTACTCATCGTACATTAAATGATTGACTTAAAAATGGTAGATATATTGCTTTTGAATGTTTTCTATTTAATATTGATGAAATAAAAGAATTATTGAAAAAATCGAAAGTTTATTTATGAATAATATATTCAAAGAGCACAAATCATTATAACAAATGTTATAAAGAAATAAATATTAAAAAAAAATACTGAAAGAACTGTTCTTACAATTAATGAATATGAAGATTCATCCTGTGATTTGTAAAAATATGTAGAAACTATTTTATTTTGAGAAAAAAATTACTTTTGTTTTAGAAGGAAATATTCAATATATTTAATTTTGAGATTTATATACTCTCTCTCTTCTACATACTTAGTTTTTTGCTTTTTTATGTATTCAATTGAGACAAAAAAGAATTGAACGAAAAGAAAACATTGAGGGTGTAGGCGTAGGTGGATGTGAGTATTCTTTTTATTTGGTACTCATACTCATCCACCCACACCCATACCCTATTGTTTTGATCAATTCCATATTCTTTCAATTATTGAAACATTCAGTTATTCTTATCAATATTAACTTTTTATTTATTTCATGAAAAGAAATGATTTTTAATGTTAATATATAGCTGCATCACTTGTTGATAATCTTCCAATTGATATTTATCATTCATACTGATGTTGATAAAAACAAATCTAATTTAAATTAAGAAATTAATATTTATTATTGGATATTGATTTTGTTTCGCATGGGTGAACTTGAGCCATTGCTTTTCTTTTTAATCGAATAATTTGACTTTTTCTATGTAAATATTCAATTAAATTAAAGATACTCAATGCGCTAATACCTAACCATCTAGTTCAAAAGAAAAAATGTTTTTAAAGAACTTTTTTTGTTTTACTTATATAACTTACAAACCACTTTGACCACCAAGATCAGATATAAATGCTGACCATATATAAGTTGCTTTTTCTTCATATATAGTTTCATATGAATTTAAAGGTATAATTGATAATTTAAGATAATTACGATCTAAATAGTAACTTGAATTCATTGAAAAATCAGATTTAATTGGTATTGTTGAATTTGATAGTATTAATTTTTTATAATAATTTTTTTGTGAATCACTTGGTCCTTTAAGTGACGATAAATCACTTGAATACTTATGTATTATACATTGTGATTGACAATGAGGACAACGTGTTTGTAAAAGATTTGGATTATTTGCAATACGATTTCGAGCTTCAATTGTACATCTATATTCCGATGTCCATGGTGTACATATACGAACTCGACGAAGTTGATCATTAATATTCAACTAAAGATAAACAACAATAACAAATATAATGAAATTTATTAGGTGTAAAAATGAATTTAATTTTACATAATTTAAATAAAAATAAATTGGATAAATACATTCACATTGTTCATACATAAATGCTTGTTGACATAATTCTAAACAAACTGTTTCAGAATAAATATATTCAGTATTATTATCAAATAAATTATATAATGCTTTCATATCATCTGTAATTATTTGTGTACATAATGTATATGGTGAACCTAAATAAGTTGTTAATGATTTTTCATAAACTAATGTATGCTCGAAACCAGGTGAAAAACGTTTTCCTGCATAACGTATTAATGGTTGTTCATTTGGATGATGTAAAATAGCTGTTAAACCAAGACCATATTCTATTATTGGAAAATAAAGTTCAATATTTAAATAAAATGTCATTATAAGACCATTATGTAATGTTTGAACATTTCCATTAATCTGATTTATTTGAAATAAATTTGTGTTTTTATCGATTGTTTGTCGATTGAATGTATAACAGTTACCTAATATTGGTGATAAACTTTTTATCCACATTGATCGACAATTATAACCATTATATGTACAATCAAGTAAGATATCTTCTAATTGAAAACCATAGGAAAATGTTTCTTCAAATTTATTCTTATTTATTAAATCAATCATTAAATTAAATGCACTATTATAAATATCATTTTGAGTAATATTTGGTGGTGAAGAGGATAGATTATGTGTTTTAATATAGGATATAAATGGTAGTAAATATTTATCATATCGAAGAGGATTTCCACTACAAATTGTTACTGCTGGAAATAATTGAGAACGATTAAGACGAATTGAAACTCGTGTTTGAGTTGGATAAACTAAATATAATGAAAACAACAAATTTTAGTTATTATTATTATTAATTAAAACAAAATATTTTACCCAAATATGTTTGAATACAACTTGTAATAAAATATACCATTACACCAAACGCAACAATAGAAAGAATATATTTAATAATATGCGTAGGATGTATATGAACCATTTTAGTTTATTCAAGAAATGAAACACTTAAACTACTTTCACTGTATATATATATAATAAAATGCGTCAATTATAGAAATAAAAAAACATTTTTGTTTAAAAAGTATTTTATAATACTACTTTAAAGGCCATAAATATTTTAAAAATTGAGATCTAGAGCAATATAAGAAATTTTCATATAAGTATTGAAGCACCACTTAGTCCATTACTTCATCTTTGTGTTTGGCATGATATTTCTGATGACAAAGGCAAAGCATCTTTGTTTTTAAATATGATTAATATTTTCGATTGACAAACTGGAAAAAAATCAAAACTGAGATTTTTTTTATTTTCGTTTTATTTGTGACAATTGACTTGCTGTTGAAAAAGATGACAATCTTTTCGATTATGTTGTATCATTAGCAACAGCTAAACAAATTAAAAGCGTTTGCACATTTATTTACACAATCAGTTAAGAAAAAATTTAATAATAATCAGTATGGTTTTCAGGATTTTCTCAGCCTGTTCAAAATAATTTTACACGTTTACAACGTGTATCATGTTGTGTATCATTACTTTTTTGTACAATGATATCAAATGCAGCAAAAACAAAAGCTGGTATCTTAATGAAAATAGAGTCAGAAAGCTTTGGTAACACATCGTATAAAACAAGCAAAACGGCAAATTGAACTAAATGACGGTGTGAGTATGTATATTCTGTTTTACATACATCCACACACGATTTGAAGTGAAAAAACCACAGTACTTGCACTCTATCGAGAAATTGGCATAAAGAGTATATGTATTGATGACTGTATGAAGGTTAACATAGTTAATCATTTGTATATAATGATGGAAAAATTGACATTTGTAATCTTTTTTATGCCTTTAAATGCAGAAGTTTGTAAGAAGGAGATGTAACCTTTTTTCATATGAACATTCATGGTAAATTATTCAACACAAAACAAGACTAAATGTTATTTTTTTCTATAACATTGACTCGTATGAAAAGAATAGCATATTAGTTTCTAATTATTATATTCAAAAATATGATTGATTTAAATTCTCTATGCGAATTGATCAACTGTTCTCCTGTGTGTAAATAAAAGTGTCTTGATTAGTATTATAATACTATATGAATTTAAATATAGACTCAGACACATATTTTATGCTAGAAACAACTATGATAAAGAAACATATTTATTTAACACGGAGTAAGATAGTCATTTATGAGCACTTTATAAATAATTTGATTCAATTGTGATGCTTTCAATGCAAAAACAAATTCTTTATGTTCGTCTATCGTAAATAGGCGTTTAAATATTGACTCATCAAATACACATTTGTATTCGAAATAAACGACATTTAATAGATATCTTCATCATCTAAGTCATACACTTTTAATTGAGTATAAATTGATGAAGTGAACATTTTAATAATTTGTTATGACAACTTTAAATCGAGATGTCGTTAGTTGAATTTAAAAAAAAAACAGAATGTCTTTTAATATTTTTTTGATTGGCTCTTCTCATTCACCTACAATTAAATGATTAATCAATTAATGTGTTTTGAATAAAAAATGTGATCTTGTGCTTGCTTACCTGCTACTGTTTTTTTTCTCTCGTTAGTATTAATCATAAATTTTGACGTATCAATGTCATTGATTGCAATAAATAATAACAGATATAGTAGTAAAAATGTATCATATATTCTTATTTTTAGATAAAAGATAAAACAAACCATGGCCGACGATGATGATGTACCTTTATTAGATGATGATGATGATGAACAATTAATAACATCAGATGGTCGAGAGCCAAATGTTGAAGCTGTTTTTGTTGTTACCTTTGATGTTAAATCTGGTAAAATAATGATGAATTTTTTTTCTTCTTTACCATTCATTTGATGGACTTTCAAGGTAATATAATTGAATTTCAAATGCCGGAAAAAGAACAAATGGAATTAAAAGGTGTAGAATATAAAGTATTACCAAGTGGATCACATCGTATCAATCAAGATTTTGTGTAAGAAAGTTTTTTCTTTTTTCTATTAATTTCGAATGTAAGAATATATTATATTTCAATAGGTATTTTCGTCATGGAAATAAATATGGATTAGCTTGTATAGCTCGAGCTGATATAACGAATGATGATGATGGATCAGCTTTATCAGTAGTTGATCAATCACAACGTGGTATGTGTATTAAATCTGTGGGTATCATAACTTCATCTATTACACATATTCAGTCATATATTCCATTTCTACAAACTGAAGCCAAGTGAGATTATTTATGAAATTTTCAATAAAATATTATTAATTTATTGATATTTCTAGGCTTTATCTTAATCAAACATCAGTCAATTATGATCGTTTAAAAGGACTTCTTTTCCGAGATGTTCAATCTATTCCAATTTCACTTTCTATTTATGTAAGATACTTATATTCATTTTATCTAATACTCTTGTGATAAGAATATATATAACAAATGTATTTCATGCCTCTCACTAGAGAATATATGTTACATGAGAAATATCAAGTTACAGATAAATAGAATATGTAGTATAGTTAGGAGAATGCATTTATCTATGAGCGATCATAAGAATAAGTTGTAGTGATTAAAACTTAATCACACACAGACTTGTCAAGGATTTTTTCATATGATATTCATAAGTTAAAACAATAATAATCGTGAAATTATGTAAATCAATTGGTAGTGATATAAATATTTCCTAAACAAATCAAAATTTATACAATATTTTAGTTTTACTAGGATTTCAGTATTTTTTTTTCTTTCATGAAGAAACCTTAGAAAAATATTAATTATATTTTTTTTTTCGCTATAGGATACTTTATTTACTGAATTTATTCAACATTTTGGTCCATCGATATTTCCACTTTCAAGATTAATATTACTTGGTAAACGTATTTTACTGTATTCATGTTCGCCTATTGGACCTACTTGTAATGCAGGTAAAGATTTTTTTCTTCTTCAAACGATTAAAAATTATATAAGTATTCATCTAGTTTATTTCCTTCATATTCTTAATCAATCGGTAAATCCACTCTTTTTTATTACTATTACGGATTTATTAGTATTAATCAATGAACCATCTTATATTGGTTGTACAACTGAAAAAATTTTTCAAGAAAAAACAAATATCTATGATGTATTTGTTAATTGTGATGATCAAATAGTCTTTCATACGAATGATTCAATTTTACAGTCAATTATTAAAATAACACGTAACGATCGTAATCGCTTGAAGAAAACGATGACGTAAGTTAAATCATCTTAAAAACAAAATAGAAAAAAAAACGGTGTTCGATTATATAATCGAAGTATTATTCAATCTGAACGGTTTTTTTCTTCTTCAATCTAGTTTGAATTCTTTTATAAATATTGGCAATCGTTTATCTCGATTATTGGATCGATTATCTAAATCGAATACTAATCAACAAATGAGCAAAGATGATTTTCATTCTATCAATCTTCATCAACGTTATGATCGTTTATTTATTAATGAATATATTCGTATACATCATATTCCAAATGTGACTATAAGCAATCCAGAGTCAATACTTTTTCCTATATCACCTTGTTGTCATTGTCCACGTTCCAACTGATTTTTATTATTTTTATTTTATATTTATTTATCGATAAAAAAAAGTAGCCGATAGATACAAACTTTTTTTTCTTATTTTGATCAAAGATGAGTATATTTGATACAGCGGCTTTATTTGTTCTTTTCTCATTAATAACTCCTTGTCATTATATCGGTCAAATTTGTTTTGTTCTAACTGTCCTGTTACCACCTATTTTTTGTAATCATAATATGTAGACAACAATATCTTTCATGTCCCTCTCTCTCTCTCTCTTTTTTTTTCTTGACTAGTTTTGTCTATAGACATAAAGAAATAATTTAACCTCTTAGAAGCTTACTCATGTCGCGAATATACCAACGAGAGAGGTGAGACGTGAGATGTCCATGTAATGGAAGCAGCATAGCGAACGATAAGTTATTCTTTCTTCTTTCTGCACACACTCACCGATATAAATATATACAAAACGCTGTCGTGTTTCTTTCTTCTTCTCTTCAGTGTCATTGTTTTATTAAGTGTCCCATGGAGAGTAACGAATCTTCTATACACTACTATATGCATGAGTTTATTGTTCGGTAGAATGAGAGAAGAACAGATTTTAGTCAGTAGCAATACCTTCAGAATTTCTTTTCCTGATATGTTACGTTCCATCTGATAGACTACTTATATATACATATCCAGAAATATTTCCTTTTTTTATCCTTGATCAATACATCTATCTACGTTAACATCTACTATTCTATAAAAGGATTCTTATAAATTAATAATAAATACGAAAGCTTTGTTTTATAAGCCGTTTTCCTCTTGACCTTCTGATAAAAAGGAAATTATGCTTACTACAATAGATATGATGATCATAAATGAATGTCTAGCCTTTATATATATATATATATACCATAATTCAATTTTTTTGTTAATACTTTAGATGGTAAAGTAAAAAAGCATTATGTCAACTCATAGTGATAGTGATAATTCATCAACATTACAATGTCGAATTCAATATCTCGATGATATTGATCCATTTTCAAGTGTTAATCTACCTGAACCAGCTCGTCCTCCATCTTTTACATTTTTAACATCAGCTGTTTTAAGTAATCAATTAAATAGTATACATAAAATTCTCAATGCACCACATAATGTAAATTAAATTCAATTTAAAAATTGATGAATATTTGTTTTTCTCCAATAGATTGCTGATTGTACACTTGAATTATATCGACAAGATGGAACTAGAACAGAATTTGGACCTTATCTTGATTTAGATCAAACACTTGATGAACAACGTGAAGATATTGAAGCTTTTACAGAAGGGTGAGTTTCACTTTTGTTTTTTTTTCTAATGGAAATTATTCAATATTTATATAGATATAAATGGTCAATTGTTCTTCGTACTCATCTAAATGTTCGAGTTCATGCTTGTATAGGTATATTTGAAGCATAGTTGTTTTCTTCTTATTTATAAAGATTTTTTAAGATAAACTATTGAATTCGGATGGACGTGAATTACGACGATCACTTTTTTCATTAAAACAAATTTTTCAAGTAAAAAAAAATTAAATTATGAACTATGAATTCCATTTTGTTTTATTTAAGGATGATAAAGATCTTGTACATGAATTTGTTAATAATGAAGGTTTACAATGTTTGGTTAAAATAGGTGGAGCAAATGATCAAAATTATCAAAACTATATTTTACGAGGTAAATAAAATAAGATTTTTTTCGAATTTAAGCAAAAATTTTTATTATTTTCAGCACTTGGTCAATTAATGTTATATGTTGATGGAATGAATGCTGTGATAGATCAAAATGAAGTTATTCAATGGCTTTATTCACTAGTTGAATCAAGTGTACGTAAGAGATATTCTTTTCATTTTTAAAACAATGAAAAAATTACATCCTACTATTTTTCTTTTTTCTAGTTTCGACTTGTTGTTAAAACAAGTTTAAAACTTCTGATTATATTTGCTGAATATATAGATTCAAATGCTTTATTAATTTTATCAGCTGTATCAGTAGTTGATCGATCATCAAAACATTTATTATGGTCAAATGCAATGAAAATATTAAATGAAATGGATAATTCATCATCAGAAGTTGTTTTATTAATCATTACATTATTTAATACAATTATATCAGCTATACCTGATCAAGACACATTTTATGACATGACAGATGCATTAGAGAAACAAGGAATGCATCGATGCACACAATTTTTTCTAAATAAAAAACCAGCTGAAGAAGATCTTATTGAACAATTTAATATCTATGATGTAAGTTCAAGTTTTTCAACGCTCCCATACCCTCCTATTACAGATCTTCGCAACCAGTCACTTACTCAGAGCCATTAGAATGAGGATGTAGGCATGGGTGACAAGATAATATGCTACCCAAAGACGTCCGCAGAGGGGGCATGGGTGGATTGACCCCCCCCCCCCCTCTCGAACAAAGAAGAAGTTAAAATACTTGGAGGAGGGTACAGCAGGAAAAACTTTTCAGTGATAAACATTCCTGCAAAGTCGTCAATCCTTCCCCGAAAAATATTTCTGCGGATATGCCTAATACTATCCACACCCTAGTACTAAAATTCATGATGAGACATAATTTGAGAGTTGTCTACTATTAAATATATTTTCACTGCATAATCCTATGAAAAAATCATGATAAACTCAACCTTCAATTACTTACATCAGATAATCGATTATAATTTTCTTATTTTAGACTGTTCTTCGTCGTGAAGATGGTGAAGATGATGAAATAGTTGCTCAATCAACAAGGTATGTATTTATCTTACATTTTTTTGAAAGTAACTTCACTCGATTGTACAAACTTACGGACATCAAAAAAGAAACATTTTACCCTTTTGTAATTCAGCATATTTATCTTTCTTCAATAGACGTGCACCACGTAAAAAGTCCCTTATGAATCGAACAACTTCACATCGTTATTCATCTGTTGATTCAAATTATATGCATGATAACCATCAACAAGAATCTATGTTAACACATGATAATAAACAAAATATTTTTCAAAATCATATGGATTTAACCGATTCAGTATTTCGACAATATGATGATGTGATCAGTTCATCGAATGGACAAGATGATTCAACCGTATCATTCAATGATGATATAGATGGCGATGATGATAATGATGAGTATGGTTATTTTACTTTATATTTCCTTTTCTTTTCTTTTTTTTGCTCGTCTCCCCTTTCCTTTCTTCTTCATTTTCCTTGTACAATATCAGCAGTTTTTGTTTTGCTTGGATGCCTCTCTTTTTCCGTCTCTCTTTCTCTTTCTTCTTCTTCGTCTCCTATCATCTTTATGTTCATCATTTATTGATTTTTCATATTTTCAGGCAAACAATACGAGTTAAAAGTTTGATTGAAAATAGACAAAGTATGCGACGAAGTTCATCAAATACATTTCAACCAATTTCAACATTCCATAAAAAAGATCAAGATGTGTAAATAAAACTCATTTGTGTTTTCCTTCTTTTTTTCCTTCTTCTTGTTTTCATTCAATCAGTCTTAAATAAAAAATATAATTTAGACCGAAACCATCATCAGATTGTGTTATGTTTCGTCGAAGGCAAACTCAGTGGGAAACAGAAATTTTACAACGTGAAGTACCACGAACAACAGTAAACGAACGTGCTCGTGATCGTCCGGAAATATTAAATGATAGTCAAATTCCATCGATTGAAACGAATCGATCAACAACAACTTCACTGAGTAAATAAAAATTAATTAAAAGATATTATATTTTGACACAATTTTGTTATTTTTCTTCCTATAGTAAAACCATCAGCATCCGGTACTAATCATACTGTTCCGTCCAGTCGTTTTACACGACTATCTGCTAATATTGAAACTGTATCACCACCACCACCTCGTACACCTGAAGTACAAGTATTTTCTCGTGCTCCATTAAATATTCAAAGAAATTCAAATAATCAAGGTACTATTGAAGCATTAGCTCGTCAAATAAATATGCAAACAATAAATGGAAATGATATATCATCAACAAATAATCAATCAAATGCAGTTGTTAAAGATCCGAAATTAATATCATCACCAGAGCTTATTGGTGCAGTTACACGAGCAAAAGATGGTTAGGAATTATTTAAGAAAAAGAGAGAAAAACTTTTGAATTTTTTAGGTTTACAAGCAGCAGCAACAAAATCACCACAATGTGCGATCACTAATTTTATTCTACCTGCTCCATCACCTGAACCATTAGTACCAAAACCTATATTAGATAATGATCTTCAATGGGATTATATTGTCAGCAAAGTATTGGATCGGAAATTATGTGTACAAGATCTTAATTTTGAAGAATTAGATGCACAAGATGATACAAATATTATGTCTTTAGCTATGAATCGACCAGGACCACCTCCACCACCACCTCTCATGATAAATGGTAATGGACCTCCTCCTCCACCACCACCGCCACCACTACCACCGATGATGCCTGGCGATCTACCTCCACCACCTCCACCATTTCCACCAAGAAATATAGGACCGTTACAACCAACTATGTACAATGGTAATCTTGATGGAGATTCATCATTATCAAAAACATCCTTAATTAATAAACCTGTAAAAACTATACATTTACATTGGCGTGAAGTTACTACAAATACACTTTCAAATACACCAGTTTCAAATGATTCTCTTTGGGCATCATTAAATAAAGTCAAACTAGATACTGAAAAATTAGCAACATTATTTGAATTGAAACATACTGATGTGAAAATAAAGGTACTTAATACTAAAGCAAAAAAAGGAGAATTTATTTTATAACATGCTCATAAAAATTTAACAAATATTGTACTGAAAAACGAAATATTTTTCTTTCTTATCTTATATAGGAAACTGTAAGTACCTAGACACACTTAACGTGTTATTTTGACAGCTTCTATTCTTTTTGATCATATGTTTTTTTTATTATTATCTTGATTAATACTTTCGAAAATTTGATTTATATTTTTCGAAATGTCATTGATCTACATTTATTAATGATAGAGATTTCACAAAATCACTACTCTCTTTTTTTTTCCTTCTCTTTAATTGTTTGTCCATAACTAACATTTGGGGTAGTCGCTTTATGACATCGAATTTTGTTGTTGATTTTTGTGTGAGTATGCTTTATCTATTTGCTTCTTGTTTTTCTTTTCTTCTTTATACTTGGGTCAATTTTCATGATTATCAAAATTAGATTATTTTCGTTTTTCTTTTCCGTATAGAAAACTGGTAATACAAAAAAAGAAATTACTGTACTTGATCCAAAACGTTCAAATGCAATTAATATTGGCCTTACAGTTTTACCAACAGCACGAACAATTAAAGGAGCAATTTTAAAAATGGATAGTAGTGTTATTAATAAAGAAGGCATTGAGGTAAATTAAATATAAATCCAATTAGAAATCCATACATGTGGCTTTCTTTCTTTTTTTGTTTGGCCTGTATATTTTTTTCATATACTCATATCATGATGATTTTTCGGTGAAAATCGAAGGCTATCTTGATAAAAAATAACAAGGAAATCAGAGCAATCAAAATGAGATGACTAGACGGCACATTTATTAATTGAGTTTGTTGTACAAGTTTAGAGGATAATTACAGAGGAAACGATAAAAATTAGAAACAATCGATGTCTGATAAAAAATAACGTTCACGAACAAATTCACTCACACCCGATATCAAGATTATACGTTTTGAGGTACGAAACAAAAAATAATAGTTTAGTCAATTAGATGTAAACAAAATATTTATAATTGTATCAAATCGAAATAATGAGAAAGAAAAACAGTTAGAGTATATTCGATACACTAGAATACTTTTTATATATACAGATTAACAATCCCTTTTGTCTGTTACGATCGTGAATTGTTTCTATAGATGATAATTTAAGTAGGCACAAAACACATAGTTCTGATTGAAAATATTCGTCCTAGAATTTTTCTAGTATACATCCCTTTGTCATTGATTAGTCCTTCAAAAATTTTTATAAAATATGAATTAAAGAAAATATTGAAGTATAAACGTACTTCTTCTAGACCATGAGAAATACCTTGACAATGTGCTATTGTATACCATGACAGACATAACTTCAAAGGTAGAAATTGTTGTGTATATTTCTAAATTACTAAAAATGAAACTCATTAGTTTCTAGGCAAACTAAATATATTCAGGGACAATATTGATTGATTGTGACTGCTAATTTCTATCAAGGATATGAAATATCGACTATAAACCATTTATTCATTATCAGTATTTCGAAGTTAATTTTTTGTTATATTTCAGAAATTATTAACAATGCTTCCAACAGAAGAAGAAAAAAATCGTATTATTGAAGCACAAATGGCTAATACTGATCTTCCATTAGGCACTGCTGAACAGTTTTTATTAACACTTGCATCCGTTGTTGAATTAGAAGCTCGCTTAAAATTATGGTTATTTAAACTTGATTTTGATAATATTGAATTGGTTTGTTTCGAAATTATCTATTGAATAATAATGAAATTTATCTTTTTTTCTATAGGAAATTGCCGAACCATTAATGGATTTAAAAAATGGAATGAAAAATTTGAAAGAGAATATGACACTTCGACATATACTTGAAGTTTTACTTAGTGTTGGAAATTTTCTTAATGGAGCTGAAGTAAATCGAAAAAATCTATTTTTATTGAATACAAAAATTTTAATTTTAGTCTCTTGGTTTTCAACTTGATTATCTTGCTAAAGTTCCTGAAGTTAAAGATACTATTCAAAAACATTCATTACTCTTTCATGTGTGCAATATTGTCGTTGATAAATATCCTGATACAAGTGATTTCTATTCAGAAATTGGTGAAATAACACGATGTTCTAAAGTATAAATATTATTTTATAACGAAAAAAAAGAAAACAAAATTTTATTTGTAGATTGATTTTGATGAACTTGAACAAAAATTAAATAAACTTGAAAATGATTGTCGAGCTGCATTTGATTATTTAAAAGCTATTGCTAAACATGAAACACCACAAATTAAAACAAAGTATGTATTCCCAAGGAAAGAAAGCTCCTTTTGAAAAAATAGACTTGATAAATCATATTTTCCTAAACCATGATGATACTCATAAAAGATCATTTTCAGAGTTGATATTAAAAATCATGGTAAAATTCAGAGTGTCACGTACGTATTCAATCCCGCGCTCAATTTCTATATAAGCGCTACTTGCTTTGCTTTATTTGATTTCCATTCATTTTTTATAATATTTCTTTTTGATTTTATTATAGACTAACAGAATTTCTTAGTGATTGTGCTGAACGTGTTTGTTTATTGCGAGTTATCCATCGTCGTGTAGTAAATCGTTTTCAAAAATTTCTTCTTTGGCTTGGTTATCAACGTAGTGCAGTACAAGAAACGAAAATCACACATTTTTGTAAAATTCTTAGTGAATTTGCATTAGAATATCGAACAACACGTGAACGTATAACAACACAGAAGCAAAAAAAACAAAATCGTGGTGAACGAAATAAAACAAGAGGCAAATTAATTACTGAGGTTAGACTATTTCAATTGAGAATTATTTATTAATCATTTTTTTATTTATTTATAGATTCTTTCAGAAAAAAACAGTCCACTTAAAGATGCTTTAATGCATAGCCTTCGACCAGATGATGAACTTGGACTTCGTCGTCGATCATCTAAGGAAAAAGCTTATTCAGCATATCTTCCACAAGATTTCGATATTAGACAATCACTTCTTGCTTCAGATAGAAATTTTAAACAACAAATACAACCGAAAATTGCTCAACCGACAAATATGTTAAGTGATTTAGCTGCTGTTGTAAGAAGTTCATCAAAAGATGGTCAACTTATGCCTGGCCATCGAGCACGACATAAAGCATCCAGTAGGTTTTTCTTCTAATAAAAGTACAACCGATAGTAGAGGTTAAGGTACCCATTTGTTGTTTATTACTGTTCTGAGACATTTATAAAGAGAAAAAGCCTCTCGATGTATTTCGATTAACCAATAGAAATAAAAAAAGATAACAAACACGACGAAAACAAAACCGACCTTGATATATTTTATCAATACTGAATATGTGTTATTCTTTCTTCTAGCTAATAATTTATATAAACCATCAGCGGCACCATCTTCATCGGAATTACCACCAAAAGAATCGACGAATTCAAATGAACCTGAAATACTTGATACAAGTGATGAATTACTTGATAATCTTGTGAAAAATGCTGCATTAGCATCGAACAAAGATGTGATAAAACAACGTAGAATTGCTCGATATGCACAACGGCAGTCATGTATGTTTTTTGAAATAAAAATTTATATAAAAAAACAAACGTATTTTCGTGTTTAGTACGTCGAACACTTCAAATAAATTTGAATGATGAAGAACGAGCTGAAATATTTGGTGCTGGAAACAACTAAAATCTATTTTAATAATTTATTTGTTTACTTATCCCGCACCGGTGTTATTTTCAAATTTTGTTTTGTATATACATATTCAGTTGTGTGTGTGTGTGTATTTGTGTGTTTTTAATTTTTAATAATATTCCTTCTTCTTTTTTTTCTCTCTCTCTCTTTTTTCTCTTGTCTGTCTTTCATATATGTACGAAAATGAAAAGAATGATTTGTTCCATGTCTTTTGATTGTACAAAAATCGACAGACAATTTTATGACAAAAATAACAGTTACAATTGTTCTGTTTTTATATATTGTATTAAAATTTAACAAAAAAAAAAGCATACACGTGATTTTGTAGATATATTTGAAATGAAGAAGTTAACATCGTTGTATAATCAAGATTTAGAATATTCGAAAGAGTTAATAAATTTTATAGATAAAATGAAACATCTGATGATTTTACTACTGAATAGTAAAGAGTGCATTATTCAATGATATATATACATATCACTATAAAGACAATGTGTATGTGAATTCGAATTTTGTTATGCATGTTATTATTTTTAATTCATCATTTATTTGATATATGTAAAGTAGATTGAATTGGTTTGTTTGTTTTATTCTTCAGGTAGTTGTAATAATGAATATTATCAAGTCTCAAAATGCATCATATCTATACAAGGTACATTTATATTTTTGTTAATAAATGCTGATCATGAGATTGATATCAAATATATTTCTTAGTTTATTCAACGTTATGCTTCATCACAAGCTTTAGTCACTGATTTAAAAGGCATTGTTGGAAATGATAATGTTTCAAATAGTAGAACTGTCCGAGTACAACATAGCCATGATGAATCTTATCATGCGTATGTTATAAAATATCCATTCTATTTATCATTATCTATCGGCACTATACTTTAGAGGTCATGAACCCGATGTTGTTGTATTTGCACAAAGCACAGATCATGTTTCACAAATTGTTAAATATTGTGCATCAAAACATATTCCTATTATACCATTTGGAACTGGTACCGGTTTAGAAGGTACAATAAATACAGCTGTCCTTTGAAATTATCATATTTCTGATTTCTAACAGGTGGTGTTAATGCTGTTAATGTTAGTAGCCAACGTAATTTTCTTCACTATTTCTCATAGAAAATGAACTAATTATTAGGGCGGTGTATGTCTCAATTTGAGTCGTATGGATAAAATTATTTCAGTTAATCCCGAAGATTTTGACTGCACTGTTCAAGCTGGTGTTACTCGAAATGCACTAAATACTTTCATTCGTGATACTGGTCTTCAGTTTCCCATTGATCCTGGTGCAAATGCATCTCTTGGTGGTATGTGTGCAACTAGTGCATCTGGAACAATGGCTGTTAAATATGTTAGTAGAACAATATCACTCTCTCTCTCTCTTATTTATTGTATTCTATGAATAGGGAACAATGCGTGAAAATGTCATGAATTTGGAAGTTGTTCTAGCTGATGGTAGTATTATTAAAACATCAGGACTCAAAGGAAGAAGTCGAAAAACATCAGCAGGATATAATCTAACGAATTTATTTGTTGGTCAAGAAGGAACATTAGGTATTATCACTGAAGCAACTCTGAAACTTCATGCAACACCTGAAGCGGTATGTTAAATTTGATATTTGTTTGTTTGATGATAATGATAATAATGATAATATTAGGTTCTTGCTGCTGTTGCTCCATTCAAAGATTTTCAGTCTGCAGTTGATGCAACAGTTGCAATAATGCAAAGTGGTTTACCAGTTGCTCGAATCGAATTTCTTGATGAAAAGATGGTTGATGCTTGTAATCGTTTTTCCAAGTTGAGCTTAGATGTGTTACCAACATTATTTCTTGAATTTCATGGAAGTAATAACAACATAGAAATGCAAGGGCAATTAGCAGGTAAAGTTGGATTTATTCGAATATGAAAAGTTGTTAAATAAAATTTTGTTGTTATAGAGGAGACATGCAAATCATTTGAATGTCTTAAGTTTGATTATGCGACGGAACCAAATAAACGTGCTGATTTATGGAAAGCAAGACATAATCTTTTTTACGCAGCCCTGGCTCTCAAACAAGGTTCTAAAGTGAGTTTAAGAGATCATAAAAATGAAATAAGCACTGTTTTATTATCCGACATGTTGACTTTTTCATATTAAAAAAAGTCAGGTTCTGCCAGTCCTTCTGAAGTTGTTGCAAACAATCACAATTGTCTTCAATTGCTTTTCTATATTTTAGGGGTATATTACTGATGTTTGCGTACCAATTAGTGCTTTGCCTAGGATGATATATCTTACAAATAAAGAGTTAAAACGATTGGAATTATTGGGGTAAATATAAATACCTGATACACCTTTCTATGCAGCTTTGAAAAAACATAATTAAACAATCAATTTATTGTGTATATTTAAAAATTGACTAAGAGAAACTCTTTCGTATTGCATATCTTTATTATTTATAGAATGATAGCTGGACATGTGGGTGATGGAAATTTTCATGTGGTCTTAGTCGTGGATCCAAAAAATGTTGAAGAAATGGAACGTGTCCATGAATTTAGCATGATTTTAGCCAAGTATGTAGATATCGAAATGGAGCTGAATATATTTATCTATATTTATAGAGAATCATTAGATCTTCATGGTACCGTCACAGGTGAACATGGTATTGGTCTAGGAAAAAAACAATTATTGATCGATGAATTTGGTTTACAAGGAATTAATACTATGAAAGTTATAAAACAAGCACTTGATCCATTGAATATTCTCAATCCTGGCAAAGTTATAGATATGAAAAAATCGTTTTAATTGACATTATATTTGTACGAAAGAATAATGTAACAGTAGACTTTGTCGTTGTTTTTGATATAAGCAGTGTTTTTTATAACACAATAATAATCATACTAATTTCTAATAAAATTCTACATATTTCAATTATATTTATTTTTAGTTTTTCTTTCATTATTGTAGAAATGAATCTTATTAAAGTTCGAACTACATCGATTTCCAACATCTTACATAAGGTATAAATGTTATCTTTATGATGATGAAACTTTGAATATCAAACCTAATTTTTTAGTTGACTTATCGTTATGCTTCATCACAAGCTTTAGTAACTGATTTGAAAGCTATTGCTGGAAATGAAAATGTTTCAAATAGTGCATCTGTTCGAGAACAACATGGCCATGATGAATCTTATCATGCGTATGCTCTAACAAACCTATGATATTTGCCATTAACCATAGGTACTTTACTTCTAGAGGTCATGAACCTGATGTTGTTGTATTTGCACAAAGTACAGATCATGTTTCACAAATTGTTAAATATTGTGCATCCAAACATATTCCGATTATACCATGGGGAACTGGTACTGGCTTAGAAGGTACAGATAAATTAGGTTTTACTTATTTTCTATTGAATTGTATCTTTTTTCATATAGGCGGTGTTACGGCACCTAAAGTTTGTAATCATAATTTTATTTTTCTCAGAAAATAAATAAATATCTAATTATTAGGGCGGTGTATGTCTCAACTTGAGTCGTATGGATAAAATTATTTCAGTTAATCCGGAAGATTTTGACTGCACTGTTCAAGCTGGAGTTACTCGAAATGCATTAAATACTTTTATTCGTGATACCGGTCTTCAGTTTCCTATTGATCCTGGTGCAAATGCATCTCTTGGTGGTATGTGTGCAACTAGTGCATCAGGAACAATGGCTGTTAAATATGTTAGTACAGTAATATCACTGTCTCTCTTATTTATTGTATTCTATGAATAGGGAACAATGCGTGAAAATGTGATGAACTTAGAAGTTGTTCTTGCTGATGGTAGTATTATTAAAACATCAGGACTCAAAGGAAGAAGTCGAAAAACATCAGCAGGATATAATCTAACTAATTTATTTGTTGGTCAAGAAGGAACATTAGGTATTATCACTGAAGCAACACTGAAACTACATGCAACACCTGAAGCAGTATGTTAAATTTGATCTTTGTTTATTTGATGATAATAATAATAATACTAGGTTCTTGCTGCTGTTGCTCCATTCAAAGATTTTCAGTCTGCAGTTGATGCAACAGTTGCCATAATGCAAAGTGGTTTACCAGTTGCTCGAATCGAATTTCTTGATGAAAAGATGGTTGATGCTTGTAATCGTTTTTCTAAGTTGAGTTTAGATGTGTTACCAACATTATTTCTTGAATTTCATGGAAGTAATAACAATATAGAAATGCAAGGTCAATTAGCAGGTAAAACTGGATTTATTAGAATATGGAAAGTTATTGAATAGAATTTTATTTTTATAGAAGAGACATGTAAATCATTTGAATGTCTTAAATTTAATTATGAGACAGAAACAGATAAACGTGCTGATTTATGGAAAGCAAGACACAATGCTATTTATGCTGCTCAAGCACTAAGACCAGGTTCAAAAGTACGTAAAAACAGAACAAAAATACATTATGAGATTGAGTAATAATAGTACTTTTCAAATTATAATACTATAGTGATGCATTACAACAACCATGGCATATTATTCTAGATACAAGAGCGTTTAAAAATAGATATCGTTGTTATAGACATCGGTATGCAATGATTGAAATAGTGAATGAAGTGTATTGTATAGTATAAACTCCATTTTGCACGTGCTATTTAGAAAGAATGTTCCCCAAAAAATGTTTTTTTTGTTAGAATACAGTGGGAATTTCTCATCTTGATTAACATAGTTTTTTTGTATTCCAGCAAGAATCACTATTTCACATAATTATGATCATCGTAATAAAAGATAAGTATATGGGCTCAAAACAAAATGATAAGAAATAAAAAAAATTCCCATGGGATTCATTATTTTATTCCAGACCTACTGATAAGATTTTTGAAATACAAATATCTATTCCATGTCATGACTAAAATATTTAAATAAAAGGTTTGAATCGCTTTATTCCACCATTTAAGTTTTGAGTAAACATGCTACTATTACATTTATTATAACTCATAAATATGTTTGTGTTTCTTCAGACTTAAGTGTCATATATCTCTAAGAGATTTAATTTGATTTGTAGGCTTATAGTACTGATGTTTGTGTTCCAATTAGTGCTTTACCTGGCATGATTACTTTTGCAAAAGATGCATTAAAACGATTGAATTTATTAGGGTATGTTAAAAACAAGATAGTGTATTTTTTATTTTTATTAAATAAAATATTAAATTTTTGTTTAATTAGACCAATTGTTGGTCATGTTGGTGATGGAAATTTTCATGTATTTCTTATAATTGATCCAAAAAATGCCGAAGAAGTTGAACGTGTTCATGAATATAGTATAGCATTAGCTAAGTATGTTAATTTTAGACTTTTTTTATTCATTTTATTTTATTTGTATTATTCGTAGAGAATCATTACGTGTAAATGGTACAGTTACTGGTGAACATGGTGTAGGAATTGGAAAGAAACAATTATTAATTGAAGAATTTGGACCAGCAGGAATTAATACTATGAAAGCAATTAAACAAGCACTTGATCCATTAAATATTCTCAATCCTGATAAAGTTATATAAATTTTCTTTCGACGAATTATCCAAGTGAACATAACTATTGATAATTTCTATGGTGTTCTTTTTTTTCTAAGTAAAAGAATAGTATGCTAATAAATTCCTTCGATAATGATTTTTTTTTCCTTTAATTTATTTTGACGATTAATGCAATATGATAATAATTTGTTTACATTTTCGATAAGATTCAGTGTGAGCGTGTTATTTTTTTTTCAATACATTATTTATTCTGATTCTTATCTTTTGTTCTTTGATGGGAAAATTTTTTTTGTTATTCAAACAAACTATGTCTCCCACAATATTTAATCAATGATATACGTAGGAATTTAGAAACTTTAGAAGTATAAAAGCTGATGATTTTTTTTTATTATAGCTATTACAGATTATACAAACAATAAGCTACATAATTCATCTAATGGCAAATATAGCGGACGGTAAGATTATATCGTAGATATTTTTAATGCGATGCGAAGCATAGGATTTATGTAGTTCTTCGCGAGTTTTCTTGCTTTTCTCTAACAACTGTAATTTCAGTTAATAATCGATAATGAATCATCAACGTTCTTTCAACATATATCACTTTAAATTATCACGGATGTTGAAAATTTTGTGATAATCTTAAAATCATTATTTCGAAATCGCGCTTTCGCAGACAAGTCTCGACTCGTGTGTCATCTAGTTTCTTATCATGTTGAATTTTCTTGGGTTTTTTATTAACCCTTAAAAGCCAGAAAGCCTTATCGATGGAAATTGAACAAAACTTTTGCAAAAATAAAAGGTCTAGTACTTCAATAAGAATAATCGATAGTAAAAAAAAATTTTTTTTCTTATGGAGACATAAAATGTCTGTTGGAAGGGACATTCGGTCTAGACGGACCAAAGTATTTTACATGTATTGATATTTTTAAAAGTTTTTTTTCCACAAAATACTTTTATTTCTTCATTTCTCGATACACAAACAGTCAAATAAAGCAATATTATACAAATTTTCAGTATTTACGAATTTTTCCATTCATTAGAATGCTGATCTGCGTGTGTATTTAAGAGTCATAGGTTCAATATTAGCTGCGAGAAGATGATCACCCTCTATTTGAGCGAGTGGATTTGATTCGTGGACGAAGTAGTTGCTAAATTATTGAGAAAAATGGAACAAGGAGAATCGAGGAAGATTTAGAGTAAAAACTAGATCGATATCTCCACCTTAAACGATATAGAGATTTCAAAAAATCGAATATTTTCGACATTATAGAGAAAAGATACATTCTCCTTTCATTTTTCGTTCCTATCAGGCCTTATCGAGGGCAAAAACCACCAAGAGATCGATCGAATAATAATTTAGAATTGTTTTGACTGTTAAAATAGTTTGGACGTTATGACCGAATGCCCTTCTCGAGGAACATTCTCTTGATGCCATCGTAATTCATCAATAGATCAATCATAACATCATTGAATGATTTCATATGATAGAGTACTGATGTATCATGAGATACCACTTGAAAAAATAAATTTCGTTCTAACATTCATCAAATACAGAAACGTTTCAAAACAGAAAAATGATTTATAAAAAAAATCGATCTTAAAAAATACATTTTTTCCTCTTATAAATATCTAAATTTATTTTTACTTTTTTTTTACAATCTATTAAATCATATGAATCGAAGAAAATAAAAAAAATATTGTTCGTGCATTATATTGCATATTTTATTCGAATTTTACGATGTCCCTTGGAAAGGACATACGGCTCTTAAGGGTTAAGAGTTAAAAACGAAAAATAAAAACTTATTTCATTCCTATTTACAAATATGACTAGTCTCTTTTATAATAAAACAGTTGTAGTCTATAATGCTTTTAGATCAATTCACAAGAGAGTAATCACGCAAATGGATAACATAATCAATAATATAGGTAATTGCAGAAAATTTAGTTTTTTCTTTTATTAATATCTTATTAAGATGAATCCACCATTTCAAAAATACGCTCAACTATCAAAAACTTCGACGGTAAATTTTAGGAGAATATTTTGAATTGAGTTAACTTTCTCGATTTTGTATAATAGATTTATTTGAAGAATTTGAAGCTGAAGGTATTATTCCTCGGGAAAAAATCCATTAATTCTTATTTATTCTTTAGCGTCTCTAACCTATCCAAATCCTCCATCATCATTGTCAGATGGTAGTGAGTGATATTTAGAAGAAGAAAAAATTCTTTAGACAATTGTTCTTTTCAGGTGCTGAAAGTACAGTCGGATTTTCACCAGATCATTATCGAAATCCTGACAGTCAAAATGACTCTACCAGTATATATAGCAATATCGTTTTATTGAAGATTCTTTATTGTACTTTTTAGTGATTTCACAAGCTGCTGCTTTCTCACCAGGAACAGGTAAACAGTCTAACCGTTCTGAAATTATTGCAGGGCTTTGTTGTACATCTACAATACTGTCTCGCAAGGATAATATAAAAGAAGGACGTCAAACTCCTCTCACGACACAAATTACGAATTATACTGATTCAGCAGCTCATGTCCGTTTAGGAGATAATAATGGCCCGTTGAATGGCTTTACTTTGAGTTCGTTCTGAGAATTTTATTTTCAAATGTATTTGTTTCTTTTGTTAACACAGATAGTGCGTCTTCTACTGATCGACTTTATAGTAGTACGAATAGTTCTCCATCACAATCTGCATCATATTCATCACAGTCATCGAATGATCATTCACCATCAATAACTCAATCAGACGAATGCCTTCGAATTTTAGTACAACCAAAAGCAAAATATCGTGATCGATATTGGAGTGAAACAGATGAAACTAAAAATAGAGCACAACGTTTTATTCGTGCTGATGGTGATGATGAAACTAAACAACATGAATATCCAACTATTGAAGTATGAAATTAAGTTGTATACAGTCATCTTCTTTGTTTTGAAGATAGTTATAGAAGAGAAACAGTTAATTTAAATCTAGTCAAAGAATAATAATAAGAAAACACATATTTATCAAAAAATATGAGTGTTATGCTTTTTATTTATTTTTAGAGAATAAACAAAGCTGAAATTGCTAGATAATGGGTAAGAGCAATAAAATGTTGATTGAACATAACACGCATTTATCGTTTGGCTATAGATCTTTTTAGTAATTTTTATAGAAATGAATAGCTGCCCTTCTAATCAATAATCACCTATTTGCCCCTTGTAATCATCACTCTCGAATTAATATTTCTTTTGTTTTACAAATATTAATTTATATTCTATATATCTGTCCATAGATTCCTCCAAAATGGTGCGATCCAAACCGAAATCTATATATTCGAGTTACTCTTGTCACTGTTCCATCAGATAGAGCACCTAAAGTTTGTATACATCCGTATGCAATTGATTCAAAAGAAAATGGTGTTCGTCACGGATCACACGATAATTCACTTTATTTTCCAATAACTACTGAAGAAAAGCATCGTGGTCAAAAAAGGTATATACAAATAGAAATCAATAATAAAACTTAATTTCTGTTTTTAGTTTTCGTATGAGTCGGAAGAAAAAGACTCAACCTGAACTAAAATCTTATGGACCTTTACGTTTATATGATTCGAGTAAGAAACACAACAGAAAGAATGAAATATATATACATGGATTTAAATGTTTAGATCAACATGATATTCCAAGAATTTCAAACGTACATGATGCTAAACAAATTATCAAGGTATATGAATTATGGAAATCTCAACTTATTTTTACTGTGGCTGAACTCGCATGTAGTAATCAATTACTTAATCCAGAATATTATACATCAGTAATGTATTCGACATCAGTAAAATCTCAAGTAATGTGTGATGTAGCTAGTAGACAAGAAAGTTAGTGTTATTTTGTTTTAATTGGATTAACAATAGATTTACTTTTTAATTTAGGATTACCATCAGTGAATGATTCAATATTTACAACTATATTGGATAATGAAATAGTTAGATGTGTACCAAGAAAAGGAGATTGGGATGGTGGAGATGAAATATTAATGACAATACCTAAAATTGATAGACACAAAGGTAATTTTAAAACATTCTACGAATCGATATTACGTATTCTTCGTATTTAATTTAACTTCTGATATAATGACGATTACAATTTTGTTTTTTCCATACTAAAACAACAGAGACTCCTAAATTTCGCCAGTGCCATTATGTTATTACAGTTGACGAAAATCTACTGTTCTGACGCCAAGTGGCGCCTCTAATTTCACCAATTGTTATATATCGATGCTTTTCTATTTGTTTATAATAATAATCAATGAAATCTAACTGTCATTATATGAAAGAAAAACATCTAAGTTTATATTTATTAGTTCTATTATATATTATAGGATTTAATGTTTATTTTGATTATCATTCAAATGGAATAGTGGATATACAAGTAACCTTTGTTGATTCAAAAACAATTTTTTTTCAAACACCACCATGTAAAAATCCTGAATTTCGGGAAAATTCAATAGTCCCACTAATTGTTATACAAGGTGATTTTATACTTGCTCGTATTGATTTTGTATATAAGAAACGACGATGTTCATTAGCGGATGGTATGGATACTGATGGGGTTGAATCATTGATTTCACCGATGACTCGATTGACAACAGAAGAAGTTAATCATATAAATTTTATATTTCTATAATAGATCATCTTTTTTTATATTATAGAAACCTATTAAGTCAAATCATCAGTCGAACAATGAAGGTACAGATATATTCTATTGTAATTGCTTCATAAGTTTTCTTTAATATTGTTAGGCAAAGGTTCAGAATTTGATAAATATCTTGGTCAGTTACAAGTGGCAGCTGTTGAATTTCTTCGTACGAATGATCCATCAAAAATATTTCGTCGAACACGTCTTTTAATTGGTAAATGTACCGAAAATCCTCCACCATTACACGATGCTATACAACATAATCATATTAACTTAGCATTAAAACTTATTGAACAAACTGTTGATATGCCATCTTCATCAAATAATTTACTTGAACGTGAAGATAATGATGGTGTTTCACCATTATTGTTTGCAGCTAAATTTAATCAATGGACTTTAATTGAAGCTATTCTTAAGAAACGTTTAGATTTGATTGAAAAAACTGATAAGTCTGATAATAATATTCTACATCTACTTGCAAATATATCGGAAGATAAAGCTACTGAAACAATCAAGAATATTTTTGTATTATTATCAAATGATACAAAAACAAAACTTTTAGAAAAGAAAAATAATAATAATGAAACACCAATGGAAATTGCTCAAGCGAATAATAATAATCTTTGTGTTGATCTTTTTAAAACATCTTAAATGTTTTGTTAATATTCAAAAATTTTTTTTCTTATCATGCTAAATTTTTTATCAATAATTAAACACGAAAAATAAAAATTTATTTCATTCTTATTCACAAATGTGTATAGTCCCTTTGATAACAAAATAGTTGCAGTCAATAATGCTTTTAGATTAATTCATAAGAGAATAACCATGGGAAGCGAGTACAACTTCGATGATATAGGTAATTGCAAGAAATTTACTCTTTTCTTTTATTAATATCTTACTAACATGACTTTACCGTTTCAGATATACTCTCACCTACTGAAAGCTTACAAAGTAAACTTTATAGAAATCTTTCGAATTGAATTAACTTTCTCGATTTTGTATAATAGATTTTATTGAACAGTATGGTCTGCCTGAAGGTATTGTTCTTTGAGAAAAAAACCATTGATTCTTATTTGTCCTTTAGTGTCTCTAGCTAGTGCAAATCCTCTGTCATCATTTCCAGTTTATAGTAAGTGATATTTAGAAAAAAATAGTTTCTTTAGATAATTCTTCTTTTCAGACACTGACAGTGCACCAGGATTTTCACCAGACCATTGTCAAAATCCTGACAGTCAAAGCTACTCTACTAGTATATATAGATATGTTTTTAGTGAAGATTCTTTATTGTACTTTTTAGTAACTTCACAAGCTGCTGCTCTCTCATTCGAAATAAAGACACAGTCTAACGGTTTCGAAATCATTGCAGAGCCTTTGTGTACATATAAACTAAGGACTCGCGAAGATAATATAAAAGATGGACGTCAAACTCCCCTCACAACAGAAAATACGAATTATAATGGCCCAGCAGTTCGCGTACGTTGAATTTATAAGTTTTACTTTCTGATATCTTACACTTTTTGTTTTTTCAGATTCCATCATGTTATATTAATACTATCGAACAATATTATATTGGTATTTATCTTGTCACAGTCCCTCATGAGAAAACCGGATGTCATCATTTTCATCCATATATACTCGAAGATTATAATAATCCAGATCATAATAAAGACGATGGTAGCATTTGGTATCCGATTACTAGTGATGATTCCATGGGTATTAAAAGGTCCTAACTTTTAGAAAATAAACTTTCCTTTCATTACTTAATAATATTTTAGCTTTCGAAATATACGTATCTCAAAACGGAAAGAAGAAGACTTAAAACAATATCTTAATTTACCAGTATTTTATGGGTGTAGTTAGTAGATTAATATATCATTAAAATATTTATAGTTTAGAAATTCTAAAACTTTTAGATACAAATATAACAGACAATGTTGTGCCTCAATCGAGTTCAGGAAGAAAACTAATTCAAGAATATAACTTGAAAACAATGCATTTATCATTTATTATTGGTAAAAAAGACAGTATGAATGATAAAATTCCAAGATTTGTTGATCCTAATTTAATATTTTTTTCACGTGAAATTGGAGAATCAGTGAATGGAGATAATGAATCTAAAGAATCAACTGCAATAGCGGATGTATCACCCCCTGCTTGTAAGGTTGACGAATATGCACCAAAATATGGTTATTCAACTGGTAAGGATAAAATGCTACTTTTCTTTTCAAGAAAACTGGAAAGAAGGAGATATGGAGAGCTAGAAGTTACATTTGAATATGGTGCACCTAATATTATTTGGTCGAAGACAATTTGCAGTGAAGCTATCAATATTAACGATCAAATGGTATCATTTATAATACCAAGTTTTCAAGATCCTATTAGTGAACGTATTCCTGTGAATATAAAACTACAACAAAAAAAACGAAACTTAGGAACAATCAAATACTCTTATATTCCAAAATGTAATTTAAAAGACTATTGTTTGAACTATTTAAAATTATTTATGTTTTTCACTTTAGCACAAAATTCAATCGGTGAAACTAACATGATGGGAACTCCTAATTTACCTACACGACGTAATCCACTTAAGCGTTCTAAATCTAATTTAATAGCACAAGGTGCTGATGATGAACCTGATGCTGTAGTACCTGTTTCTGAAAGTAAACCTGTAAGTTAAATTTGATAGTTTTCAAATAAATCGATTATCTATAATATTTCTAGGAATCTAATGCATCAAATTCTAGTAAGTATAATTCCCTAGATTAACATAGGTTTAGAAATATTCTATATTTTGTGAGAAAGTTTTATACATGAGTTTTAATTAAGGTTCAAGATTTTCTTCAGAGTTTTTAACTAATTTTTATTTCAGCACCTCCGCCAGTAGTCAAGTCTGATCAAACAACTGGCGAGACTATAGAAAAACTCCTCGAAGAAAATATTATAACACTATTTAATAGTAATAGTTTTACACCACTTTTATCTACTTGTCGATTCGCTGTTAAAAAACATCCACATTTATTTCATACAGCTATCGAAAACAATTATTCTTATCTTCTATCACAGTTTATTCCTATCACTCTACGTAAACTACTTCAACAAAAAAATGAATCGGGTGAAACAATTCTTCTTCATATTCTTCGTCTCAATCGTCTTGATATTTTTAAGACTCTAATAGAACACAAAAAGTTTGATGAACTTCTCGATGATGTCAATGATAAAAAACAAAATCTATTTCATGTTCTTGCAATGAATAAAGATGCTGAAGAAATATGTGATCTATTAATCGAATATCTTATGAAAAAATCAATAAATATTGAAGAAAAGTTTGGTAATGTTGATGAAGATAATCATACACCATTAGAACTATCAATTATAAATGATAATCTACCAATTACACGTTATCTTTTAAAACATTTTGATAAAAATGTATGCCAAACAACTGATGATACTGGTGATAATCTAATTCATCTAGCTGTACGTCATAGTAATTTGACGATGCTTAACTACTTACTCAATGAAGGAGAATTAAAGGAACATGGAAATCAAACAAATTTGACAATGACACCACTTGAGTTAGCTCAATCATTGAAACATGATGATATGGTGAAATATCTCAATGAAATATATCCTCAATCGGAATTTCATGAAGATGAAAGTTCAGACGATGATTAGTTATTTATTATCAAGTTTATAAAACGTTTTACTAAAATCCCGGATTATTGCAATGTAAACTTATTAGTTAAATAGTCAGAACAATTATGTGATAATCATAGAACATAATATGTATTTTTGTTGAAAAGTTTTTTATTATATTTTATATAATCAAGAATATTTTTTTTTAGTTTATAATTTTTTTTTGACGATATTCTTAAATTCAAAGAATAAAAATATTTCTGGGATAATTATCAATTCAAAAAAAGTCAACTTTCATTCATATTTATAACAATAAAATAGACAAATTCATGAATGTTGGCCATTTATCTCGAAAGTATGAAAAATTCTTGTCGATAAATTAAGGATATTATTTGAGTTAAATATATTACTAATATCAATATATTGAGACATTGATTCTGTGAAAATATGCTCTATTTATGTTTTTTAATGATGTATATCTATGAATAATGTTGAAACAAGTATATTTGTCGCAAAATGTAAGACTATAAAACTAAACATCTACAACTTTTTAATACTATTGACAAGAATTGTTAGAAGTAATACACTTATGTGGAGTTACCGTTATGATTGAAAAATACAAATTGTCTAATTTATAATATTAATTTCACTACTTTCTATTAGTATCTATGAATAAAAGTATGCAAGGTATATACTTTTATATGATTAACACCTTAGTATTTTATTGCTTAGTAAGTAATGACTTTGGATCAGCAAGACAAAGATGATAATGCTATCTCAAGAGTCCTACCTTGGTGCTGATATCAAGATGATCAAAATATCGATAAGCATCAATGTCACACTGAATAGCAACCTATGTAATCAGCGGAGTTGGAGTGGAGTTGTGAAAAACAAGATGGAGTTGGAGTTGCTTACCCCCGAAGTTGCCATCTCTGTTATGCATTCCTACGTACTTAGCAAAATGTTTGCATCATATAGATAAATGCTGTTCAAAACGATCTTCGAAAATCTGATAAAGAGAATAATAATATTTTACATCTATTTGTATATACGAATCAAAGCTACCATAACAATACTTTCTGCATTGCTTTCTCAAAAAATTGTATTCTTGCGAAATTTCCCAACTATTCTTCATCATTCTCTTCTTCCTTGTATTTGGTATTTTCCGAGTTATCATTAATTATAAATTAGATATAATATATGTTTTCATTGATGTTTATTGATAAGTCTACTTTACAAATAAATCTCCAACATATAAGCTAAAAAACATTTTTTTTCAGTGTGGGACAACGTTATGTGGGAAAAAAGAACAAAACAAAAAAGCAAGAAAAGAACACAATGGGTATTTTGCTTTTTGTCCCAAAGTGGTTGTAATAAGTATGTTTAAATAACGATTGTAAATCTGATTATTTTTTATTTATTCAAAGACAATTGGATTACTTTATTTGTGTTAAATTACCAATATTGAAATATATTCTATTTTTGTCTGCATTAATTACAAAATCAAGATTTTTACTACTGCTCAAAACAATTTAACATGAATTTAGACAATGCATTTTCGTCAAACGGTATATTTCAATTAATTTCTAATAACATTATACTTAATTCGGTTTTTTTTACAATTTTATTAGCTGATGTAATCCACGGAGAAACTTCATCGAAACACGAAGCATTAGAAATTATCGCACAACCATGTCCAAAATCCAAATTACGATATCGATCCGATTATAATAGTAATGAAAAACGTCGAGGAGTTCTTCAAAGTCAAAACAATCCAAATTATAGAAGTCCTGCTATTCGTGTATGTTTATTGTAATATATTTACATTAAAAACAGTTTTTATTATAGATTCCAAAAACATATCTGGATGTGACAGAACATTATGTTATTCGTATCTGTCTTGTAACAGTTGAATATGAAAAAACTAAACTTCGTTACATACATCCGTACGATCTTGAAGATATTGAAAATGATACATATAATGACCGACCTAATAAAGCTATTTGGTATCCTATTCAAGGAAATGATATTGATGGCATAAAAAGGTATGAAAAATATTGAAAGATATTCGATATATTTATTTAATTTAGTTTTCCAAATTTACGTATTGTGAAGAAAAAGGCCGATGATTTGAAAAAACATGGAGATTTTCGTGTATTTGATTCTCATAGTCAGTTTTCATTGTAAATTATAAAGGCGAATAATAGATTTATTTTTAGTAGCCGGAGATTGTACACCACAATTAACTTGTATGAGAGATACAATTAAAGAATTTAATCTTGACAAAGCTCAATTAGCTTTTACAGTTGGAAAGAAAGTCATTGACACCACTAATACTACAATAGTATATGCTCTTACAACTATTTTCTCAAATGAAATTATTGATACTACAAGTAAAGAATTAGATTTCGATAATACACCTACTGAATCGAAAACTTTACGATCTCATCCACCAAAATTATCTGAGTGTTTTATGTACAAATATGCACCGCGTCAAGGTCATCGAAATAGTAAGGATGAAGTACTTATTTTCTATACGAATGGATTACAACTAAAGACATATGGAGGTTAGTTGATAATAAATTAATTCATTAATATGTTAACAATTATCTTTCTTCCTAGAGTTAGAAGTAATATTCGAATGTGAAATATTTGATGGTAAATGGTGGTCGCAACCTGTTCTAGATCTCGAAGTTAAAAATCAAATGGTCTCATTTCGAACACCGATATTTCCATATACTATTAATGACATCACACCAGTTAATATTATATTACGACAAAAAAAGAGAACTTTAGAACAACTGATATTTAACTATATTCCATCATGTAACAAAAGATAGAATTTATTCTATTTACATTGGTTTAAATAATTTTTGTGTTTTAGCTCAATGTCCGAACTGTTCACAACGCACTATGGAACAAATGAATCTATGTGAAGAAACTAGTTTAAATAAACGTCGTAGATGTGATGTGAATATTAATGATGAAACAACAGATGATATGACATTGATTTTTGATAATAATTCTGTGATTCACCAGTCAAATTTAGAACCAGTAAGCTAACTCTCATGTACAACTAGAAAATTTATAATTATTATTATAGGCATTATCACCTTTTTCCATGACAGAAAATCTAGGTGAGCAGGGTTTTTTACTATAAACACTAGTAGAAGTAGTTACTCATTTTATACAAGAGCTTGTTATTAAAAATTGTTTATTGATGTATGTGAATGATTTCTGTTTTTTTTTTGTAAATTCTAATTTAAATAATATGTTACCGTAAAACAATGACAAAATCTTTCTTTAACGTTTATTTTACGTAGCATAGCGAAGTTAATGTCCTAGGGTCTATATCTTTTGATCACCGACGAATGTCTCAAAAGTAGAGTTACCAATCGCTCTAGCAGTCTGCATTGGGAATCTGACAGTTCAAGCCCGTAAACTGTTAGAAACTATATTAAGGAGCTGGTACGTAGTTCTAGCTCAAGCCATATGAACTGATGAATGATTCCAACTCAACCAATATAAATTAGTGGATAGTTTCAATTCATGTGCACTGATCATCAGTTTCTGCAATTTTTATATTCAAAAGACCTGTTGCGAAAAATGATACTAAGTAAGGTAAAATTTTTACCTTAATTAGATATTAAAAAAATCTATCTGCTGATTAAAATGAAATTAATTCATTATTTTTGACTATGCATTTATACATGCTAAACTAGGGATGTGACAATTCAAGCTCGTGAACTATGAGGATGGGTGAGAGTAAGTAAATAATAGAAATACCCACACTCGCACTCACACCCTTGAATACTGCTTTCATTAAATCGGACAAAGCTATGACAAACTATTTCATTTTAGGTGCTGTATCAATAAATAAAAAGAATAACGTTCAACTAGTTCTGGATAAAATTGCAGACAGCATTGAATTATTATTTACTACTAATAATTTTACACCACTTTTACGTATTTGTCGATTATTTGTTCAAAAACAACCACATTTATTTCATACCGCTATCGAAAACAATTATTTTTATCTTTTATCACAGTTTATTCCTATTGTTTCACTCAAATTACTTCAACAAAAAAATCAATTAGGTGAAACAGTTCTTCTTCATATTCTTCGTCTCAATCGTCTTGATATTTTTAAGATTCTGTTAGAAAAAAAAAGGTTTGCTGAACTTATCGATGCTGTCAATAATAAAAAACAAAATCTATTTCATCTTCTCGCAATGAATAAAGATGCTGAAGAAATATGTGACCTATTAATTGAATATCTTATGAAAAAATCAATAAATATTGAAGAAAAATTTGGTAATGTTGATGAAGATAATCGTACACCATTAGAACTATCGATTATAAATAATAATCAACCAGTTACACGTTATCTTTTAAAACATTTTAATAATGATACATCGTTGATAATAAGCAATGGTATTTTATTTGGAAGAATACAAATTATTGATTAATTAGTTACATTTAATCAGACATTAGAAATAGCTATAAGTTTTAGGATTATGCCAATATTTTTATTGTTGATTTTTTATGTAGTAAGAAGTAGACCTTTTTTTTCATCCAAGGAAATAATTAATTAATCATATGATTAGTTCGAAGTAATGAGTAAAAATATATAACTAGTGAGAAAATCTTTGAATCATCACGTCAAAAAAAAACAAAAAGATCTTACAGAAGACCTATGGAACTTCAAATTCCCATGAAATTGATTGATGCATATACCTTCCTAAATAAATATCCTATTAAAAAAATTTCGTTTTAATTCTTAATACGAAACTGAAAATTTCTTAATGTTTTTGTTTGGCGAGAAAATTTTACAGATGTCAACAATAAACTCACATTTTTATTTAAATACAAAAGTCAATAGAACGCAAGACAAAGTTGCGATAAAAAAAAATATCCCCATGTGTCATATCACATATCAGTATAAAGTGCTTTATTATTTCATATAGAATATAACAATCTTAGTCATATAATACTTAATCAAGGGAAATCTAGTACTTTATCGTTTGAATAATCGGTCATTATATTACTGATAAATCAATGAATTGTCATAGATAATATTTACAAGGATTTTTACAAAGCTAATATTAAAAGAACGAAGGAAAGAAAGAAAGAGAGAATGAAAAAAAACTTCTAAAAATATCTTGAAGAATGTTGTTCTCGTAAACTCGTAAATTATGACATATCTGGTAGTATTCCAAACGTAATGGGATCTATCACATAACCTGCGGTAAATAAAAGTACGTCTCACTATTCAATGATGCCATTCATAATACAACGAATTCTTAATATTTTCTTAATTGTATATTCAAATAATGTCACTTTCGAAACCAGCACTGCGCTTGGTTGCGGAGCCACAACAATTTTATCGTAGTAGATATGCTAGTGAAATGTGTCGTAATGGTACTGTATTGAATCGTTTTATTATTACTGGTTCTAATTCAGCCCAGTTCAAATATCCAACAGTTGAAGTAAGAGATATTCATAAAATATTTTGTTTTTTTTAATATGAATTAATAATTAGATACTAAAAGAATGGTATAACCAAGGATTATATATTTGTGTGATTCTGGTCACTGTTCCAACTGAAGAAGCACCTATACAATGCATACATCCGCATCCAATTGATACTGACGAAGTTAACGTTGTTAAAAATGAATATCGAAATTCACTTTTTTTTCCAATAACAGAAGAAGACTGTGTAAATGGTTTTAAAAGGTAAAGTGCAAGAATAGGAATAATTTATCAAATGAAATTTTTTTTATTTAGTTTTCGAATTATTCGTAAGAAATTAGTTCAATATGAATTAAAAAACTATGGACCGTTGCATATTGTACATTCAAATGATAATGATATCCAACGCATTGATGATCCATCTGATGTTCGAAAATTATCTAAAGTCTATCAATTAGAAAAATCGCAATTATTATTTTCTCTTGTTCAAACCGATCCTAATGGACGACTTATTGTACTCAGTGCAACATCTGTATATTCGAATATAATGACTGCTACGAAAGATAGAGTAACGAATAATAATGTAATTATTAGATGTTCACCACAAAAAGGTCATTGGATTGGTGGGGATGATATTTTGATGGTCATTCCCATATCGGATAGAAAAACACGTAAATAGTTTTTTGTTAGTATTTTTATTTAACTAATCGATTCATTTCTTTTAGCATGTGAAATATATTTCGAATATCCTTCTTTACAACGTCAGGAACCAGTTTCATTTCGATTTGTTGATTCAAAAACAATTACATTTACAACTCCACCATGTCTCATAGAAGTAAATGAAAATCATAAAATAGAAGTTCCTATTGTTGTTCGTCAAAATAATCAAGAAGTTGCACGTGTTAATTTTTGTTATGAACCATGTGAGTAACATTTTTATTTAACAACTAATTGAAATTTTCTTTTATTAGCTACATATAACTGCAGATGTAATAATGATTCAATTTTCAATTTTATTGACGAATCAAATACTTCCGAACTATCTTCTTCATCGAGTACATTTTGTGATGTAGATGATGATCTTGCTGAATATATGTAATCAATGATTTGACATTATAATTTTTATGACAAATAATTTAAACAAGATATAGCAGTGCTGTACAGGGTGTTTCAAGAGTCTCTTACACAATTAAAGCAATCTGATTGATTTTTTTGAATAAAATGACAGTATGCTCTTTAAAGTTTTATTTTGTATATTGTCAGATGTCCAGATTTTAGTCACCTATCATTGTGAAAGAAAAAATGCAAGTCGAATTCTGTACTATTAATGCTTTTCCAAAATGAGTATGATAGTAAACAGAAAGCAATCTGAAAGATCTTCAAAAATTAGAGAAGAGTCCAGTAAACATAAATTGTCTGCTTGTGTGTCTACAGGGTCAAAAGAACATCGAAAACCTATTTTCTACGGTTTTCAATTGTTTTTCCAGTAAATGTGAAGAGGATGTATTTCTATGAGAACGAGCGTTAATTGTGAGAATTTATCACTGAATATCATCTAATAAGCACTGATAACGAAAAGAAATTATTTCGAAAATGATGGATTTACGCGTCTCAGTTGAAGGTACTCATTTTGGACATTTGTTATAAACTAAAGATATCTGAATTAATTTTCGTAAAGGACTTTTGAAGCACCCTGCATATATTTTTTTTTGTATTAAAATAAAACATAAATTATAATAAACAAGATGTTTTTGAGTTTATATACTATAGTTTTTTACTATAAGAGTAGAAAGGAATTCAATTTATTACAACCGAGAGTATCAACATTGCATGTCTCGTAAATTATGAATAAACATATTCTGTCGGGGAAAAAAAACTTCAATTTTCATAATGCATGACGCGACGGATAGTAAAGAGTACTTTTATTAATTGTTTTCTTAAATGAAAAATTCGGAAGAGAATTTTAATTTATTAACTACTATATACCTATCATAAATTGAATTTCATTACTAAGAAAAAGTATCACAAGGTTTACTTACTAAAAAACCTATTATTAATATTTTCTAGGCAAAACATATAATGTCAATCGACTCTACGTAAAGAAATAAAACACCAGACATTGTATGTGTTTTTAATTCATAATAAAAGTATTTATCTTATGATATATTCTTGTTTTTTTGTCCTTCATTTTTACAAAGTAAATATTTTTTTCACTGAAGTCTCTCTTGTCTGCACAAACACAGCGATAAGAATCTCGAAAAACAAATTCCCGATAAACTTATAGTATAAATTTCTGTCTATCGAGTATAACTGAGTAGCTATAAATAGTTTTGAAAAAACTTCTCTTACAATAAAAATACTACTTTGTAAATTTCTATGAGTTATAATTTACAATGACATTTTATAGTAAAATTTAAAATATAGTTTTTTTCTATTCCTATCATCTAGACGTTGAATTCGAAAGAGAGACAACGTATACGAAGGTCAAATTACTCAACAACATTTTAAAACAAATCAACGTAGAAAAATATTCTTGGTTTTTTACTGAATATATATCATCAAGTTGAAACACTTATAAATAATGTCTATCATAGATGGTAATATAAAAAAACAAAAGAAAATTGTTTTTCTTTTTTAACATTTATGATGTATGTTTTAGATTGTATTAAATTCTCAGAAGAAATTGAAGATTTCGATGTGAATATATGGGAAAATTTGATTAATTCTGATGAAGTATTTACGAAACAATTTTCTCAATCAATAAATACAATAGATTATTCGGATAATTCTACAAATAAAAATGATATTCTCAAATTATCATCAAACGATATAAACACATCAACATTTGAGAATAGTAATAAGTTTATTCACATTCATCGGCCGATGATAATTCTCGTTTCACCTTCTCTCAATCAACGTGTTCGATATGCAAATGAATGTGAAAAAATAATTCGCTATGTATCCATTCCAGATAATAATATAATGACTTTCAAAGTAGATACAAATTTTTTTCAAAGGAATTTTATATAATTCAATTTTAATAGATTCCTGATCTTCGTGATAATCTTATTACTGGTGATACACTCTGGATGCGTATAACACGAACGACAATAGATCATCGAAAAGATCATTTAGTTTTTTATCATCCATATCCAATATGGATTAAAAATGAATATGCAAAAATTCATAATGGTTCAATTTTTATTCCAATTAATGATAATGATATGGAAACTGGTACTATGAAGTAAACTTTTCTATATATCGAACATTTAAATATTACATTAATTAGCTTTTCTTTTGTAGAATTTATACTTTAACAATGATTAGACTTAAACAATATGATTTAGCTAAAATTAATACATTACCAATCTATTCATCGACTCAACTTGTTGTCTTAGGTAGAATTGAAAACGACAAAAAAAATTATGATTATTTATTGAATTTTTAGATCAACATTCAGTCGAAATTAAGACACCAAAACGTATTCGAGATGAATATAAACTTCAACAATCGATTTTAAATTTTCAAATTGTTCGAGTCGATCAAAATAATCTTGCCTATCCAACAGATTGTTTTTGTCAAACAGAATCTATTCATGAAATTGAAGGTAAAGTTTGTTCAATGTAAATAATATAAATATTAAATACAAATATATTTCTAGCTAATGGGCAACAACATAAAGCGAAATGTCATGAGGAAAATACAATTCAAAATATATAAATAACAAAAACTTAGGAAAATGGTTATGAAAAATACAACGGATCGAAATATTCATCACCTTTGACAAGTTTTGAATACACTGAACTTGTGAATGATTAGTTTAAGCAATTTTCCTCGTAGAATTATTAATCTAATCTGTATATTCTAACATGCTGAAAGTTCTAACACTTTTCATATATCACAATGATGAATACAGTTTTATTGTATTCTAAGCTAAACACAGTTTTGTCTTATCTCTTTTAAATAACATTAATTTTCAAAAATTAACTAAACAATAGTTCTGATTTTGTGTTTACTATTGACTTCGAGTCATTTTTAGAATTATAACATTCTAACATTAACAGAGTGTATGTTGTGAGAAAGATACAATATTATAATATGTAAGTAAACTGATGGAATAAATGACAGTCAAAGTTCATTTACTTGCACAAAACTCAAGATATGTAAAGCAAATCAATAAATGAAAACAATATTAGTGTTGTTGATTTGATCTACGAAATGCATTGTACAATGTAGAGGAAATAAGAACTTCAATAATTTGTTAAATTTTATTTTAATATCTGATTTTAGTCATTGTCGATTTTTCTTCGACTTAAACTTTTAACTGTAACATACGCCAGAAGATTATTGAAATAGGTAAGAATATATATGAATAAAATCGTTTATTTGTCGTAGATATGTAATATCTGAATAGATATTGACAATACATGATTTTAATAATCATCTAAAAGGAACTCTTTCGTATATTGTTCTATTCTATACGAATATATATTTTGATATATCTATATTTTAGACGATAAAGTTAATTTCGAAAAAAAGACTGTTGTACGTTTTAAAGTAAAATTGTTTGTACTCAATATAAATCACTGCAGACATTTTTCTTACTTCTATTGTCAATTTAAAATTTTCCAAGACTCAATTGGTATGCCTACGATTTTTCTTTCTCCTCTTCGATTAACGTTCTCTCTTATATTTCATTTATGTTCTTTTTCTAGTTTTGATCATTTTAATATAACGAAAATACGAATTAGTTGAAAGTCGGCATTGTCGGTGAGAACCTATTACAAACAGATGAGATCTTTTTTAAATCAACTCAAGACACCTATGTTTTTTCGTCTCAACATTATAGGAGTCTTCTTTGACCAATCGGCTTCTTTTTTGCAAAGTAAATAATCAAAGATAGACGGGAAAAAATATTTAAATAAAATGCTAGATTTCTTTTAATAGCTATAGAGATTTTGTTTTCTCCTCAGATAAAAATTTGCAACAGATATGGTAGATCAACCTAATGATGATGGTAAATTAAAACATCGACATAGTAATTATTTAAATTTCATTGTATTAATTTTAGTTCCTCGACGTACATATGATGATGAGGATTATGATCAGCTCGGTACACTATTGTCCTTCGATGAATTTCAATGTTCAGACAACAGCCCGATAAATGATTTTGATCCGCAAATGCTGTGTCTTGATCAAGTTCCATATTTAAATAGCAGCTTGAGAAATGATTTGGATAAATATTCACCGCTATCTTTCCAAAGTCCAGGTGATCTTTTTAATAATAAAGACGTCGTTTCTCATAGTCTCGATGTGCAGGCAACAGCGTCAGTTATGCCTAATAATGATATTGTTGTTGAAGAATTATTTTCTGGTCAAAACTTAGGGGTTATACACTATCGTAACGGTATTTTCTTTCATGTTTTTTCAAAATAATTATTTTTGATAAAATTCTAGAACCAGTCAATAAGGAGACTGTTAGTACAACTCCTTCTGGTTTGTTAAAATTTGTTTACTTTATAAAATTTATTTAGAATGGTTCTTTTTACAGGCGTGGATGAAAATAACACGGAAACAGTTGCTGATATATCATCTGAACCCAGTCTGGATGCTTTAGAGGCTTTGGTAAATAATTAATTCTATAACTAGTTATTGACATTTTCTTTCTTTTAGTTACTTCGTGAAATTAAAAATCTTATGGAAGAATTTAAGCAGTTTCAGGGACAAGCCAATTTAAGAAACATTGACGAATTGATTAAAGAACGTATAATGACTATTATAAAACATCTACCAGCTGATCTTCGTCTTCGCTATGAATCTGAGCATCGACGTCGAGTATCTCCCAAAAATCCTATGAAGATTGACGTATGTTAATATTCTTCATCTTCTTCTTAAATTTTTGTCGAATTTCATTTTTATTCTTTAGATATCCAATGTACAGTATATTCAGTCAAGCTCTGACGAAACTTTTTTTATTCGATTGCTATTAGCTTCATCGATCGAAAATCCAGCTGGCGAAATATGTCTTCATCCAAATAAATTAGGATATGTTTCCAATAATGAAGAAGATGCAGAAGTATTAGACGATGGAACTCTTGCTGTTCGTTTAACTGCAGATGATATTAACAACGGAATAAAAACGTGAGATTAGATCTTTTTTATTAAAACTATTTTAAATTTACTCTTCATTTAGATTCACAGATTTATCAATGACTAAACGAACGCTAGAAACATATAATCGTCAATTAACGCCACTTAAGCTATACGGAATTGCTGATGGTATTATAATTGTGTTTTATATATACTGAATATATATTTAATATTTATTTAACATTAGATATACTTGGCAATGCAACAGTCAAGGTAAATGAAGCAAAACGTAGCCTCCTTATCGCGGACAAAAATTAAGCCAATGAGTGCAAAACGATCACTTTTTTGCATGACAAAAAATCGATTATCTCATTCTATACTGTGTTTCCAAAAAGCGATCACTCTTTCAATTACGAAGCAATCAACAAATATAAACTAATGATAATAGAGAGAGTTATTCATTCATACTACTACTATATGAAAAAAAAAACATTATTCTTCATCATTACTGTCTTTAGCATCTTTTAAAACAGGTTATATAATAGGAAAATACCTGTGTTACATATAAGAACTATTACATTAAGAAAAGACCAAAAGAACATATTCAAGTTCTACGACAGAACGAAATAATGAGTATATATATGCATACAAAAGAAAAGAAAACATATTGGATAATTCCTTATGAAATGTTGTAACGAATACTCCATAATAATGTTATTTTCTTTTAGGACGTAGCCGAAGCTAAAACAATTTTTAGTACATATCAACTGGAAGTTAATTGGATTATTTGTCAATTAGTGATCAAACAAAATCAATCGTTAACGTATACAGATATTGTGTGTGTAACATGTATAATGGAAGAATGTAATGAGTGTTATAAGAATATTTTCTTCTTTAAAGCACTGTTTGATTTATTTAGAGCAACCAACAAAACGATCAATAGAACCAATTGAAGATGACGAAGAGGAAGAAGAAGAAATCGAAAAAAGTCCAAGTCGATCAAAATCGAAACCAATAAAACGAAAGACAATTTTTCATTAATTTTTTTTTGTTTTTTTATTTGCGTACAAAATAATGACCAGCAGATCCTGACACTAATTTCTCATTAATTAACAATTCATTATTTTTATTTTTATTATCTCTTATTTTTATTTATTCAAGCTTATAAAGGCATACTTTTGAATTATTTCTTGCTAAATGGCCTTCTCCATCTAGTGCTATTTTTTAATTGAAAGTTTCTGTTTTTTTGCTTATTGAGAACCGAACTATAGAGTTTTATTTTCGGCTATCGTTTAAGTGGTCAGTAGGATAGATGAAATGGTCAGTGAAAATATTAAATATTCATTAGTACAATGGCTAGTAATTAATCATAAAACGGTCAATTTTTAATACATAAATATTACTAAAACATTCAGATGTTCTCATTAGAATAAATAAGTTTATTAGTATGAAGATTAACTTATTATAAGAAAAGTAAGTAAAGAATCAAAAAGCAAATAAGAAATCTACAAGATTCTTAATTAGAAATTCGAAATATGAGAGGAAAAAACTATGAAAATATAACTATTGTACTAATAAGGTAGGTCTAATCGTTGTTCACCCACCTTTTTCTTTTATCTGATCAATCTTGATTGTTTTGCAGCGCATGATTCTGAATATTTTTAACGAATACATACACGACAATGTGTCCGTATATGTTGTTTGTTAAGTATGATTTGGAGCTCAAACCACTTCTTTTCTTGATTTAACTGTTTGATACGATAAAGTCTATAATTCTAAACAAAGTATTGATTCTGCAACAAATATTTTTGCATTAAATGTGGATGGGTTCGTTCGATGAAGAGTTCGTGAAGAGCTATTAAACAACTGTCTCTAAAAGATTACTAATCTAATCTATGTATTCTAACACGCAGAAGTTCTAATACTTTTCGTATGTCACAATGATGAATACAGTTTCATTGTATTCTAAGCCAAACGCAGTTTTGTCTTACTTCTTTTAAATAACACTAGCTTTCAAAAATTAACAAAGCAATAGTTTTGATCTTGTGTTATATATTATGAACTAAATTGTATTAATTTTTTAGTTATTGCGTTTACTACTGACTTTGAGTCATTTTTCGAACTAACATTAACAGCGTAGATGGTGTAAGAACCATATAATAATCTAATATGCAAGTAAATTGATCAGATAAATGACAGTCAAAATTTATTTCTTTTTACAAAACTCAAGAAATGTAAAGTAAATCAATAAATGGAAACAATGTCAGTGTGGTTAATTTGATCTACGAAATGCATTATCCAATGTTGAGGAGATAGAAACTTGAATAATTTTTTAGATTTTATTTTACTATCAGATTTTAGTCATTGTCGACTTTTCTTTAGCTTCAATTTTTTGACTGTAACATACACCAGAAGATTATTGAAACAAATAAGAATATATGCGAATAAAATCATTTATTTGTCATAGATGTGTAATATCTGAATAGACATTGACAATACATAATTTTAATAATTATATAAAAAGAAATCTTTCGTATATTGTTCTATCCTATACGAATATATATTCTGATACATCTGAATCTATAAACATGTTGCACGATAAACATAATTTCCAAAAAAGGACTTATATGTTTTGAAATAACGTTATTTACTTAATGCAAATCACAGCAGACATTTTTCTTTCTCCTTTCCGATTAATTTCCTCTCTTATATTTCATTTATGTTCTTTTCGTAGGCTTTATTATTTTAATATGACAAAAAATATTAATTAGTTGAAAGTCGGTGAGAATCTGTTACAAATAGTTGAGATCTTTTTTAAAGCAACTCAAGACATCTATTGTATTTATGTCTAAGCATTATAGGATTTCACTTCACCAATCACATTCTTTTTGACAAGATGAATAATCAAGCAAGTATTGACAAAATGAAATGCTTGAATAAAATGCTTCATTTCTTTTAATAGCTACAGGGATTTTGTTTTTTTTCAGATACAAATTTACAGCAAATATGGAATATCAACCTAATGAAGGTGAATTAAAACATTGACTTAGTATTTTTCTTAATTTCATTCTATTAATTTAGTTCCACCATGTACATCTGATGATCAGGTTTTTTATCAGTATGATGCAATATTGTTTGCGAATCAATCTCAATCTGTAAACAGCACCTCGAGAGATGACTCAAATACAACCTTACCATCATCTGTCCAAAGTGCAGAGGATCCTTTTAATAACCACGACGCCACTTCTCCTGGTCTTAATGGGCAACCAACAATACCATCTACGCCTAATAATGCTGCTGTTGTTGTTGTTGAAGAATTATCTCCTGGTCAAGCCTTTCTCGTTATACACGATTGTCCCGGTATTTTCTTTCATGATTTTTTTGAAATTATTAGTTTTGATAATATTCTAGAACCAGACAATGAAGTGACTGTTAGTACAACTCCTTCTGGTTTGTTAAAATTTGTTTACTATTTAAAATTTATTAGAATGTTCCTTTTTACAGACGTGGATGAAAGTAACATGGAAACAGTTGCTGATACATCATCTGAACCCGATCTGAATGATTTAAAGAAGCATGCTGAAGAAGAAAATTTAAAAAGGATTGACGAATCGATTGTAGAACGAACAATGCGTGTTAAAACTCATCCACCAGCTTATGTTCGTCTTCGCTATTGGTCTGATGGTCCACGGCAACTAGCAAAATCTCTGAAAGATCCTATGGCGATTGATGTATGTTAATAGTTTTCATTCTCGTCTTAGCTTTTTATTTAATTTCATTTTTGTTCTTTAGCTACCCAATATAAAAAACATTAAATTAAACTCTGCTCAATCATTTTGGATTCGATTGTTACCAGCTGCATGGATGATAAATCTACCAGACGAAGTATATCTTCATCCAAATAAACTAGAATATCATTCTGATGATGTAATCAAATTTCCCGATGGAACTATTGGTGTTCGTTTAACTGCAGATGATATAAAGAAAGGAATAAAAGTGTAAGATTAGATCTTTTTTTATTAAAACTATTTTAAATTTATGCTCCATTTAGATTTTCACGTTTACAAATATTAAAAACAAAGCTAGGAACATATTATCGTGAATTCACACCACTTGATCGATTCGGCATTGCTAGTGGTATTACAATTTTCTTTTCTATATACTGAATATATATTTATTTATTTAACATTAGATATAGATGGCAATGAAACAGTTCCGGTGAGTGAAGCTAAAAAGATGTTTGATAAATTTAACTTGAAAGCTATGTGGATTGTTTGCCAATTATTGGTCGAACAAAATGAAACATTTCATTTTACAGATATTATATGTGTAACAGATAAAATAGAAGAAATCAGTGAGTGTTTTATGAATATCTTCTATTTCAAAATGTTGTTTGATTTATTTAGAACAACAAAACAAACGAGCAGTAAAAATAATGAAAGTGATGAAAAATAAGAAGAAATCAAAATCAACAAAACAAAAGAAAATTTCTCATTAATTAACAATTTCTTATTTTTATTTCTATTTTCTATTATTTTTCATTATTCACGCTTATAAAGACGTACTTTTGAATTATTTCTTGTAAAATGGCTTTCTCCACCTATTGTTCTTTTCTTACTAAAAATTTTTGTTTGTTTTGCTTATTGAGAATCGAACTATGTGAATAGAATAAATGAAATGGTCTGTAAATAAAGATGCAAATGATCGGTGAAAATATTAAATAGTCAGTAGTACAATGATCAGTTTTTAATACATAAGTATCAGTAAACAATTCAAATTACATTAGTAAAACATTTAGATATTCCCATTTGAAGGATTAACTTTATTTGAAATTTCATAAAAAAAATACAATTCAATGCTTAGATTCCAACAAAACACAAAATGTATAATTAAAAAGGCAGAGGAAAATGGTTATGAGAAATACAACTGATCAGAGTATTCTTCACCTTTAACAAGTTTTGAATAGACTGAACTTGTGAATGATTAATTTAAACAATTTGCTCCATAGAATTATTGGTCTAACCTATATATTTTAACAAACTAAAGCTCTGAAACTTTGCATATGTTACAATAACGAATACAGCTCGATTGTATTCCAAGTTAAACACAGTTTTGTCTTACTTCTTTTAAATAACATTAATTTTCAAAAACTAACAAAGCAATAGTTTTGATTTTGTGTTATATTTCATGAATTAAATCGAATTAATCTTTTGGTTATTGCGTTTACTACTGACTTTGAGTCATTTCTAGAGCTGTAAAATTCTAATACTAACAGATTCTTTGCGTAAAACACAAGAAATGTAAAATAGATCAATAAATGAAAACAATGTTAGTGCTCCTGATTTGATCTACGAAATGCATTCTACAATGTAGAGGAGATAGAAACTTCAATACCTTTGTAAATTTTATTTTACTATCAGATTTTTGTCATTGTCGATTTATCTTTAGCTTGAATTTTTTTTGACTGTAACATACGCCAAAAAATTGTTGAAATAGGTAAGAATATATATGAATAAAGTCGTTTATTTTGTCAAAGATGTGTAATATCTGAATAGACATTGAAAATATATGATTTTAATAATCATCTAAAACGAACTCTATCGTATATTGTTCTATTCTATACGAATATATATTTTGATAGATCTGAATGTATAAACATGTTGCACAATAAAAATAATTCAACAAAAAAACACTTGTATGTTTTAAAACAACATTATTTATTCAATATTAATCACTGCAGACATTTTCCTTTCTTACATCATCCACTTGAAATTTCTCAAGACTAAATTAATATGTACGGGATTTGTTCTTTATTCTTATCGATGAATTTCGTCTCTAATATTTCATTTATGCCATTTTGATATGCTCTATCATTTTAATATGACAAAAATACAAATTAGTTGAATGTTAGTATTGTCGGAGAGAACCTATTAAAAACAATTGAGGTCTTTTTTAAATCGACTCAAGACACCTATATTTTTCGTCTAAACATTATGGAAGTCTTATTTCATCAATCAAATTTTGAAGGGCAAAAATATTTTAAAAAAAGTTAGATTGCTTTGTAATAGTTTAACGGCTGCATAGGCGGCGCGCCATAGTAGTTAGGGGTAGCAATAGAAAGTTATTGTTACCCCTGGTAACACGTATTCTGAGATTTGTTAGAAGAACTCTTAGATAACCCGAGACTTATCTTATTTTCTTAGACTGTACTTTCATCATGTAACCTATGGTAAGAAAGTCTTGGCGCAAAATCTTTGGTCATTCTTCAGTTATTTAAAAACAATCAGGAAGAGCTGAAGGCAATCAGAAAGATTCAGAATTTGTTGCTCTTTTTGAATATAGGATTAGACATTTTTATGTTAGGTTGTATTAAATAGTAATGAGGAAATCTTTGAAATGTCTAAAAATATAGTTCGTACAAAAATATTTTTCATAGATATTCACTAGTTGGTGCGAAATTGAAATTCGAAACTTTTGTTGATATACCGGCTTGTAGAGCCAGATTGGCTCTAGAAAATCCTCTGTTTGATTTTTATTTTTGTGTTGCACGATGACGCCTAAATTATCATTTTACATATTAACCTAATTTTACGCTATCGACAATTTGCTTTCACTTAGCAGATGTTTGCGGAGAGAATGTTTAAAAATTGAAACCTATGTTTCACTGCATATCAGATTTTGTAAAACGATATTTGCTCTGCAAAATTACCCTGTCCACCAATTTTGATCCTTTTCACTAATGAAAACCCAATTAACTTATTTGTTCGCTCCATAAACCGATTCTAATGCATCACGAAGATTCGTGCACTGTTTTGGAACAAAAATAGATAGACAATTTTTGAGCGTGTATTCAAAAAGGAGCATAAGATTCTGATTCTGATCCATAGGTTTTCACTTGCTTGAAATGTTTTCAAATAGGCCACAAACGATTGCTGTTTAATAAAAGTTACAAGAAAAACGTCTTACCCTATGTTCAGAAAGAGCAACAAATGCTGAATCTTCCTAATTGCTTTTAGCTCTTCCTGATTGTTTTTAAGTAACTGAAAAATGAGCAAAGATTTTGTGCCAAGACTTTTTTACCATAGGTTAAATATAGGTTTTGAAGCAAAAAATTTATTATTGTTATTGATTAAGGTTATGCGTTTAAAAAAGTTATTGCTACCCGTAGAAAGTTCACCTTGCGCCGCCTATGATACGACTTGTTCACGGAAGTAGGTGATTCCGTCACCGTTGTTTGTAGTGAATGAGAAGTTGTAGACAACTTTGGAGTGCTCCATTTTGAAAAGCATAATTCTTCTTCTAAAATCGCAAATGTATTCAATTCTTGATACTAAGTCGTTTATGCGTTATGGAGCAAATGAAGCGTCACGAAGTCACGTTTTTTACGTGGACAGGCTTTATAGATTTATTTTATTTTCGTTACAAAATTTGCCACACATGGTACACCAACTTGACGAAGGTAAATTAAAACATTGCCATAGGAGTTCTTTTAATTTCATTGTATTTATTTTCGATTCTCGATGTACAGATGATGATGAGCACGATACAAAGTTGTCTTCCGATGAATCTGAATATTCAAGCAGCAGCTTGGGTGATGACTCAGATACAACCTCATCATCTGAGGAAAGTTCAGACGATCGTCGAAATGAAGAAGACGGCACTTTACGAAATTTTAATCGGCTACCAACTACATCATTTAGCGCTGATGATCGTGTTGATGAAGAATTATTTGCTGGTCAAACCTCGGGAGTTGATAACTATTTTAACGGTATTTTTTTCATGTTTTTTTCAAAATACTTAAGTTTGATATAGAGCTACAACCAGTCAATCAAAAGACTGTTACTACAACTCCTTCTGGTTTGTTAAAATTTGTTTAGTTTATAAAACTTATTTGCAATGTTTTTTTTACAGATGAGGACGAAGATAGCACGGAAACAGTTTCTGATGAATCATCAGAATCCGATCTGGATGGTTTAAAGAAGCATGCTGAAGAAGAAATTCCAGAATGGCTTGCCGAAGTGATTGCAAAAACATTGATCGCTGTTAAAACTCATCCACCATCATATCTTCGTCTTCGCTATGAAATTGATGGTCCACGTCGATCTTTTAGAGATCCTTTGGCTATTGATGTATGTTAATAGTTTTCATCTTCTTCTTAGTTGTTTGCTGAATATCATTTTTATTCTTTAGATATCCAAGCTACAAAAAGAACCATTAAGCTCTGATCAAACATTTTGGATTCGATTGTCACTTGTTGCACACAGAGAAAATGCACCAGATAAAACATATCTTCATCCAAATATATTGAAATATATTTTGGATGATGCAAACGTTGCAAAAGTATTAGACGACGGAACTCTTGCTGTTCGTTTGACTTCAGATGATATTAAGAAAGGAATAAAAGAGTAAGATCTTTTTTTTTCATTAAAACTATTTTAAATTTACTCTTCATTTAGATTTCCACATTTATCAATAATTAAAAGAAAGTTTGATACATATAATCGTGAATTAACACTATATAACGGAAATACAGTTGCTAGCTGTATTATAATTTGCTTCTCTACATACTGAATATATATTTATTTATTTATTTAACATTAGACATACGTGGTAACGAAATAGTCACGGTGAAAGAAGCTAAAAAGATTTATAAAAAATATAATTCGAAAGCTAGCCAAATTGTTTATCAATTATTAATCAAACAAGGCGAGACATTTGATTTCACAGATCATGTATGTGTAACACGTAAAATGGAAGAAACTCGTGAGTATTATATGAATATTTTCTTCTTTGAAGTATTGTTTGATTTGTTTAGAGCAATCAACAAAACGACCAAAAGAATCAACTGAAGATGACGAAGAAGAAAAAGAAATCGGTGAACGTCCAAGTCGATCAAAATCGAAATTAACAAAACGAAAGAAAACGTCTCATCCATCAACAATTTAATATTTTTCTTTTTCTTTTTCTTTTTCTTTTTCTTTTTCTTTTTCTTTTTCTTTTTCTTTTTCTTTTTCTTTTTCTCCATTTTTCCTTTCTTTTATTTTCTTTTCGCTGATGTCCCTTTCCTGGCTCTAATATGATCCTAACAATGGTGGAGAAGTTGAGCATCAGCGTATTTCTTTTCCTGCACCTATCCCTAAGGGGGTAAGGTGTTAGCGTCTGAGTGATTCACTCGACGCTAATCTAGAGATTAAGTTGATTCTTCCAGTCTAACTAGCCTAAGATAACTGCCCGAATAGCAGGAGGTGTGAGTTGGAATCCCACGAAAGTCACTTTTTCTCCATTTTCTCTTTCTTTCATTTTCTTTTCGCTGATGCCCCTCTCATGACTCTAATATGATCCTAACACAGCTGTAGACTTATTTTCGGCTATCGCTTAAGTGGTCAATAAAATAAATGAAATGATCAGTAAATAAAGTTGAAAATAATCAGTGAAAATATCGAATAGTCAGTAGTAAAATGGCTAATAATTAATTATAAAATGGTCAATTTTTAATACATAAATATTAGTAAAAAATTCAGATGTTCTCATTAGAAGAAATAACTTTATTCATATGAAAATCAATTTATAATGAAAAAATAAATAAACAATCAAAAAATGAATAAGAAATCCACAAGATTTGTTAAGTAGGAATTCGAAATATGACAGGAAAAAAGTATGAAAATATAACTATTGTACTAGTAAGATAGACCGAAACATTGTTCATCCATCTGTTTGTTTTGCTGCTCATGATTGAGAATATTTCTAACGAATACATACACGACAATGTGTCCGTATCTGTTGTTCGTCAAGTATGATTTGGAGCGCAAACTACGTCTTTTTCTTGATTTAACTGTCTGATACGATAAAGTCTATAATTCTAAACAAAGTATTGATTCTACAACAAATATGTTTGCATTAAATGTTGATGAGTCTCGTTCAATGAAGAGTTGGTGAAGAGCTATTAAACAATTTTCTCTTTAAGATTACTAATCTAATCTATGTATTCTAACATGCTGAACTTCTAATACTTTTCATATATCACAATGATGAATACAGTTTGATTCTATCCGAAGTGAATCATGATTTTGTCTTATCTCTGTTAAATAACATTAATTTTGAAAAACTAATAAATCAGTAGTTTTGATGTTGTGTTATATATTATGAACTAAATCAAATTAATCTTTTAGTTATCGTGTTTGCTATTGACTTCGAGTCATTTCTAGAACTAATATTAACAGAGTAGCCGGTGTAACAAAGATACAATGATCCAATATGTAAGTAGACTGAGAGAATAAATGACAGTCAAAGTTCATTTCTTTGCACAAAACTCAACATCTGCAAAGCACATCAATGAATGAAAACAATATAAATGTTTGTTGATTTGATCTACGAAATGCATTGTACAATGTTGAGGAGATAGAAACTTGAATAATTTTTTAAATTTTATTTTACTATCAGATTTTAGTCATTCTCGATTTTTCTTTACCCTGAATTTTTTTTGACTGTAATATACGCCAAAAGATTATTAAAATAAATAAGAATATATACGAATAAAATCGTTTATTTTGTCATAGATGTGTAATATCTGAATAGACATTGAAAATATATGATTTTAATAAACATGTAAAAAGAACTCTTTCGTATATAGTTCTATTTTATCGTAATATATATTTTGATATATCTATATTTTAGACGATAAAGATAATTTACAAAAAAAAACAATGTTACATGCTTTAAAATAACACTATTTACTCAATATTAATCATTGCAGACAGTTTTTGTCCTCCAATCGTCAAGTTAAAATTTTTCATGACTCAATCGATACGCCTGCGATTTTTCTTTCTTTCTCCTCTTCAGTTAATTTCCTCTCATATATTTAATTTATATTTTTTTTCTAAGCTTTATCATTTTAATATGACAACAAATGTTTATTAGTTGAAAGTTAGTATTGCCGGTGAGAACCTTTTACAAACAGTTGAGGTCTTTTATAAATCAACTCAAGACACCTACATTTTTCGTCTCAACATTATAGGAGTCTTATTTCACTAATCAGATTCTTTTTGACAAGGTGAGTAATCAAATATTGACGGGGAAAAAATATTTAAGTCAAATGGTAGATTTCTTTTAATAGCCATAGTGATCTTGTTTTTTTTCAGATAAAAATTTGCAACAGATATGGAATATCAACCTAATGATGATGGTAAATTAAAACATTGACATAGTCATCATTTTAATTTCGTTGTATTAATTTTAGTTCCCCAATGTACATATGATGATGAGGATTATGATCAGCTCGATACAAAGTTGTCTTTCGATCAATCTCAATGTTTAGACAACAAGTCGAGAAATGATTACGATATACAAATGCTGCTCTTGGATCAAGTTCAATTTGAGTGGTCAAATACCAGCTCGAGAAATGATTTGAATATATACTTACCGCCATCATTCCAAAGTCCAGGTGATCTTTTTAATAATGAAGACGTCACTTCTTCTAGTCTTAACGGGCAAGCAACAGTATCAATTATGCCTAATAATGTTGTTGTTGAAGAATTATGTCGTGGTCAATCCTCGCAGGTTATACACTATTGTCCCGGTATTTTCTTTCATGATTTTTTTCCAAAATAATTAATTTTGATAATATTCTAGAACCAGTTAATGCGATGACTGTTACTACAACTACTTCTGGTTTGTTAAAATTTGTTTACTTTTTAAAACTTATTTGCAATGTTTTTTTTACAGACGAGGACGAAGATAGCACGGAAACAGTTGCTGATACATCATCTGAATCCAGTCTGGATGATACAGAGCACCATGCTGAAGAAGCAAGTTTAAAAAAAATTAACGAATTGATTGCAAAACTATTAATGACTATTAAAACTCATCCACTAACTTCTATTCGTCTTCGCTATAAATCTGATGGTCGACGTCGAGCAAATGAATCTCTTGCAAATCCTATAGTTATTGATGTATGTTAATATTTTTCATCTTCTTCTTAGTTGTTTGCTAAATATCATTTTTATTCTTTAGATATCCAATTTAACACACGTTGAATTAAGCTTTAATCAAAAATTTGTGATTCGATTGTTACTAGCTGCATGGACCGAAAATCCATCAGACAAAGCATATCTTCATTCAAATAAATTAGGATATCTTTCTAATGATGCACAAGGATTCAGCGATGGAACTATTTATATTCCTATAACTTCAGATGATATTAAGAAAGGAATCAAAGCGTAAGATCAGATCTGTTTTATTAAAACCATTTTTTATTCATTCTTCATTTAGATTGTCAGATTTATCAATAACTAAAAGACCGCTTAGAGAATATAATCGTAAATTGACGCCACTTAAGCTATTGGAAATTGCTAGTGGTACTATAATTTTCTTTTCTATACACTGAATATATATTTTATATTTATTTAACATTAGACATACGTGGTAACGGAACAGTCACGGGGGTACATGAAGCTAAAGAGCTTGTTAAAAACTTTAACTTGCAAGCTAGCTGGCTTGTTTGTCAATTATTAATCAAACAAAACGAAAAAACATTCCATTTTACAGATATTATATGTGCAACACATAAAATGGAAGAAACTCGTGAGTATTATATGACTATTTTCTTCTTTAAAGTATTATTTGATTTATTTAGAGCAACCAATAAAACGACCAAAAGAGCCAACTGAAGATGACGAAGAAGAAGAAGAAATCGATGAACGTCCAAGTCGATCAAAATCAAAATCAACAAAACGACAGAAAATTTCTCATTAATTAACAATTTTTTATTTATATTTCTTTTCTTTTCTTTTACTTTTTATTATTCGAGCGTATAAAGACATATTTCTGGATAATTTTTTGTTAAATGGCCTTCTTTGGCTACTGTTATTTTTTATTAAAAAGTTTTGTTTTTTTGCTTAATCAAATCGGATTATGATCTTTTATTTTCGGCTATCATTTAAGTAGTCAGTAGAATACATGAAATAGTCAGTAAATAAAGATGGAAATGATCAGTCAATATATTACACAGTCAGTAGTATAATGGTCAGATTTTAATACATAAATATTAGTAAAACATTCAGATGTTCTCCTTAGAAGAAATAACTTTATTAGTATGAAGATCAATTTATTATAAGAAAAATAAATAAGGAATCGACAAGATTTGTTAAGTAGGAATTCGAAATATAAAAGGAAAAAAGTATGAAAATATAACTATTATACTAGTAAAATAGGCCTAAACGTTGTTCATCCATTTCTTTTTTTTCTCTCTTATCGATCAATATTGTTTTTCTGCGCATGCTTCAGAATATTTTCAACGAACACACACACGACAATATGTCCTAATGTGTTGTTCGTACGGCATGATTTGATCGTTTGATACGATAAAGTCCATAATTCTAAATAAAGTATTGATTCTGCAACAAATATTTTTGCATTAAATGTGGATGAATCTCGTTCAATAAAGAGTTGATGGAGAGCTATTAAACAATTTTCTCTAAAAGATTACTAATCTAATCTATGTATTCTAACACGCAGAAGTTCTAATACTTTTCATATATTACAATGATGGATACAGTTCTATTGTATTCTAAGCTAAATACAGTTTTATCTTCTTTTAAATAACATTAAATTTCAAAAACTAACAAAGAAATAGTTTTGATGTTGTGTTATATATTATGAACTAAATGGAATTGATCTTTTGGTTATTTTGCTGACTATTGACTTTCAGTGATTCTTACAACTGTAACATTCTAATATTAACAAATTCTTTGCATAAAACTCAACATTTGTAAAGTAAATCAATAAATGAAAACAGTATCAGTGTTATTGATTTAATCTACGAAACACACTGTACAATGAAGAGGAAATAGAAACTTGAATAGTTTTTTAAATTTTATTTTACTATCAGATTTTAGTTGTTCTCGATTTTTCTTCAGTTTGAATTCTTTAACTGGAATATACGCCAGGAGACTATTGAAATAGATAAGAACATGTGTTGGGATACAAATTAAAACTTGGCAGAAATGAAAATTTTCATTTCTATTATAGTACAATTTTAAATTCTCCTAAGATGTTATACTGTGGCAATAAAGTCGTTTATTTGTCATAGATGTGTAATGTCTGAATAGACATTGACAATACATGATTTTAATAATCTTGTAAAAGAACTCTTTCGTATATTGTTCTATTTTATACGAATATGTATTTTCATATATGAATATATAAACATGTTAGACGATAAAGATAATTCCCAAAAAAAGACTGTTGTACGTTTTAAAATAACATTGTTTGTACTCTATGAATCACTGCTGACATTTTTCTTTCTTACATCATCGACTTGAAACTTTTCAAAACTAAATTAAAATACATGTGATCTGTTCTTTATTCTTTTAGATGAATTTCCTCTCTCCGATTTAGTTTATGCCATTTTGCTATGCTCTATCATTTTAATATGACAAAAATACAAACTAGTTGAAAGTCAGTATTGTCGGTGAGTACCTGCTACAAACAGATGAGATCTTTTTTAAGCTGACACGAGACACTTATGTTTTTTTTTCTAAACATTATAGGAGTCTTGCTTCACCAATCAGATTCATTTTTGCAAAATGAATAAGCAGCTATTAAAGGAGAAAAATATTTTTAAAAAAGCTTCATTTCTTTCAATAGGTATAGTGATTTTGTTTGTTTACAGATAAAAACTTACAACAAATATGGCAGATCAATCTAATGATGGTAAATTAAAACATTAACATTGTAGTGCTTTTATTTTCATTGTATTAATTCTAGTTCCACAAACTACATATAATGATGAGGTTTTCAATAAGTACGTTACAATATTGTTTCTCGATCAGTTTCAATCTGTAAACAGCAGCTCGGGAGATGACTCACGAGGAAGGGTCACCATCTTGAAAATCGCTTTTAAGCTAATATTTTGTGCATAAGTAGATATTAGTGTGCCTAGTAAAAGCCTAAAGGATAGCGGCTAATAACGCTTTCTCTTCGAGTTATAGTTATTTTACTGAAATTTTAGATTATATCTTGATATAAGAGTGAAAATCGAGTGATGGCAGTTTGGCCAGAATCCTTGTTCATGAATAGTACCCAATGTGGATAGCATCTCATGAAAATTTCAGTTCAATCGGACGCTTCCTTTACGAAATAATAAGCTTTTAGAAAAAAAGATTTTTCTCATATCGTTGGTAACGTATGAGCACTTTTTGAAATATATTATCCCGTGAAGGAAATGTCCGATTGAACTGAAATTTTCAGCAGATGCTATGTACATTGGGTACTATCCATGAACAAGAATTCAGACCAAACTGCGATCACTCGATTTTCGTCCTTATATCAAGATATAGGCTAAAATTTCAGTAAGTTAACTATAACTCGAAGAGAAAGCACTATTAGCCAGTATCCTTTTAGGCTTTTACTAAGCACACTAGTATCTACTTATACACAAAATATTAGTTCAAAAGTGATTTTCATGTTGGTGACCTTTCCTCGTCAGATACAACGCTACCATCACCTGCGCAAAGTTCAGAGGATCTTTTTAGTAATGAAGACGTCACTTCTGCTAGTCTTAATGAGCAAACAGCAATAGCATCTGTGCGTGATGATCATGTTGATGGAGGATCATTTCCTGAGCAAAGCTCGGAAGCTGTACGCAATCGCAGTGATTCATAAATTATACCACTAGATGACAGGAACAGAACCTCAAATATTATCCGACGTAAGAAAAGTCCTGCATAAATTGTAAGATATGTATATTCCAACATCAATTCATATTTGCTCCAGTGAAAAAAAGTGAATTATCTTCTAGTTAAGTGAGGTATGTGTAGCATCCTATCGAACTATATCGTTATAAATAAAAAAAGTTCAAATTGTTTAAATAGAAAATCTTCATAACTATAGGTGCAGCTGGATACATGTGTAAGAGAAATACAATATTCTTGCATTCGCATTTGATCTGCCATATTCATACTCATACACAAGTCAATTGCCAAGATAGTTTAGAAATCGAAATGATCCAAAAACTGATCACGTCACTTTTGAATACACCAATTTTAACGGTATTTTTTTCATGATTTTTTTTCAAAAGAATCAATTTTGATAAAATTCTAGAACCAGACAATGAAGTGACTGTTACTACAACTCCTTCTGGTTTGTTGAAATTTGTTTACTGTATAAAATTTATTTGGAATGTTTTTTTTACAGACGTGGATATAAGCAATACGGAAGCAGTTGCTGATACATCATCTGAACCCGATCTGGATGATTCAGAGCATCATGCTGAAGAAACGAGTTTATTAATCTTTAGCGAATCGATTGCAGAATCAATAATGGCTGTTAGAACTCATCCACCAGCTAATTTTCGTCTTGACTATGAATCTGATGGTCGACGTCGATATTTTAGAGATCCTATGGTTATTGATGTATGTTAATATTCCTCATCTTCTTCTTAGTTTTTTGTTGAATATTATTTCTATTCTTCAGATATCTCGTGTAAGAAACATTAGATTGAGGTCTGGCCAAAGATTCTGTATTCGATTGTTACTAGCTGCATGTACCGATAATCTATCAGACGACGTATATCTTCATCCAAATATATTGAGATATCATTCCCATGACGCATTTATATTAAGGGATGGAACAATTTGTGTTCCTTTAACTTCAGATGATATCAACTACGGAACAAAAGCGTATGATTATGTTTTTTTTTATTAAAACTATTTTAAATTTATTCTTCATTTAGATTCACAGATTTACAAATAATTAAAAGGCTGCTTAGAGAATACAATAGTGAACTGACGCCACTTAAGCTATTGGAAATTGCTAGTGGTATTATAATTTTCTTTTCTACACACTGAATATATATTTTATATTTATTTAACATTAGAAATACATGGTAACAGGACAGCCACGATACGGGAAGCTAAAGAGCTTGTTAAAAACTTTAACTTGAAAGCTATGTGGATTATTTGTCAACTATTGATCGAACAAAATAGAACACTTCGATTTTCAAATGTTATATGTTGGACACATAGAATAGAAGAAAGTAATGAGTGTTATAAGAATATTTTCTTCTTCAAAGTATTGTTTGATTTGTTTAGGGCGACCAACATAACAATTAATAGAACCAACTGAAGATGATGAAGAATAAGAAGAAGTCGAGATCAAGAAAATGAAAGAAGCATTTTCATTAACTAAAAATTTATTGTTTTTACTTTTATTTTTATTTTTATTTTCTGTTATTTTTTATTATTCAAGCCGATAAAAAGACACTTTTCGGTTATTTCTTGTTAAATGGCTTTCTCCGCCTACTGTTATGTTTAATCAAAAAATTTTCTTTTTTTCCTTATTGAGAACCGCGTTATGGACTTTTATTTTAGGCTATCATTTAAGTGGTCAGTAGAATAAATGAAATGATCAGTAAATAAAGATGGAAATAATCAGTGAAAATATCAAATAGCCAGTAGTACAATGATCAGTTTTTAATATATAGGTATGAGTAAAAAGTTTAAGTTGCATTAGTAAAATATTCCGATGTTCTCATTAGAAGAAATAAGTTTATTAGTATGAAGATCAATTTATTATGAGAAAACTAAGTAAATAAGAAATTCACAAGATTTGTTAAGTATGAATTCGAAATATGAAAGGAAAAAAGTATGAAAGTATTACTATTGCACTGGTAAATTAGGCTTAAACATTGTTCATCCATCTCTTCGTTTTCTCTCATATCAATCAGTTTTGTTTTGCTGCGCATGATTCAGAATATTTTTAACGAATACATACATGATAATGTGCCCGGATATGTTGTTCGTCAAGTATGATTTGGAGCACAAACTGTATTTTTTCTTGATTTAGCTGTTTGATACAATAAAGTTCATAATTCTAAACAAAGTATTGATTCTGCAACAAATATATTTGCATTAGATGTGGATGGACTTCGTTCAGTGAAGAGTGGATGGATGTGAGAGTGATGCTATAACACATTTCGATCTTTATAACTACACTTTAATTCAAATGACTAATTTGAAAAAAAATTTGAAAACCTAATTATTTCTATATTTCTAATATATTTTTAATATTCTTCTTTACAACGTTAGCAACCAGTTTCATTTCAGTTTGTTGATTCAAAAACAATTACATTTACAACTCCACCATGTCTCATAGAAGCAAATGAAAATCATAAAATAGAAGTTCCTATTGTTGTTCGTCAAAATAATCGAGAAACTACACGTGTTAGTTTTTATTATGAACCATGTGAGTAATATTTTTATTTAACAACTAGATAAAATTTTCTTTTATTAGCTACATATTACTGCAGATGTAATAATGATCCTATTTTCAATTTATTTGACGAATAAAATGCGTCTGAATTATCTTCTTCATCGAGTACATTTTATGATGCTGATGATGATTTCGCTGATTATTTTAATCAATGATTTGGTATTATAGTTTTTATGAGAAATGTTTAAAATAAGATATGGATCAAAAATGAATATGCAAAAATTCATAGTGGCTCATTTTTATTCCAGTTATTGATAAAGATATAAAAACTGGTACTATGAAGTAAATTTTTCTATATATCGAAAATTTAAATGTTACATTGATTTATACCAGTAAGTCATTTATTTGTTATAGATGTGTAATATCTGAATAGACATTGGCAATACGTGACTTTAATAATCATGTAAAAAGATCTCTTTCGTATATTGGTCTATTTATATAGGAATATATATTTTAATATATCTGAATGTATAAACATATTAGAATATTAGACAATAAAGATAATTAAAAAAAACTGTTATATGTTTTAAAGCAACATCATTTACTCAATGTAAATCACTGCAGACATTTTTCTTTCTTCCATCGTCGACTTGGAATTTTCCAAGACTCATTAAATACGCCTGCGATTTCTCTTTCTCCTCTCCGGTTAATTTCTTCTCGTATGTTTTATTTATGTTCTTTTTTTCCTAGGCTTTATCATTTTAATATGACAACAAATACAAACTAGTTGAAAGTTAGTATTATCGGTGAGTACCTGCTCCAAACAGTTGAGATCTTTTAAAAACCAAAACAAGACATCTATGTTTTTTGACTGAGTATTGTAGGGGTCTTATATCACCAATCAGATTTTTTCTAGCAAAATGACTAAGCAGCAAGGGAAAAAATATTTTCAAAGAAGCTAGATTTCTTTCTAATAGCTACAGAGATTTTTTTATTTCAGATAAAAATTTACAACAAATATGGAATCTCAACCTTATGATGATGGTAAATTAAAACATTGACATCGTAGTTTTCTTAGTTTCATTCTATTAATTTTAGTTCCACAATGTACATTTAATGAGCAGGATTTTAATCGGCTCAGTATAATATTGTCTCTCGATAAACTTCAAGGTCCAAACAGCAGTTCGGGAAATGATTTCGATACACACTTATCGTCATCTTTCCGAAGTTCTGAGGATCCGTTTAATAAAGAAGACGTCACTTCTTGTAGTCTTAATGGGCAACCAACAGTAATATTTATGCCTGATGACCATGTTAATGAAGAATTATTTCCTGGCCAAGCCTTGGGCGTTATACACTATTTTGACGGTATTTTTTTCATGTTTTTTTTCTTCAAAACAATTAATTTTGATAAAATTCTAGAACCAGTCAATGAGGTGATTATTACTACAACTCCTCTTGGTTTGTTAAAATTTGTTTACTTTAAATTTATTTAGAATGTTTTTATTTATAGACGTGGATAAAAATAACACGGAAGTAGTTGCTGATATACTATCAGAGCCCAGTCTGGATGATTTAGAGGCTTTGGTAAATGATGAATTCTATAACTAGTTATCGACATTTTCTTGCTTTTAGACACCTGATCAAATTCAAAATCTTATCGAAGAAATGAAGCAGCTTTCCGAAAAAGCCAGTTTAAAAAACATTGATGAATTGATTACAGAACGCATAATGGCTATTAAAACTGATCCACCAGCTAATCTTCGTCTTCGGTATAAAACTGATGGTCCACGTCAAGTAGCAAAATCTCTTACAAATCCCATGGAGATTGAGGTATGTTAATATTCTTCATCTTCTTCTTGGTGTTTGATTCAGTATCATTTTTGTTCTTTAGATACCAAATTTAAAAAACATTCAATTAAACTCTGATCAAACATTCTTGATTCGATTGTTACTAGCTACATGGACCGAAAATCCATCAGACGGAGTATACCTTCATCCAAATATATCGGAATATCATTCTGATGATGCAATCGAATTAACGGATGGAACTATTTGTGTTCGTTTAACTGCAGATGATATTAAGAAAGGAATCAAAGCGTAAGATCATGTTTTTTTTTGTTAAAACTATTTTTAATTTATTCTTCATTTAGATTTCCACGTTTACAAATAATTAAAAGAAAGCTAGGAACATATAAACGTGAGTTAACGCCACTTAATCTATCCGGAATTGCTAGTGGTATTATAATATTCTTTTCTATGTACTGAATATATATTTAATATTTATTTAACATTAGATATAAATGGTAATAAAATAGTTACGGTGAAGGAAGCTAAAAAGATTTTTGATCAATATAATTTGAAAGCTAGTCGAATCATCTGCCAATTGTTAATCAAAGAAAATGAATCATTCCATTTTACAGATATTATATGTGCAACACATAAAATGGAAGAAACTCGTGAGTATTATATGAATATTTTCTTCTTTAAAGTATTGTTTCATTTATTCAGAGCAACCAAAAAAACGACCAAAAGAATCAACTGAAGACGACGACGAAGAAAAAGAAATCGGTGAACGTCCAAGTCGATCAAAATCGAAATTAACAAAACGAAAGAAAATTTCTCATTAAATAACAATTTATTATTTTCTTTTATTCTTTATTATTCAAGATTATACCGAAATATTTCTGAATTATTTCTTGTTGAAAGCCCTCATCCGCATTGTTTGATTTTCAATCAAATAATTTTTTTTTGTATTAGCTATCGACGACGAAAATAAGAACTTTTATTTTGTTTAAAAATTGTTTTTTTTTTCTTGAATTTAATTCAGTAAAAAAATAAAATTATAATTAATCACGACTAGATTTTGTTTTAATAACAGTGTGAGGTTTGAAAGATAAGGTTACCTGTAGACTTGCTTATTTACTCTACAGATTTGTAAAGATTTTCAAGTTTGAATAAATTGCTGCTTATCGTCTATGTATCAATATTTTACTTAGATTTTGAAGTATTTACACAAAATATTTGTCATGAAATTGCACAACGATAGAAAATTTTAAGAAAAATAAAAATCTTCTATTTTCTTTCATTATCATTCTCAAGATATATTTTTATAAAAACATGTTATTACAAAATTATCGACAGTCATGTTTTGGTCGTCTATCTGCTTCTTCGTCGTCTATTTATAACCATCATTATTTTTTTCTTCGTCTCTGTCTGCCGCTGTTTGCCTGCCTGACTCATGAAAAAAGAAAGAAAAAAAATACTTTTCCACTGTGGTAAAGAAGTGTAGTATAAAGAACACACTGGCGTATAGATGCATTTATTCTCTTATTTAAACTTAAACTACAACATATTAATTTAACTGCAAAATGGAACAACAACCATATGACACGAATGAATTTCCTGAAGACTTTAACTTATTTCTAATGGAAGATGATTCAAATATCTTCACACGTGATCTTCATCTAAGCGAACGTAAGTCGAAATATGATTGGGTTTTTTTCATACTGATCGTTTTTTTCTCATTTTTTGAAATAGATTCTCCAGGACAAAATAATTTCAATATCAACTTAGCTGATATTCCTCTAAACGATCGTAAGTTGAAATATGATTGATTTTTTCACACTTATCAATTTTTTTCAGTTTTCGAATTAGATCCTCCAGGAGAACAAGATTTCAATATCAACTCGCCTAAGATGTCTCTAAATGATCGTAAGTTGAAATATTGCTGGTCTTTTTATACTCATCAATTTTTTTCAGTTCTTAAAATAGATCTTCTAGAACAACATGGTTTCAATACCAACTCAGTTGATATTCCTCTAAGCAACCGTAAGTCGAAATATGATTGGATTTTCTCATGCTTATCAATTTGTTTTTCAGTTGTTGAAATAGATCCGCAAGATCAACATGATTTTTCATTATTTCTTCAATCGAATTCTAATAATAATGAAGATGCTGAATCATTGCTTGGGGATTTGATAACCGAATTAAATCATGTACTACCAGGTCAGTTTTTTTTCAGTCTTTTAAATATGATGTAGATAATATGTCTATTGTAGATATGCCACAGAATGCTATGGCTATCGTTGATAATGAACAATTATTGCAAAACCCCAGTGAAGGTCAAAACTTCATTGAAGATCAAAATTTCACAATTGTGGACAATTGGGTTCCGAAACAAGCAAGTGGAAATCAAGATGGAATTATGCACCTGATGTATCCCATGCTATTTGGTTCAATTGACGGTACCATGTTTGTTTCTCAACAACCAACGGCTAATAAACGTTCACGTTATGAATGTGATGGACGGCGTTTTTTACCTGATTCACGATCCCATCCCATGACTGTTCAAGTTTGTTTCTTTTCTTAATATAAAATATCCTCTTATATTAATTTATTTTAGTTACCTAATCTACAATCAATTGCATTGGCAAGTAATCAAATAATTGGTATCGTTGTAACGATGATAACTAGTACAAATAATCCAATGAACCAACAATTTGTACATGAAAATGATATTATTTATCATGAAGCAGATGCTATAAAAATTGGACATGGATGTGTTTTCATCCCATTGAAAACATTTGCGTCGGAAAAAAAGTATGTACAAATAAAATAAAATGCTATTTATATGATATTTTTTAATTCTTTAGATTTCCGCGTATGTCGATTCATTATAAAAAATATGAAGAATATAAATTTGATCTAACACCATTCGACAAAAATACAATGTTTGGAACAATATCAAAATGTTTGTACCTTTAGTTAATTATTCTTAAATAATCTATTTTTTTTTATGAAATTTAGTTATGCTTGAAAATGAATCAGACACTAGCAAAGTACCAAAAGCGAAATTTTTTAAACAGCAATATGATTTGTCATCATACCAATTTATATTTCACTTGGCGTTAAAGGAAGATAATGTAGTATATATTTCTAATATTACATGTGATTCGGATGTGATTCATGAACGTAAGTTTTCTTGATAAAAATACGAAATTTTTTATAAAGAATTTATTTGATTTTTAGAAATCGCACCAGCACACATATCTGAACAACCATTAGCTTCTGCTTCAAAGAAAAATGTTGTAAAACGTGTGGGTAGTCCCAATAAGCCAAGTTCAAGCAAATCAAAAAAATTAAAATCTTCACCAGCATTACTTGGACTACCGGTAAGTTTACTTTTATTAGATTAAAGACTTAATAAATAAACAAATATTTGTGCTTCTTTCAGATCACTCGCGTATCAACAAATGATACTGAATTTAATGTGGATCACCCACATTAATTACTGCCGAAGGGGCTCCTCCGCCGCAGATCAACCATATTTTCACTGGTTGGTCTCAACATTATTGACTCAAAAAACATTTCTTTTTTTTTCATTTGATGAACCGATCTACTCACTAAAATAACCCAGTTATTTGTCATTTTTTTTTTCAATTTATTTTATTCCTGAATTCTATTCATTATAAAATATATAATCTAATTATAATATTTTATTTCATTTATAAGATGTTATTTTTTCGATAGTCTCATATTTGGTATTTGAATGACACTCAACTTTCTCTTTAACTTTCACCTAATACCTTTTTTTTGTTATTGTTACGTCACGTAACATGCTAAAACAACACATGGCATAGGCAAGCATATTAAAATAAAGGTAAAAGAATGACGAACAGCAAAAAATATGTCATTGAATAAAGTTGGAAAAAACCAAGTTAAAAGCTGTACATTGACTCACGTTATTTGCAAGCCAAAATAAAAACAAATGATAATATCAATATATACGATGTTATTTACATAGTTATCGAAAGGTATTACTCATCGGAAGTTTCGAAAGATTTATTTTCATCTGAATAGAGACATGATTAATTTGTGATCAATATTTTTTTGTAATATAGAAATTACTCATCTTTTACACGTCATTATTGTGAAGAAAAACAAGCCCAAACCGTTTTATACGATATTAGCCGTTTTGTTGTTTTCAAATTGTCAATGTTGAACAGGTTCATATTTCAATAACTGTTCGATAATACAAAACAGTAACGTAAATAAAGAACCTGAAATATTAATTGTAATATAATCAATGTTTTAGATATGGCTATCAATTCACATTCAAGAGAAAATCTTGATTTTCTTTTACTTGATAGTATGTGCAGGATATATGATTTTATAATTATTATTTTATGATTTCTTTAGATGTTAATCCATCTAATACATTAACTGAAGAAATTAGTAATTAAAATATTTTTTTATTATTACATTTTGTTTTTTAAATTTAGGCACACGTATTTTTTATGATTTCAATCCATTTGAAACGTTTTGTGAAACATTTCCTTCTGGTATAATCTTTGTTTTCTCGAAATAAAAATAAAATCTTTATTTTATTTATTTAGAATCTAGTACTCAATTATATAATGATGTTTTCGAAGATATACCCGATATCAATGAAATGCAACTAATAACATCTACTCCTAGTTTACTATTTATTTCGAAAAATACTATTCATTCATATTTTCTTTCATCAATAGGTTCTGTTGATGTAGTTTACAAATTATTAAAAGAAGCTAGTGAAGCATTTCATCCTACTGAACAGAATAATCCAGCATATAGTATGTTTCTTATTATATTTAAATGTCTTTTAAAAATTTTCTCAAAAGATTTAGGACATGTTGATGAACAATTAGCAATGAATAAAACTACTAATGATTCATTACCTGTTATTCAATCATTTTTAAAAAAATGTATTGTAAAAATCTACATTAAATTTTTTTTAGTTTATTTCTCAAAACTTTAGCATCGAAATCAGCGATTCCACTTTCAGAAAATGTTGCTGTTACGGATTTAAAATCTAACCGATTGAAAATTGTTTATGAATTAGAAAATATATATCGTCCACGTTATAAAAGTGATTATTTTCCTCAAACTGGTTCAGCTCGACATCCACGTTATATTACTGATAATAAAACCAATCATTTTATTACATTACAAGTAACAATTCATATATAAAACAATATTTTATTATTTATTTAGTTGCCAAGTGACTATCAATATGATTTACAATATGATTACATTCGTGTTGCTCTAATAACAACATCTATCGAAGGTCATGGACATTACTATAGTCCTTATAAATTTCAAAAAGATCATAATGATATAAATGTACCCGATGAAAATCCGATGTATATTAAAATAGAAGCTAATCGAGAAGATCAATCTAAAATGAGGTTAAAATTATTCTTAAAACAAAGATTAATTCATTTTTTGATACTATAGACTTTATCTTGTTTTAATCAAATCTAAATTACATCATCTGAATTATGTTCAACCATTGAAATTATTTTCAGATACAACCGCTAATATACAAAGTAAAATTTTGAAAAAAAAGAAGAAAATTTTTGTTTTAATTTTTTCAAAAACATAGATATTATACATGAAGAAATTTTACGTCCCAAAGAATTAATTACTAAATATCAATTAGATAAATCTCAAATAGCGTTTACATTATGTAAAAAACTTTCCGATGATTCCTATACACCATATCCAGATTCAACAATAATTTCATCGATTATTACTGAAGTACCAACATCGAAGAAAACAAATGGTAAAGTATTATTTTCTAGAAATTAATTTAAGAGAATTATTTCGTTATAGATGTTACTGCAAATACTAGTGTATCACTATTGGGTAGGAAAATTTTTTTTTTAATTTAGAGGATTTTGTTTTATTTTAAGATAATACGAACCAATATATATGTTGTCCGAATTGTGCAAATTGTTTTCATCGAGATAATATTTTGAAATCAAATCAAATAAAGAAACGTCAATCAAATAATCGCAGAACATCTCAATCTTCTTCCAAGGTAAAGATGAAAATTATTCTATTCTAAAGAAATTCTATTGAAATATTCATAGACAACCACGAACAAGATTATCAATAAAAGAAAAAAGAACAAATAATTCTAAATCAATTTTCTCATAGCTAGTGCATGTAATATACTAATATTCAAATGCTCAGAATTAATCGTTATAATTTCTCTTTTTTTAATCAACTGAATTTGATTTTACACATATAATATATTATATAAAAATCGAAATATTTGCACCGTATATTTCCTTTAATATTATTTGAAGAATAAAAACATGGGTGTAGTCTTAGTTTTGCATGAAATGATAAACGAAACAATATTTTTATTCAAAGTCATGTTGAATTAAAGTGTGAAACATGATGAAGTTGTTTATATTATAAATGCAAGAACACCATGATGTTTTTTTGACTTATTTATGATAAATATTACGTCTGTGTGAGACAAGAGAAATCTGTCGTCTTTGTTTTTATATTATACGAATATCTGTTTAGTAATTTTTTTCATCTTTATGCGTAAATCGAAAAAAGTATACGCACTTTTCTTCTTTCGAAACTCAATTGTAAATGACGTCAGTCACGTTTTTTGCAATGATAATAAAAAAATATTTGTTGTTCTCCTTAGTAGTCGCATGTTTTTTAAATAACAATAGTAGCTTTTTTATACTAGTTGTCGCAAAACAAAAAACAAAATAAGTAATAACCATAGTCATAGAGATTATCCATTCAAAACAGTATTTTTGACATCGTGTTGCGCCTTAAAAAAAGTAATTTACATCAATCATCTTTATACAATAGGTCTAGCCTTTCGCGGAGTGAAAAAAATATACGCAAGATATTTTTTTTTCTGTTCTGTTCTGTTTGTTTTCTCTTCTTTTCTCCTCTTCCGCATTTGTAATATGCTTGGAAAAAACCCAAAATGTCTAGATATATATATTAGGGCGTTAGATAAAAAGAAATTTTTAGAACTAACAAAAGAAAAGTAAGAAAGCTTGACAATAAACATATTTTTCGATAAACAAATATCGTTTGTACAGACTATGTAATACAATCAAATCACATTTTGTTTTATTCAACACCATTGCACATTTTATACCACCTATAAAATGAATATGAATGCACACAGTTTGTTCACCGGTACAAGTTTTGATCACTTATCTGAGGAAGTGATTGGCGATGAGTGTACATTCACCGATAACTTTTTCAATGAATTGTTCAATGAACCTCTTAATCCTTCTTGTGATTTTAATCTATTTGAAGATCTAGATGTTGCAGGCACTTGTGATCAGAATGATCTATTCGGTAAGATAAGATACTGTTTTAATTAAAATTTATTTCTTCATATAGGATCTATCGGACATCCTGCTGAAATACATGAATCCAATGGATATATTCCAGCTCCACTTTTTTCAAGTGATAAAATAATACAACTGGAATATATCTATAAACTATTTATTTTTAGATTCACCATCTGATATTGATCAGAATTTACTCGTCAATAACAGTTTACCAGTTTATCCGATTGGTAACTAAGAAAATCTTTATTTTGAATTGATATCATTTTATTTGATATAAATAGAAAAAAATAAAAAGGTCAGAACACAAAAAAAAGCTATATTACTTTCTTCTTCCGTTGGTGTTGGTCAACCAAAACAATCATCGAATCCATCTAATAAAATTAAACTTGTACACGATTTAGAAGAAAAATATCGACCAAGATATAAAAGCGATTATTTTGCTAACAATGGAACAACTCGAAAACCAAGATATGTGACTGATCGTGACGGTAATCATTATATATCCCTTCAAGTAGAACTATTTTTCAAACTAATTATCATTAAATTTTCTAAATAATAAACATTACAGGTACCTCAACATATGCGAGGTCCGATTCGAATTGACTGGGTAACAATTCCCAATGAAGATAATGAACGATTCGTTATGCCATATCAATTTCAAGCGAGTAATGACCTTACTGATGTACCTGATTGCAATCCTATATACGAACAAATTCAATCGAATTCTTCAGGTTTAATGAAGTAAATATATATTTATCTCAATTATTATTTTTATTTATTGTCTTAATTCTCATTATAGAATTTATTTGGTATTAATTAAGGCGAAACAAGATGCATTAAAAGTATTACAACCACTTCAACCATTTCATCCAATCGCAGATGCACTTGGACTTCTTGATAAACAAATATATGAAAAGGCGCCCAAATTGACACCTAAAAACTTAATAAAAAAATATCAACTTACGAAATCCCAACTAGCATTTACATTATGCACGTTAAGTAGTGATGGTAAAACATGTGATCCTGAATGGGACACGACTGTTTATTCGACAGTTTTGGAAGGTAAGTAATAGATGTTTAAATTTTTTTTATTCATATTATTAATTTAATTAATAGAGGAAGGGAATACGGAGAATTCAGCGACGAAAATAATATCTTGCCCAAAGTGCTCATGTTCAATAAATATCGATATTGATGAACCAAAAACTCAAGAAATGACAGGAAATAAACGAAAAAGTAAACAATTTATAGGTGAAAAACTAGCGGCAGAAAAAGTAAAAATATGATATTTAATTTTATAAAAATTCGTTTTTTCTTCTATTTCAGAAACAAAAAATTTTACTGCAAGAAACTAATGATTTTTTGTCGATTTTATAAAATAAAAATTATTCTCTTTTAATCCGGATTATTATAGTTATTTTGAATAACCTACTATAATGCTTTCTTTTTCATAATATTTGCGGAAAAATCTTTTTGAGAGGAAAAATAAAAAAAAGATATAAAGAACTTAATCAAGATAATATAAATATTATTCTTCCTATTAATTATAAATATTCCAATTGGATGTTATTCCTTTTACTTCATCTACATCAGTGGCGGATTTAAGGGGCGGGGGGCGTGATCGCCCCTCCTTCTCCGAATTTTTTTTGATTTTTTACAGCAAAAATGAAGGAAAAAAATAGATTCACACTACTTCGATTGAACTCAAAAAATAGCTTTTAGCCAAAACTGGCACCCCCTCCCTTCCAAAATCCTAGATCCGCCACTGGTCTACATTAATCTCAAATATAGAACGTTTCAAAGAAACGTGGCAGATTGTGTGTAAATAAGAATAATATAAATTTCAGTTTGATATTGATATGTTGGAATGTGTGTAAAATTATTAATACGGAATATTTTTCTCAAATCTACAAATACGCTTATTTCAGAGATAACTATTCATGCTTCATCCATAAGTGTACGGTATAAGTTGAAACTAAATATTGATTCCTGTGCAATTTAGAGAATACCACAAGATTAATATACTTAAATTTTGCTAAAAGAAAATACTCTATAAAAAAAATGATCGGATCTGTAGGAAACACCATGAAGCGACATCTATAGTCGATATTAGAATAATCGTGAAAAATGATGAGAAATAATGTTCTTCTTTAATTTAAAAACCAGTACAGACCATAATTGATAAAAACATCTGGAAAAGATTTTAACTAATTTTTTCATTGGACATCATCAACTGTTTCCTAATATGGTCAATGATACTAATGCTATTACTCATCCGAGTCTTCTTATAAATATACATATACATCTCTCATTAATTTAACAGACTTTTATTTATTACGTTAACATTTCAATTAAATATGCAAGTATGTATCATTTATAATTTACCTAACTTTATATATTTCATCTATTCATAAATTTCTCGCAATGTCTGGTATTCTCAATTGTTATTAATTTTTTAAGGATCCAAATGCTAATACCCAATGGAATGATCAATTACGTCGTTTTGGTATAATCGGAGAAAAAGAAGAAAAAGAAGATATAAAAACTGAAGATGAACGTTTAGAAATCTCTCGAGGTAAATATGAAAAAGACAAAAAAAAAGGAAATTTTTTAATTTAATTTTAATTTTAGCTGAACAATTGGATAAGAAAACTCTAGATGAATTAGATGAACTTGAAGATGAAGACGATGAACGCGTTTTACAAGAATATCGGTAAATACTATTTCTATTTTATTTTTTAACTTTGATTTTATTTTCTAGACGAAAACGATTATTAGAATTACAAGAAAAAGCAACACGTGCTCGATTTGGTGAAGTTATTGAAATCTCTGCAATTGATTATGTTAAAGAAGTTAATCAAGCTGGAAGTGATATATGGGTAGTTCTTTATCTTTATAAATCAGGGTAAAATATTTTATATGAAAATTTTATTTATCTATTTATTGTTTATTTCAGACTTCCAATATGTTCATTAATTAGTGATCATCTTCGTTCATTAGCTATTAAATATCCACAAACAAAATTTGTTAAAAGTATATCAACTGTTTGTATACCAAATTATCCTGATAAAAATTTACCAACAGTATTTATCTATAATAATGGTGACCTTAAACATTCACTTATTGGTCCATTTGCATTTGGTGGTATGAAATGTCGTTTCGAACATTTAGAATATAAATTATATGAATTTGGTGCTATTGAAACAACAGAAAAATTAACTAAACCTGACGATATGAAAAATTATGGAGCGAATGATGCAGCTGATGATTTTCTCCGATCATCAATTCGTCAAAGTATGAAAAATGATAGTGATGATGATGATTAGTAAATTATTCTCTCAGTTACTATTTTGCATGATTTTGTTCAAGTTTGCCGTGTGAACCATTTTTTTGTTTGTTTTTTTATTGATGTGACTTTTTTTATTGCAATATATAATGGTTTTTCCTTACTGGAAGAGAAATTCATCTTTTTAAAACTGAACAATATACTAGATTAAAGAAAATTATGCTTTAAGAATCATTTTCAGAACGAAAAAAGAATGTTGGCATATGTGAGTATTTCAGATGAATTGCATTGTTTGAATTCTTTAACGAATATTTTGTAGTTTTCGAAGAGGCTCATAGGAGTAATGTATTAAAGACAGTGTTTTATCCAAGTATATTTTTTCGGGTGGGCGAAATAAAAATTCCGAGTGGGCGCCGTCCACCTACTAGATAAAATACTGACTAAATTAGAGTTCTGCATCGGATCGGTTTTTGAAACCCGACAGATTCACCAACAAGTCCATGAGCTTCAGTGGGCAACATCCATACTTGTTTCGATGTTTGTGTTAGTCACACACACTGAACCAATAGTATGGAGAAGGAACTAAGCTATTATGCCTAAAGATGAGAGTTGTCGGGTTTTAAAACCCGATTAGATGCAGGACTCTAGATTAAAGGTATATACTAAGACTTTTGTGGAATAGCTCAAGTGATAAAACATTTTCTTTCTAAAAGATCATTGTTAATCATGAGTGGAAACGTGTTAATGAAGTATTCAATCGATTTTGCAAACAATGAGACGTGAAATTTTGATATAACCTCTTTTTTCAATAACATAGATATATGAAATATTCATTAAAAGTCTCGATGAAATGAATTCAGATAATTAATCAATTTAAAAAAATAAAACTGTAACATACTCGTAAAAACCGCGTCATCGACTACTGTTTCATTATTAAATCAAGACAAAATAATAAATGATTCTTTTTTCACTTGATCGAACGTGTTTTATTCTAAAAGAAGATATATCGGCTTAAAATGTTTTTGTCGTTTGGAAAAAATATCCTTTCGTTTGGTACATAACAATCTTTATTCTTTTACTCCTACGATTGAAAAAAATATTTTATATTCAAGAATGCATATAATAATTACAATTAACATGTTTATGCCGTGAGTCAACAGGAAACAACTAAATGCGAAGGTTTAAATGAAAAAAAAGCTAAAGACTCGACAAGAATTATGAAGTGGTTGAGTGCTTCCGAAAATATTCTTATGTATTCAATTACCTTCAAATTTTATAAAGCAATATAAGCAAAAAATTACATTTATGTATATACTATCTAACAACAAACAGTTCATCGGTGATGAGGTATCATATTAAAGATCAGAAAACCTTATTTTCAATTGCATTTCATAGTATAAATATTGTTAAAACTAATGATATAACACAGCTGATGCATTTGTTGTTGTCTAAAAGTATACGAATCATTTAATATGATAATGACGTTGTTTACTATGATTTGTAATTAACAGATTTGACAACTACATCTTTTACTTTTATTAAATCGGTAATAACAAAAGCTGAAAGCGTTATCAATTCGGATATATAGACAAAAAACACCTTTCTCTATTTGTAATACACCTACTAAAACTATATTCGATCAATATGTTTTTTCTCTCTTGTTTTCTTCATTCTTTACGATCGTAAGAAGTATTTACATCGGACTCAACGAGAGAAAAAGAAGCAAAAATTTTTGCGTGCATATGTTAAAAATTTAGTTTGATTGATGTAATGTCTTTAGTAAAAAATACATTTCTAAACTTTGTTTTTTTATTTGTCAATTATAAATAATGACGTCTTCATACAGAGCAGATCTTGTTAATAAATATTCTAAATATATCAAAACAATTCATAATCGAGTTGTTGAAGGTAATGAAATCAATCTTCTTTTTTTCTACTTAAATTAATAATCAGCATCTAGTTGAATTTTATTGGTTTCAAACAAATCCATGTCAAAGTTATCGTTTAAGAATCAATGAAAAACAATTTCTTGAAGCACAAAAACATATTCGTTCTAAAAGTAGAGACACTAAAAAATAATCTTGTTAAAAAATATAAGTAATTATATTTTAGAATTAATAAATATGAAATTTGAACAATTTGTTGATTTAATTGCACCGGTATTTGCTAATGATGCAGCTGAAATTAGTATATCTGTATTACGTTTGACATTCGATCGTTTATTTGATCAAAATTCAAATGGTACAGTTGAACAACAAGAATTTGAAGCACTTTTAATATTACTTCAAGGATTTAATACACATAAACAAAGTTTATTTAATGAAAATCTTCGTCAAATATTTCCCAGTCGAACTAATCATGTATCATTTAAAGGTAAAAAATATTCTAATAGAAAAAACGAAATAAAAAAACTCTTCTTTAGAATTCCATGATTTCGTTAAATGTGGTTATCTACGTGAATTATTTATGAGTTAGAATAGATTCGAAAGAGTCAAGGTGAATTGTTATCTTTGTTAGTACAAATAACAAACATTAGCTTCTTCTTCTTCGTTTTTGTGTGTCTTCATGAAAGGACTTACAACATTTATTTTAAGTAGTTTAAATGATTTCGGATTAAATATTGTACATAAATTTGCTAAACAAGGTTGTAATATTATTTTAAATGGAAAACAAAATGATGAAAATATAATTCAAACAATTCAAAATACATATGGAAAAAATCAAATTATGTATTTATCAGAACAAATTCAAAATGAAAGAAATATATATAAATTAGTTGAACAAATATTAAATTCTTTTCAACATATTGATATTCTTATTATAAATCATGAATGTAGACAACATTATAGAGCTTCGATTGAAGAATTTCCAATTGAAAAATGGAAAGAAATTATTGATTGTAATCTTACAAGAAATTTTACTCTAGTTAAAACATTATGGCCTCATATGAAACGACAACATTTTGGTAGAATTATTCATATTGTAAGTATATAGATTGACTAATCAAGGAAAATAAATGAATTACATCGTTTTTAACGGAAGCGTAGATATATTTTCGAAAAATCAATTATCTTTTTTTTTGGCCATTTTCAAAAATTAGATAAACTACGAGAAAACAATATCGATTAACGTGTTTAAATTCTCAGTATATGAAGCTGACTGTTCATAACTTTTTAATTATACGCTTCAGAAAAAATAATCTTGATTAGAGAACAAACACTTGAGCTATAAGGAAATAATTGCTACTTGACAGACATCCGTGTTCTGTGAGTACTTAATTTTTAATAAATCTTCCTATAATGATCTTTCTAATATTAAGTAACTCGCCATGTTTTTTTGACCTTATATATATCTATGAGTACATAAATTATACATACAAATTGATATTGTACGTGTCGTCCAATGTAACAAAAAAATAACTATACTACGTGTCATAATCAAAAGTTGTCAATTAACTTTCTATGGTATTCCCTAATTCTTAAATTTTAGGCTAATGAACACAGTCAAATTGCAAGTGAATATCAATCAGCATGTATTACTTCACATCATGCATTATTGGGATTAAATAAAGCATTATCGATTGAAGGTGCTTCCTATGGAATTACTTCTAATATTATTTGTCCAAGTATACAGTAGCTAAAATATTTATTTTGTATATATATACATTATATTTTTGTACAGGTTATACACAAGCAAATTTCTCTGAACAATATAATCACATAAAAACCATAGCTGATCTTGTCTTATTTCTATGTACTGATCAAGCTCGTACAATTACTGGGCAATCGATTCCATGGAGTAATTCAATCTAAATCAATAATATTTTGACCTTTTGTTTGTTTGCTATTTTAATGAAACCATTCGAATACTTTTGCTGTCGATTAAAGATTCAGATTCCAATAATAATCATTCATTAATACGATAATTTACAGTATTTTCATGTTCAAAACGAGTTGATAAAGGTTCAGTTGAATAAATATCATAGTTATATGATTTATTATCTGTTTACTGATACAAAGTATTTTTAATACTATCAAAGTCTTCAATTTTCTCTGAATATATATTTATCTCGTTATTCTAACAGCATACGATTGAAAAAAATACATCGTGTTTTATTGACAAACAATTTAAAGACAAGTTAAGAATACGGAATCGATTATGATTGACCCGTTCAATTGTAATCAACATTAAAATGATCAATATTATTGATTTAATTATGAAAAAAGTTCTTTTTTCTATCAATAGAAAACTAACATGGTTTAATGCTCTGATAATTTCGAGTTTCTATCTAACTCTCTCATGGAAAAAACTAATTACACCAAAGTAAAAAGAAACATATTTGTTCCCGTCGATGAATTTATTCATTTCTTTTGTATGTAACAATATTTATGAAAACTAAAATTTACTTACAAAATGTTAGGTTCTTTTGAATAATTATACAGTATGCAATTTACATCAAATATAATTACTAAGAATGGTCTTATCTAGAGTCAAATACTAGTGAATCTATAATCAACAACACTATAATTATGTAGATCTACAAAATACCTCGAATTTCATATCAGATAGAAAAAAATAGTCACTTGACAGAAAGTCATGTTTTACAGAAGATATTTACAAGTTTCGCTCTTCAATTCACTTATGGCTATTCTAAACAAAGTGAATTTGTTATTTAACAGGAAAACATCTGTCATATTTTGTATTTCCTAATTAAATTTCGTTGACAATTCAACAAACAACAAATAATTTCGAAATTTTTATGTCTCTGTTAATAAACATTGATAATATAATAGAAAACAATTTCTTTCTATTCAATCAAAAGCTCGACTTATAATTGACCACTTGTAAATAGAACATGATATAGATTTTCTTTTGTTGTTCTATATTAATAAGTCTAGTTTTCTAATGTTCATCATAACGGAAATGAAAAGAATGCTATCTATCGTTTGCGTTTTCTTCTTCTTCTTCTTCTCGTTTACTCTATTCATTATTGCCAATTATGAGTTTTTCCGTTACTTTTCGATAATAAACTATGTGCTTAAAATGACAAGAAGAAGAAGAAAAAAAATACTCGCTCTATGTATATATATATTAATCTTATCGTTTGAGTCTGAAATATAGTAGTAATTCTATTATTGATCGATATTTAATATAATCAAAAAAATATTATATTGACAGTTATTTTATTGATCATTATTTACAAACAAACAAAACATAATACAAATAATATATCGTTCATATGAAAAAATCCAACTAATGAGTTATCTATAGGAAAATTCTTCTATTAGTTTGAATTATGTTGAGCATTGCATGATATAAAACCAGATTAATTATGAAAAGTATCTATGTCAGATGGTTCGATGCTTCTACCAATCAAATACGGATAATAAAAAAAAAGAAGAAAACTACTACTACTACTACTCAACATATCAATCATAATGTTAATGATGATTGCGTTTTTGTTGATTTTCCTAATGAATAAAGAGATCGATTTGTATAAATTTTTTTTTCATGTTAATATAAGGAGAAACTTTACAGAACATATGTCATCACATTCTGTGCATATAACCACAAAAACAACAACAACTAAGGAAACTTTCAAGAGGATAATTACATATATTTTACGCAGACAGAAAGAAAAAAAAGTGAGATCTATTTCCCTTTCTCTCTCTTTATATATATATATATAACACGAACAGGAAAAAACAACATAAATAATACACAGAAAAAACTAAAACACATCTACTAAATAAAGAAGGAAAAGTGCGAACGATATCAATATCAAGACATATCATGATTTTTAATAAAACATAATTCTATTTGTTCCCTTCCCGTTATTGTATAACAAGACATGATTTTTTTCTAAGGTTTAATTTGAATTTTTTCAAGAAAACCTCATTTATTATTTTATCAATATATCTCGTAAGACTAACTCGTATGATCAACTAGCGACATCTCTAATAGAAAATGAAAATAAGTATTTTTTTATTTAAAAACTAAATCTCTTTCATTAATTATTCTTAATAATTTTTATTTTTATTTATTACAATAACATTTTTGAAGGATCGAAATATATTTCTATCAGTAAAAATAAAATGGCTACTAAATTTCTCATTGCTTCTCTATGATTGTTTATTTTTTTTTTTCATATATTCTCAGTCTTGTCAACAGCAGCTGCAGATAGTCATGTTCTTATTCATCTTTTAAAGTTAATCATAAGAAAAAAATAATCTTTTGGCAAACAAAAATGGTGATTTTCAATGGGCATATGCGTTTAAAAGTTATTGAAGCCGATAAAATTCGTGCAACAGAACATTCAACACGTTATTTTCCTCAAAATCCATCATTATCTTATGTTAGTCCATATATATCAATTGATATTGATGATTTACCATTAGGACGTACACATACAAAAGAAAAAACAACAACACCAACATATAATGAAGAATTTACAAGTGATGTTCATAATGGTCAACAATTACATTTTACTATTTTTCATGATGCTGCATTACCACCTGATGAATATGTTGCTGATTGTACAGTAAAATTTGAAAATATACATGATAAAAAAAGTGACATTTGGATTGATCTTGAACCATCTGGACGAATTCATATATCAATTGAATTACAAGGACAATTCAGTGATTGTAAGATAAAACAATATGATTTTTTTTTTATGAAAAAATTTGTTTTTAGCTGTTAGTAATGAACGACATTTTAAACAAAATAAACGAGCTTTTGCTCAACGTCGTTTTGCTGTTGTTCGTCGTGTTTATGAAATAAATGGACATAAATTTATGGCAACATTTTTTCGACAACCGACATTTTGCTCAATTTGTTCCGAATTTATTTGGTAAATAGATTTTTTCATATTGAAATTTTTCAGTTTTTGAGAGAATATAATAAGTCGGAAAATCTCATCATTTTTCCAGGGGTATATTTCGTACACAAGGTTATCAATGTCAAGGTAAGATTATGGATGCTGCTTTGCAAAGCATATTTACTGATCCCTTTCTTTTGCTTTTATTTGTTGTGTTGTGAACATGATTCTTTGTTTTTTTTTTGTCTAAATTTATTTCCTATAAATTAAAACCTATTTTATCTCTTTCAGTATGCACATGTGTGATACATAAACGTTGCAAAGCATCGGTTGTTACAACATGTCCAGGAATTCGAACTTGTTTTGAAGTATAATAATGATTTATTTAAAAAAATGAATATTTATTTTTTTCGTGTTTTTTTAGTATCGTGAAAAAAGATTTAAAATAAATGTGCCACATCGATTTGTTGCTCATACATATCGATTATTTACTTTTTGTGATCATTGTGGATCACTTTTATGGGGAGCATGGAATCAAGGAATGCAATGTCGAGGTAAAACATTAGATTTGATCGTGTTTAGTTAATTATTAATAGTAGAAGAAGAAAAAAAAATTGTTATGTAAAGATAAATGAGAACATCTGTTCGAATAGAAAAGAAACATAACCACCTGGTATAGGATATAAAATTGTGGTAACTTTTATCGTTGATTTATTTAACTTGAATCAAGTGCAAATTAAAAACCAAAAGTGCACTTTAATTTTTTACCATAAGAATACAAAGAATAATCTTTTAATTTCTAAAATAGAATGTAAATTAAATGTACACAAACGTTGTACACGTAATGTTGCAAATGATTGTGGTTTGGATAAGAAAAAACTTGCTACGGTTATGGCTGATCTTAATATAAATACTGAACCTCAAAAAATAGTAAGAAATTTTTTTTCATATAAATAAAAAATAACCTTTTGGCCTTCTTCTTTAGGCGAATGTACCAAGTGAAGTCGATAGTAAGATTTTTTTATTTTATAAAACTCTATGTAACAAAAATATTCTTTTATAGCACCCTCAAATCTTCAACCAATTGCAGCAACAACTAAAACTCCGACACCACCTCCATCATCTTTATCATTTGATGATAGTCAAGCCAAACGACAACATCATTATACAATTGATGATTTTCATTTTATGAAAGTACTTGGCAAAGGATCATTTGGAAAAGTATTATTAGGTGAACATAAATCAACTGGTGAAGTATTTGCTATAAAAGTACTTAATAAAGATGCAATTATACAAAATGATGATGTTGAATGTACAATGACTGAACGACGAATATTAGCTTTATCAGCACGACATCCATTTTTAACTGGACTTTTTTGTAGTTTTCAAACAAAGGTAAGAATTTTTTTTTGTTTTGTTTTTGATTAAATAAATATTTATTTCTTTTAGGAACGTTTATTTTTAATTATGGAATATGTTAATGGAGGTGATTTAATGTTTCAAATACAACGTTCAAGAAAATTTGATGAATCACGTGCACGATTTTATGCATCAGAAGTTACATTAGCATTAATGTTTTTACATCGACATGGTGTTATTTATCGGTAAGACAAAAACTCAAAGAAGAAAAAATCCATAGAAAAATTTGTTCTTGTTTTATAGTGATCTCAAACTTGACAATATTTTACTTGATGCCGAAGGTCATTGTAAAATTGCAGAGTATGTTAAAACTATTTGTTTTTATTATTTTCTTGCTTTTATATTTTATTCAGATATTCAATAAGTATATATCATAGTGTAAGAGAACAAAACATGCTCATGCTTATTTTGCTAGGACATTTTTTTTGAAACCTAGAATTAATGTTTACATATTTTTGTTTTGATTTTTTATTTGGAAGAGGAAATTAATTTATTCATTGATATTGAATAATAAAGAGTAGAATTAATAGTTACAAAAATTTTGATAGATATTTCATATTGAATAAGCCTAAGGAAATTTTATCTATATCTATTTACTACTAGATTGCCTCAAGTTATATACAGATCGAGGACTTAATATAATTCAACAAGCCGTAGGCTACCTTTTTTTTATTAGTTTGTGCAAACTATAATTGTCCTACGATCAGACATTTTTCTTTACAAGTCCAATGACAAAACTTCTGATATGCCTGTAGATAATATATATGGATTAAGGTTATAAATAGAATCTATCGATTTCAATTATTATTAAGATATGTATCATCATAGAAAAACTAAAAAGACGTTATGAGGATATGCTCGATGTAATTGATTTCCGATTGCTTAAAAAAATTGTTAGTATAAAGATCAATAAAAACGACATTGCATGTAAAAAATAGTCGATTGTTTAAGATAAAGTATAACTGTTCTCTAATATTAATCAATTGGGTTTGTGTAATATAACAAAATATTTTGTCTCGAGAAAAAAAAGACTATTTATTGATTTATTTTAGTTTTGGCATGTGTAAAGAAGGTATATTTGATGGTAAATTAACATCTACATTTTGTGGTACACCCGGTATGATTCTATTCTTTGTGTATTTCTTATTTTTATCTTTGATTTTTATTAGATTACATTGCACCGGAAATTCTTCAAGAGCTTGATTATTCATTTTCTGTTGATTGGTGGGCATTAGGAGTATTAATGTATGAAATGATGGCTGGTCAACCACCATTTGAAGCAGATGATGAAGATAGTTTATTTGAATCGATTTTACGTGATGAAGTTCTTTATCCTGTTTGGTTATCTAAAGAAGCCGTACATATTCTTAAATCAGTAAATATAAAATGAGAAGTTATATACAACAAAAAAAAATCAATTATCTTATTTAGTTTATGACAAAAAATCCTGCTAAACGTCTTGGTTGTGTTGCAGCACAAGGTGGTGAAGAAGCTATAAAACGTCATGCATTTTTTGCTGGTAAACTTGATTGGGAAGCATTAGAACGTCGACAAGTTAAACCACCATTTAAACCTAAAGTGGTATGTAAAATAAAAAATATTTTATTTTGATTTCGTGACAATAAAAAAAATTATTTATAGGTTAATCCACGAGATACAAGTAATTTCGATAAAGATTTTACAAATATGCCTGTAGCATTTACACCAATTGAAGCTGTTATTGTTAAAGCAATAAATCAAGAGGAATTTAAAGATTTTTCATATCGAAATCTTGAATGGCGTTGTTTAGAACGTGGTGAAGTACCTAAAGATGATGCTAATGATGGTAGACGTGCATTACGTGATGATTTACCTGTTAATTTAAAACAACCATTACCAATGACACCTATATTATCTCATCAATCATTAACAAATGATACTGTATCATCAACAATTACAGTTGTTAAAACTGATCATATGCCAATACCACATATAGATACAAAACGAAATCCAACACCATCACCATTTCAATCATTACATATGTCACCCACTACAGCAACATCACAATCATTAACAACAGTACCATCATCAGCACCTGTTTTAACATCAAATTCAACGCCAAATCCTCAGCAGAAATCACCAGCAACAATTCGTTCGAATAAAATTATAACAGATCAAACCGACATGTAACTTTTAAAACGCATAATTTCATACTCTCTATGAACACTCTAGTCATTTCATTGTTGTTTTTGTCTATGTGCGTGCAATTTTCTTTCTTTTACGAGTTAATTTTACTTTGATTTACAGTATGATTTTTTTTTCTCTCTCTCTCTCTCTCTTTGTCTTTGTCTCTCTCTCTCTTTCTTCTAGTCATTCGTCATTATGCTGCTGCTGCCTTTTTCTTTTGTGCAATTTTGCTTTCTTTTTCGCATAATTTTCACTAGACATAGTAGATCATATACAGCCGTTTTGTTTTCTTTTTTGTGTATATGCCCATAATATGTACACATGTGTACTCTTGGTGGTTGTCTATATATATATTTATCGTCGTCAAACTTTTATATTTTATAATTCTTCTTTCTTTTTTTTCTCTTTGAAACATAAAAATATATGAATAAAATATATTTATCTTTGGAAAAAAAAAGTCGATACTATTTTTTCTTAAGAACGAATAGAACTGATGGTTATAGAGAATATCTACAAATGCAACAAAGTCGATTGGATAAATTTTTTACAATTAAAAAATCAGCAACAACTAGTAAATTAGCCGATAATAATGATGATGATGGATCAACTGATACAACAACAGCATCAAATGAACAAACAAAGAAACGATTATTAACAAATGATAATGAAAGTAATAAAAAATTAAAAAGAGTAAAGTCAGATTCAAGTACAGTAAATAGTAATGAAAATTCTCAAAGTACTGAAAATACTGAAACTAATTTTTCCTTAAATCAATTTTATTTGGACAAATTTTTATTAATTCTTTCATCTCTACTCAAACATCATAAATGTTTATTTAATGAAAATGAATTAATATTATTTGATAAATTTCAAACATTATCTGGTTAGTTTTTTCTTGTTTACAAATTGTGAATATTAAATATTTTTTTCAGCTTCATCACAAATTATTTTTGTTCGTTTATTAATGCGTCGTTGTAAATGGCTTCGACGTTCAACTATTAATTATGAAATATCAGATATATCGAATGATACAGATAATTTAATTTCACTTGTACAAATAGGTTTATTACAAGATAGTAAGAAATTTTTGATTGAAATTTATATAAAATATTTTATGGAAATTTGCTGTTTTTAAAGTATCATCATTAGATGATCTTGATGCTGGTCTTCGTTTATTAACTAGTGATGAAATGCGTGATTTTTCTAAACGTTTTCATTGTCAATCGAAAACGAATAAATCAAAAAAAACTTCTATTGAAAATTTAAAAAGTCTAACAAATCAATATAAATCAATGTTTGGTTCAACAACAGCAACAAATCGTGATCATCTTCTATTAAAAGAGTTTCGTTATTTAAATTTAATTAAAACAAAAGACCAAATTTTATTTTCTATAGATTAAAACGAATAATAATTAATTGTTATAAAATATCTGAAGATATTCGTGGATTATTTTTTCGAATGATGTTAACTTATCATCCAGTAGCTCTTCTAGCAATGGATGATCTTGATCAAAATGGTTTTACTCTATTGTAATATTTATTCATAAAATCAATAATTTTGTTTTTCATAAGAAGAATTTTTTAGGTATAAAACATTTCAAATCATCCGTGGACAACTTCGACTTCCATGGAATGAAGATCAAATTAGTCATGAACATTTACCATTTAAAACACCAGAACAATTACAACTGTAAGATATTAATAGATTCCTTTTTAGTTTGACATAAATTATTAATCATAGTACATAAAGCAAATGTCAGAAAAAAAAACTAATTACAAAACTAATGTTTAATAATTTATTTCGATTTAATGAAAATAGGTGATGAAAGAATTCTATCGTGACTTTTTTTTTCTTGTTATATAGTTATCAGAAAGCAATTGATCTACAAACAGAATATCATCAATTAGAAGAATCGAAAAATCTTGATGATTTAATTCATTTCTATGAAACTTATAATGAACAATGGCGTGAAATGATTGATTCATCGAGTGAAAAGTATTTTGTCTTCTTTAAAATAATTCAATTTAATATATTATATAATTATAGCGAACAATTACCTGGTTATTTTCGTCGATTTTCTCCGGATTATGTTCGTGCTCGTATTCTATCGCATTTAACTGAAGTTTTACAACGAGCTCGACGTTATGATGAAGCAATTGAATTAATTCAATATTTATTAAGTATTTTGTCTTTTTTTGATTTTTCGTTTTCAACAAATTTAGTTTAGGTCGAACTATGTATAATCGTTATCGTCGAGGTAAATTATGGAATCGTCTAGCACTTATGCAAGAAAATTATGTTAAACCTAATGGTCATCAACAATGTTTAAATACAATCCAGGAAGCATTACAAGATCCGTATGTTACATTAGGTGATCGTCTTGGATTATGTGAACGTGCAAGAAAATTATTTTCTCGACCAAAATCAAAAGGAGTACTTTTAGCGACATGGATAACAGATGAAGAAGATAATTTAATGTGGACTGTTCCACTACCGAAAGAAGTGAAATATTTTATTTAAGAAAAAAATTTTTTTAATTTTAAATCAATTAGATTGAAGTAACAGGACGTTTATTGGCGAATGATGCACGAATGGGTAAAGTAACATATACAATACAAGATCCAGTTGATGGTTCAATTCAATTTTGTAATGTTGAACAATTAGCTATTCATCATTATCGAACTGAAGAAGATTATACTTATGGTATTCATTCGGAAGGAGCTGTTATTCGAACATTAATTGGTCTTTTATTTCTTGATTTAATTTATATATTACCCACGCCAGATTTACTTATTGATATATTTCAAACAGAACCGTTAGATTTTCAAACTGATGCATTTTATAAATCCCGCAAAAGCCAGATTGATGAACGGATAAGTCAATTAAATTCTGAAGAAGTAAGAATTCATTAAGAGTTGATGCTGTTCAATTGTATCATATGATAAATTTAGAGTATTGAAGAAGTTGCTGAAAAAAATTGGGAAATGTACAATTTAACAATGAGTTCAGTTGTTAATTGGGAATTATTTCAAACGAAAACAACTTTATTAGTAAAAAATTTGAATTCATCATAGATCTTAAATTTTCTTTTTATTATAGAGTGCTTTAAAATGTTTAACACCGGAACAAATTCAATCGATGTCAATCTATACATTTGTACATAATCGTGCTGCATGGAAAGGTTTTCCTGATTTATTCGTATGGAATCCCATAGCAAAAAAATGCAAAGTAAAAAAAAACAAAGAATTTTATTGCAAAATTTTAATTTTTTCATTAGTTTGTCGAAGTTAAAAGTCATAATGATCGTCTTTCATTTCATCAACTAGTTTGGCTTGATAAATTAGTTGAATTTAAAATTGATTGTGAAGTATGTAAAGTTAGTGGTAAGTTAACTTTTATCGAAATTATTCTTTAGTATAAATTTAATTTGTATATATTTAGCAAATGGTGCAAAGAAATTAATGCAACGTACATCATCTACTATTGAATTAGATTAAATTGATATATATATAAATATTTTATTGTTATTGTTAAAATAAGTTAATAAATCTCATTCTTCTTTTAGAAAAAGTAAAATTCGAACAAACAAAAAAATGTATTTTTACAATTGTAGATAGAAAAGAACAATGTTTGCAAATGATGATGAAGATGATGAATGGAATAATGAAAGTGAAGAAGATCAACCACAAGGTTATCAAGCTTTATTAGATCCAGATGATGAAGAGTAGGAGCAAAAAAATAAATTTTTTGAAGTAAACTTTATTTCTATTTTTTAGAAGCATTACCGCTGAAGATGAGGAAATAGAAGATGATCATGAAGAAGAAGAAGAAATAGAATCAATTGAAGAAGAAGTACCTATTGATGATGGTCAGATAAAACCATTTACTTGTACATTATGTACCGTATCCTTCAGTAAATTCGAAGGATACCGTGAACATTTTGTCTCCACTGAACATCGATACAAACGACGTGATGAAAAGAAACGTCTTGGAGTATGATTGTAGTTTTAATTTATCAAAAAATAAAAATTATTTTTTTTTTGATTATAAGGAAGGATGCACAATTGAAACTTCACCGGTTGAAGTATTTGTTAATTTATTACTTTATAATAAAGTAATACATTGTTTTGAAATAAATATAAAATCATATTTATTAAAACAAACATTTAGATTCCATTTGAAAGTATTCAAATTAATATTCAACCTGTTGATTTTAGTGTCAGTGGTTCACTTGAATATAATAATAATAAATATGAATATCAACATGCATCAACATTAAATGATTTATATCAAGTTCTTGTGAATAAATTCAATCAAGATTATGAAAAATATCAATTAAAAATGCCACCACAAAGTTTTTTTGTTGCAAGAGGTACTGAAAAAACATTTCTTTGGATGAAATTAATATCATATATGTTGAATTTAGATATCTGTCGAAAAGAAGTAGAAAATGTATGGACTGTACCACGTTATTGTGATGATACAGGAAAATCTGATGAACAAATTGTTAAAGTAAGAAAAACATATCCGATATATTAAAAATTGTTGGTGTTTTTTTCTTCTAGGAAGTATTAGACTTTTGTGTGTTTACAAATGTTGAACCAGAACGTGAACGTTTAATAGGACATTCCATTCAAACATGGCGTATGTTTCATCGTCAAGAAACTAAACCAGGTTTTTGGTTTGTATTCAATACTTGTTTTTCTAATAAAGAAAAACATATTTTCTTTGTTGTTCAGGTGTGATATGTGTAAACAATGTTTTCGGAAACGAAAAGCAATAATTTGTGTAAATTAATTAAATGAAAATAATTATATATTTTTTTGTTTTTTCTATTCATATAAAGCATTTTGAAACAAGTGAAAAACATGAAAAAAATCTCAAACATCTTCCACCATATCGACGAGCTGTTCAACATGTAACATTCTTACTCTAGAATAATTTGCATTTATTTTATTTTATAGAGTTTATTTACTGGTCGTTTGTTAAATCAATTTATTGATATAGATAAATTGAATTATTATCGATCACGTGTTAATGCTTATCGACTTCCACCATCACATAAAACTCTTAAAAATGCGTATTATTGCACATTTTGTAAAAAATCATTTGAATCGACATATTCACTTGAAAAAGTAATTTAATATTTATTCAGAAAATATTCTCAATTATTATTTCTAGCATCTTGCTTGGAAAAATCATCGTGATATATTACGTAAGCGTCATCAAAATGATCTGGATAATTTATCACGTCTTGTTGTAAATAGAAAAAGTCAATATTTTGTTCTTATATCAATTGTATTTTTTAGACTTATTTGAATTTCAATCAATTATCTCATGAACAACGTAATGGTGGTATTCAACAAATGGTTAAAACACCAGATGAATATCGATTAAAATATAATCTTGAATCGATGACAATTGAAAATCTTCAAGAAGATATAGTTCGTTTTGATACACAACTTGCTCAACAAGTTATACATAATATTCAAAATCAACAAGGAAATAATAATCGATTCAATCGTGGTGGCGGCGGCGGTGGAAGAGGAAGAGGACGTGGTGGTCGTGGAGGACAACCATTTCGTGGTCAAGGATTTCGACCACGAGGTGGTAATTTTCATCAACAAAATGGCCAACATTTCAATCCAGGACAATTCAATCAGCCAAGACATTATCAACCTCGTCCATTTAATCCTAACCAGTCCTATCCTCAAAATAATTTTCATCTACCAACATCATTTCGCCCACGTATGTGTAATTTTTAATCTTGAAATTCTTTTTCATTTCTTTCTTTCTTCCTTTCTATAGCAAATCAAAATTTTGTTAATGAATATAATAAACGTCCTTATCCACAAAATAATAATAATAATTACAATAATAATTATTATAATCCAAGACAATCATGGGCAAATAAAAGACCTCGATTTGATCAACCACACCAACCACCACCACCACAATACCAACAACCTTCATCATCAAATCGAATTGATTATCGCTATGTAGCTAATCAAAATACTTATCAACAACAACAATTTCATTAATATTATCTGTTATTTCTTAGGAAATTTGTTAAATGGTGCTTGATTTTTTTTTGTGTTACTCAATAGAATCATTGTTATTAGTGCCGATTATTAGTGATAAAATAAAAAAAAAGTTCGAAATTATTTATCTTTTTTACCCATGTTCTAGGTTTTTAATCCTAAGGTCAAGTAAATTTTTTGTTTGTTGAGACTACTCTTGGCATTTAACAAAGGATTAAATACATCAAATGAATAGAATAATAGTTTTTTTCACTTGTCTGTCTATTTAGATATATCCAAACAAAACAAAAAAAAAAGAAACCGCTCGTTTCGTATGCTAATAACAAAAAAAAAAATAAAACAAACATGACGGAGAGCTAAACAAAACACTAGTAGATAAACATAAAGCGAGTTAATGCTCAATTATTTTTTGTGACACAATGAGAAAAAAAGACTAATTGGAATGGACATAACAAGCATAAATAAATATCGACAAATCTGACCACCTTCCTATCGTTTTATTTAACCTAATGTCTTTTTTTATAAGCTGTCGTCATCATGTCCATGTGGTGGGGGTGGTGGAACATCACCAGCACCTCCTGGACCACCGCCTTGTCCATATAATTTAGTCATAATTGGTGTCACAATTTCTTCGAGTGCTTTCTTGTGTTCTTTTAATTCATCAGCTTCAGCACCAGCATTTGATTCAAGCCATTTGATTTGTTCTTCAACAGCTTTTTCAATTGTTTCTTTATCATCACTTGATAATTTTCCACCGAGTTTTTCTTTATCAGCCAATTGTGTTTTTAATGAATAAGCATATCTTTAAAGAAAAAGAAAATAATTATTTTAGGATAAATAAATAGACAAAAGAATAAACTTACGATTCAAGTTCATTTTTAGCATCAACACGTTCTTTTACTTTCTTATCTTCATCAGCGAATTTTTCTGAATCTTTAATCATACGATCAATATCTTCTGGTGATAATCGGTTAGTATTTGAATTGATGACAATATTGTTTTTATTTCCTGTTCCTTTATCTTCAGCAGTAACTTTAAGAATACCATTAACATCAATTTCAAATGTAACTTCAATTTGTGGAACACCTCGTGGTGCTGGTGGAATACCAGTTAAATCGAATTTACCTAAGACATGATTATCTTTTGTCATTGGTCGTTCACCTTCAAATACTTGAATAGTAACTGTTGGTTGATTTTCAGCAGCTGTTGAAAAAATTTGACTTTTCTTTGTTGGAATAACAGTATTACGTGGAATAATTTTGGTCATAACACCACCAACTGTTTCAATACCCATGGTTAATGGATTGACATCGAGTAAAACGATATCACCTGTATCTTGTTCACCTGATAAGACACCAGCTTGAACAGCAGCACCATATGCAACAGCTTCATCTGGATTAATACCACGTGATGGTTCTTTACCATCAAAAAATTCTTTGACTAATTGTTGTACTTTTGGAATACGTGTTGAACCACCAACAAGAACAACTTCGGCGATATCAGTTTTTTTCAAATCCGAATCTTCTAATACTTTTTGTACTGGTTTCATTGTTGCACGGAATAAATCCATATTTAATTCTTCAAATTTAGCTCGGGTTAATGTTTCACTAAAATCTTCATTATCAAAGAATGATTCAATTTCAATTTTAGTTTGATGTTGTGATGATAATGTTCGTTTAGCTTTTTCAACTTCACGTCGGAGTTTTTGAACAGCACGAAGATCTTTTCGAACATCTTTACCAGTTTTCTTTTTAAATAATTTAATAAAATGTTCCGAAACACGTTGATCAAAATCTTCACCACCTAAATGTGTATCACCATTGGTTGCAACAACTTCAAATACACCATTATCAATTGTTAATAATGAGACATCGAATGTACCACCACCCAAATCAAATACAAGAATATTTTTTTCACCTTCCTTTTTATCTAAACCATAAGCAATGGCTGCTGCTGTTGGTTCATTAATAATACGCATAACATTTAATCCGGAAATAGTTCCAGCATCTTTTGTTGCTTGACGTTGGGCATCATTGAAATAAGCAGGAACTGTAACAACAGCATGTGTAACTTTCTTTCCAAGATAAGCTTCCTATAATAATAATAATAATATTATTGATAAGAAAATGAAAATTAAATTAATAAACTTACAGCAATTTCACGCATTTTTCCGAGAACCATAGCTGAAATTTCTTCAGGTGTAAAAAGTTTTTGTTCTGTACCAGTACTGATTTGAATAATTGGTTTTGAATTCTTTTCAATAACTTTGAATGGGAAATGTTTAATATCTTGTTGAACAGTTGCTTCACTATATTCACGACCAATAAGTCGTTTGGCATCATACACAGTATTTTCTGGATTAGATGTCAATTGATTTTTAGCTGCATCACCAATTAATCGTTCACCTTCAGCTGTAAATGCAACATATGATGGTGTAATACGATTACCTTGATCATTGGCAATAATTTCAACTCGTCCGTTTTTAAAAATACCAACACATGAATATGTTGTACCAAGATCAATACCAATTACAGTACCAAGTTCTTTCTTGTCTTCTTCAGCGGCGAAAGTATATGTAAGAGCAAAAGTAGCGATGAGGAGAAGAATATTGAATATCTTCATGTTTACTGAATCTATGATTTGTTAATGAATGAGACTGCTACAAAATGGGAGTCGTATTTATTTGAAGTGAATGGTTAAAGTAATACATACGTGTTTTTACTCTGTGCTGATGAGAGCATATGCTGTCTCAATTTGATTGGTCCAGCAAGAAAATTTTCGATGACGTCGATTATGCGTGTAAGCAATAGAAAGAATACGAATATAAATCTGAATCGAATGCTCTAAAATGTAAAGAAATAAAGTTTTTTCTTGGTATTTAAAATGAAAAATAATTTTTATTTGTAATATTAAATAAATAAAATATAAAAAATACTATAAACATGCGACATCTATACAAAAATACATGAAAATACTAGAAGATTCCTAAAGAAATTTTCAGAAATCGATTAAAATTAACTTTATTTTATCTTTATTTATTTGAATTTGAAAAAAATCAAATATTTAATTATAATTGTAGGATCATCTGTACTAATCAAAAGCTTTGAAATACATTTTGATAGTTTCGTACTACGAAAACTATCTTTTCTAGATTATTGATCATGTCGCGAGTAATTGTTAAAAATTTACCAAAACAAGTATGCAAAAAATTAATCCAGTGATATATAAAATCTCTTAATTTCTCTAGGTAAAAGAAGAACATGTTCGTAAACATTTTGAAGCTTTTGGACCCATTACTGATTTACAATTAAAATATACTCAAGATGGTATTTTTCGTCGTTTTGGATTTGTTGGTTATGCGAATGATGAACAAGCACAACGAGCCATTGATAAATTAAATAAATCTTATATTGGTACATCGAAAATTGTTGTTGAACAATGTTTAGATTTAAATGATACGAATCGTCCACGACCCTGGAGTAAATATGCTCAACAACAACCTGAACTAATAAAAAAATCGTCGGATGATGATGAGAAAAAGATTAAAATCAAAACTAAAGGAAGTAATAAATTAGTCGATGCAATACTTGGTGATCTTAAAGATGATGAAAAATTTAAAGAGTTTGTTAAAAATGTTGATTCAATGAAAACAAGTGAACAAATTATATGGAATGATTCAATGAATAAGACTAAAGAAGATAAAAAACAATTGTCGAAACCTGTTAAAGAACAACCGGTTTCTTTACCTCCACCTGTAAAAGAAGAAAAATCTTTAGTACCTCGTTATTTAATTAAAATATGTGGAATACCCTATTCATCAAAAGAACGTGATATTCGTCAATTTTTTTCTCCTCTATCAATTATTAGTGTACGTTTAATTCATAATCGAAAGACGAATTCATTATCTGGAGTTTGTTGGATAGAATTAGAAAATGAAGATGATATGAATAAAGCAATGCTTAAACAAAAATCAATTTTAACTATAGAAAAAACTGGTGAACATCGTTATTTAGAATTAAGTTCATTTATAAAAAATAAAGATGCATTAAATAGATCAACAAACAATAATAATAATAATAATAAAAAACCATTAAAAATCTATGAACCGATTAATGAATCAATTGGTGAAACAGGTGAATTATTCGTTCGAAATCTTTCATATAGAACAACAGAACAAGATCTAGAAAATCTTTTTAATCCATTTGGACAAATAACAAGTATTAATATGCCTATTGATAGTTTAACGAAACAACCAAAAGGTTTTGCTCATGTTACATTTATGTTTCCAGAACATGCATTAAAAGCTTTTAATGAACTTGATGGACGTGCTTTTCAAGGGCGATTATTACACATTCTACCCGGAAAAACACAACAACAACAACAGCAACAAGATTCAACTGATTCGAATAATAATAATCAAGTAACACCGACTTCAATTGCAACATCATCTGAACAAAATTGGAATACATTATTTCTTTCGTCGAATGTTATTGCAGAAATAATGGGTGAACGATATGGTCTTGATAAAGCAACGATAGCTACTTCAACGAAAAAGAATGATAGTTTAGCTGTACGATTAGCTGTTGGAGAAACTCAAATTGTACATGAAACTCGACAGTTTTTAATGGATAATGGTGTTCAATTAGATTCATTTAGTCAAGCATTATCATCTACGAAACGAAGTAAAACAGTTATTTTAGCTAAAAATTTACCGATGAAAACACATGATCAAGATTTACGAATTTTATTTGAAAAATATGGTAAATTACAACGAATTATTTTACCACCCTATGGTCAATGTGCATTAATTGTATTTGAACATCCACAAGAAGCACGACAAGCATTTAAACAATTATCCTATCGAAAATTTAAAGATAATAAACCATTATATTTAGAATGGGCACCGGGAAATGTTCTCTCCGGACAAATTAAACAGGAAGAAAAACCAGTAAGAAATGAGTCTGTCGAATTCTAATCCTATTAAAATTTTTCTATTTAGACTGAATCACTTGTTGAAGAACAAAAATCAACAATTGCAGATGAAAAGAAAAAAGAAGACGAAGAAGCAGAAGAGGACACATTTACATTATTTGTCAAAAATCTTAATTTTGATACAACGGATGCCGATTTACAAAATGTATAATTAAATTTTTTTCTTTTATTAATAATTTCTGTTTTTAGCATTTTTCTTCTATTGGTCTATGTCGTGCTTATGTAGCGAAGAAAAAAGATCCTAAACGTCCAAGTCAATTGTTATCAATGGGTTATGGTTTTGTTGAATTTTCATCAATGAAACTACTCAATGAAGCTCTTAAACAATTACAACATTCACAACTTCAAGGTCATGAATTAGAATTGAAAAGATCCGAACGTACGATGAAATCAAAGTAAATAAAAAAAATAAAATCAATATATAATTTTTTTTCTTGTTTTGTCAATAGTCCACAAACTAAATCAACTAAACGTAAACGTCAAATAGAAAAAGAACAACATACAAGTAAAATTTTAGTTAAAAATATTCCATTTCAAGCTAATGTAAGAGAAATACGTGAATTATTTCGTGTATTTGGTGAACTTAAATTTGTTCGTTTGCCCAAAAAAATCGATGATGAACATCATCGTGGTTTTGGTTTTGTTGATTTTATTAGTAAAAATGATGCAAAAGTAAGACTCGTTTTTTTATTTGAAAAGGAAATGAATTAATTTAATTTTTAAGAATGCATTTGAAGCATTATGTCATAGTACTCATTTGTATGGACGTCGTATTGTGCTCGAATGGGCTGATGAAGAAAATGATACAGTTGAAGGTTTAAGAAGAAAAACAGCAGCAGAATTTGGTAAAAATAAATATTATTTTCCATAAAAAAATATATTTTTGTATTTCTAGATCTAAGTTCAACGAGTAAACGTGTAAAACGATCAGAATTACTTGGTGAACTACGTAAAATGGGTGGAAATGATCAATCATCATCATCAGAAAGAAAACCTGCTACTGAAGAAGATGATGAATAAAAAAACAAATATGTTGTTGTTTTCTTGTTTTGTTTTTGTTAACCTTGTTTTAGGTTGAAACTATGATAAATAAAAATCTTTTCATCGATAATCGATGAAAAGAAAATAATAGATACATATCTAACTTGAACGTGTCCAATTATTATTTTTTCCTATCGTATCGAGAAATTGAAGAGAGAAATAAAAACTTCTCCTTTATTCTAATATAATAGACAGAGTGTTGAACAACAGGCCGCTACGATCTTGCTTTCGGGTATATTGTCGAACGATTGCATTTATATTTCTTTGAGAAAAGACTGAAAATAGGGAAACGTAGAGGAAGAGAAAGTCAGTCCGTCATCATCGTGACGAAAGAAAAGAGAATTTTTTTCTCTCGATCCTGGACTTGTCGACACACACGCAGAATATATATATATATGCGTAAGAAAAGATAGAGAACAAATAAACGTCCTTCGATGTTCTTAGAAAAAAAAGGAATTGAAGGGCTATATAGATTCTATATGTCGTTCATAACACATTAATCATACTACTTGATATTTTATTTTTTAATCTTTTAGTTCCTTGTTGATTATGGGTAAGGGTAAAACAATTATTCTTATTGATGGTGACGCTCCACCACCTTTGATACCATCAAAACGTTTTACATTGGCTTTACTTGTCTTTTTTGCTTTTATTGTTCAATATTCTCAACGTGTTAATTTACCAATTGCAATTGTATGCATGGTTAATCGTACAAAATCTCATGACTATCAATTATCATTCAATAATACAACAACGACAATAAAACCTCTAGTCTCCGCTTTACAAAAAAGAGGATATCTAGAAGAAAAACAATTCAATTGGATAGAATTACAACAACAAATTCTTTTAGGAGGTTATTGGGCTGGATATATATTTACACAAGTACCGGGTGGATGGTTAGCAACAACTATAGGTGCAAAATGGGTTTATGCTGGTTCACTTTTTACTAGTTCAATTGCTAGTTTTGCATTAACAATAATGTATACGATGTCAAATACACATTTTATTTCAATGTTTCTTCTTCGTTTTATTGTTGGTCTTGCTCATGGTGTTCTTTTTCCAGCTACAATAGCACTTTGGTCACTTTGGGCTGTACCACAAGAACGAAGTACACTTGCATCCATTGGATTTTGTGGTACCCATCTTGGAACATCAGTAACAATGCTTCTTGGTGGACTTTTCTGTCGTCATTTATATTCAGGTTGGATGTATATATTTTGTTTAACAGGTATTTTGGGTTTTATTTGGTTAATATTATGGATATCATTAACATCGGATTCTCCAAATAATCACAAAACCATTAGTGATCATGAACGTGACTATATATGTAATTTAACCGGTAGTACTGGTAAAAAACGTTCAATGACATTAGCATCAATACCATGGAAAAATATATTTACATCAAAACCATTAATTGCATTATTTATAACACATATTGCAAATTTATTTGGTTTATTTTTCTTTTTAACAAATCTTGGTAAAATTTTAACTGAAATTCATCGTGTACCAACACAATATACTGGTTATATATTAGCTTGTGGATTTTTTCTTACACTATTAACTAGTCTATCATCAGGTATTATTGCTGATAATCTTGTCCGAAATAATGTTATGACATTAACAACTGCAAGAAAAATGTTTAATTCATTAACATCATTTATACCTGTTCTATGTATGATATCATTATGTTTTTGTGATGAATCAAACAAAATTTTAGGAATTATTACTATACTTGTTTTTCTTGCCAGTTCAGGTAAATCTAAGAAAAAAAAATAATAAAAGTTCACACTGTTTTTATTACTTCAGGACTTGGTTATGGAAGTGGTTATGTTGTTAATTTTGCCGATATTGTTCCTGCTTATTCAGGTGTTATTTTTGGTCTTGGTAATTCATTTGCATCCATAGCTGGTGTTATTGGAAATATTATTGCTGGTATGATTGTTACTAAACCCGTATTGGAACAATGGAGAAAATTATTTATTATGTTTGGTATTGTTTATTTTATTGGTGGTATTGTCTTTTTATTTTTTGGTTCAGCTGTACCACGGAAATGGGCAAAATTTCAATCGGTTAATAATGAAAAAGAAAAGAAATTGAATGATGAAGAAATTATTCCAATGAATCAAACAAAACAAATTAAAATTTAATATCAAAAATAAAATATTTATATATATTTTTTTTTACTTCCGTCCTTTGTTGTAAGATCAGATTTTTTGAACGGTCAGTTGATATAAAACAGCAATGAAACTTGTATAAATTCGTTCATTTTATGTTAGTTATTATTTTTTTTTGTTGTTGTATAAATTTCCGTTAATCATGTTAACTTATAGTACATAAAATAAAATAACAATAATACTTTTTAAATTATCTTCTTTCCAGATGAATATAATTTCTAATTTTGTTTTTCGTCAATCTATTTGTTTATCAACTCGACATTTGTTAATAAACAATCGAACATATAAATCAAATTTATCTTATGATAAATTATTTCCAAATTCTAAATCACTTGATACTTTATCTGGACCTATTACAGCAGTAAGTTAACAGAATTTTATAGATATATTTTGATTTAATCCATAATTCTAGCCTACGAATGAATCGACCGGTAAAGATAAATTCAATGGATTTATTCCGACAGGTATAGTTCAATAATTATTATTTATATTTTATAATTGATATGTGTTCTATTTTTTTTTTGCAGATAAACTAGATATTACACATCGACATGCTCGAGGTCCAGGTGGTCAGCATGTAAATAAAAGTGAGAAATTTGTTTTTTCGCTGTATTCTATTTTGTTTTGATTAGCATTAAGTGGTGTTGAAATTCGTTTTCATATTGATTCAGCAACATGGATACCAGATTGGATAAAACCACGTTTTCGTGATATGGTTTGAATTATAAATAATGATTTTTCTATCTAAAAAAAACTAAATTTATATATTTTAGTATCAATCACGTATTAATCGAGATGGTTATTTTATAATATTTTCTGATGAAACTCGCCATCGATTATTAAATCAAGCACAATGTTTAGATCGAATTCGAGCATTAATCCGTGATGCAAGTATTATTCCAAAAGGATTGAGTGAAGAAGAGAAAAAAACAATTGAACAACGGTAAATTTATATTTAATTGTATATGAAAGTTATATTCTTTTTTCTTTTAGAAAACAATCGGCATCATCAGAACGTGTTATTCGCAAGCGAATGCATTCACTAAATAAACAAGATCGGAAATCTTCGTCAATAGATTTGAATTGATGTGTGAACATGATGTTTTTGTTTTTATATATTTGTTATAATAGAAAACAGGTGTTCATTTAGAAATAATATATTGTAGTTAGTTTGAACTACTTGATACAGAAAGTATTATTTTCATTTTGTAATCAAATGTTCGACTCATCAATCAACAATTTAATATCCTGGGAAATTATGCAAATGTTTAAGAGATAGATTAGTAAAGAATTTATTTCATTTTTTAACAGCTAAATTTGTGTTGTCTTCATTAAAGTTTTCAAAATAATCAGACGAAAGAGTCTCGTTATCATCAAATTCATTGTGGTCAATGTTCTTGTCTTCGTCGTAGTAGTCTTCGAAATACTCCATATAAGGGTGGGTGTGGGTGTAAGTGTAGATCTGGCTGAGTGGATGTGCTTGTGCTAAAAAGTAAGACATTCATGACAACCCACACTCTCATACCAACACCCACCCACATACACACCCACACCCACACCCACACCCACACCCACATGCTGTTTGACAGTGAGTCGGCTAACTTTCCAACATACCCTGATGCAAAGGAATAATATGATAAAGTGCATATGCAAACGGCAGAAGGCACTTATGTATTTACCTTTTTATCTTCAGAGACACAACAGAATAAGATAATGAATTGTGTTTCAAAATACTTATATGTTAATGTCTCTCTATGTAAAGAAAAGAACGAATGAAAAAAGGTAAAAGATATTGAAGCTGTTGTAAATGTGCATTTACAGATACACGACCATGTTGGTATTTCTCTCGTCAGCCATGCAAACAAAGAAGAAGGGTGTGGGTTTTTGTTTGCATGGTTCGGTGTGAGTGCGTGTAGGTGGGCGTTCTTTCAATCGTATCTACATCGACCTTTTATTTTGTTTTAAATGAACCGTATGAGATGATAGGAAGTAATAATAAGAAAAAAGGATATTCCTTCTATATGAAAGCACATAGTTTTCACACAATCGGAGTGTAATCGTACAAAATTCTGCGTACCTGAAATACGAAGTGGAGAACTTCTCACGTTGCATCCTTGCGTATATTTTCTTTGCAGTAGAGCGTGATAATGCAAAAGTTGCCTGCAAGACGCTGCCAGCCATTTTTTCAAATTCATCATTCATTTTTCGCAGTGTTACATAGATCTGCATTTCTTTTGGTTTTCCGAATCAGAGTTCGGTGGGACAAGGATTTTTCTGTCTCGTCCCGCCTCAGACGCAAAAAAATCCTCAGCGTCCCGCGCTCTTATTTTACGTCCAGTTTCGTCCTGTTCCGTCACCATCTTGAAGGAGGGTGTGGGTGTGAGTATGGGTGTCGATGTGGGTTGCGGATGTACGTGTAGATGTGGGTATCTGTCCTCCTTCCACACCCACACCCCTATGCTCTTTCTTCTTGTAGCACAATTACGAATATATGCCTAGTATGGATTTCATGTGATCAATAAGGATAAAGGAGATCTTATATTCGAGATAAGAAATAGCGAATAACATTATTCAAATGTTCTATAAAAGTTTTTATCACTAACAATATTTAGCGTTTTTCTTGTAAATAAGTCACTAGAGTTTATAAATTCAATCAATATTGATCGTAGGACAATTCTATATAAAGCTTTGTCCAGTCCCGTCCCGCAGTTAAAAACATCTGTCCGGCACCGCCTTGTGGCAAGTCTTAAAAAATGTGTCCCGTCCAGTAGTTCCACCGATCTCTGTTACAAATATCGATGAGGTAGTTTTACGGAGTCCTTGCATGAGGTTTTGCAGAGAATTTCAAGCGCTATATTTTGGTTTAAAAAGTCTTGAAATCAACGAAAAAGTGAAGTGAAAAACTCAAAAATTCTGACATTATAATTCTTTGTGGACCATACATTAAGAAGCTGAGGCATGATAGCGAGCTAGCAAATAGATTGTTACCTCTAGAACATGTTGGCAAGAGTTTTGACTTTCGTTTTATCTTTGTATATTCAAATGAAAGTGGTAGACAGAAATAGCCGTTTAAAAAATCGTCATTGTGTGCCTTATCATAGAAGACAAGAGTCAAAATCAACATTCACATCCATTCCAAAGCCGTAACAATAATAATAATATCCAGAAGGCAGGCAAAAATTCACATTAGGTAAACGCATAAGAAACATGAGTGATCCGCAATTGAGAAATAGAGGGAACAATCAAGAAGCCAGTGCGAGAGTTCCCCACGGTGAAAACAATACAGAAAATATACGAGACAATATAAGCATTCGCGCGTTACTCCGCATGGTGTTTCAACATCCTGTAAAAGTCATTTTGGTTGTTTCGGGCATTTTCGTTCTTATTTACGCCGTACTACCCGCTCCTAAAGCATGTGATATGAAGATGGCGGAAAATCGGGATTTCAACAAATATTATGGCATCCTTAGCATGAACAACCATTTTACAACACCAAATGCTGATAACTGTACTTCAACTATCATATTCAAACCAGCATTACCGCAAGCAATACTAAAACCTGATTATTCAGCAAGTTCATTCTTAACATTGGCACCTTACGGAACTGGGAAAACATTATTGAGATGTGAATATTACAAATCATTACGACCAGATACCTACTTCAAAGTATTAATATTAAATAAAGAGATTGATGAATATTTACAAAGATTTGTCGAAGAGAAAGCAATGAGTGGAACAGATTGTGACAAGGAAAGTTGCATCATGAAATGGTCAAGTGATGAATTCGGTCAATTACTGCTATCTCTTTTAGTTACACAATTCGTTAACACATTCGAAAAAGAGCCGTTGAATCTTTCAGATATTTCGTTAGATGAGAAAATCGAACTAATAACTATCATGTGTTATTATTATAACGAGCAAGGTGTGAGCAAACTGGAAAACTTTGTGAATTCTTTTCTGAAGAAAACCGGCAATTCAATGTACCTAGTAACTAAAGCAGTAGCACAAATTAAACAGAACAATAACGTCTACACAGATACACCCCTTTTTAGCCATTTGAAAAATGATTCAAAAAAATTAACTGCTCTTAGACAAGATGAGGAAAAATTGCTTTTATTATTAGCGATCGTTGAAGGTGAAGGTTTTCCAATCAAAGCATTTCAAACTTCTCTGTCGAATAATGTGTTAAATGGTTTAAGACACTTTGCATTGTTTATGAAGAAACATGTTAAAAAAACTGCTGTATTCATTATTGACGGAATTGATGAAAACCGGTTTTTCTTCAATGAGAATAATGTTAATAAAAAGTCATTAGAATTATTTTGTCGTTCTTCATTATCTCAAGAGATTATCGCAATGGTTATGGCTCATAATTTCTATTTATCGGTATTTTATCCTAAAATAGATGGTATTAATATGGAGCACGCGATTATTCGAAAGGATAAATTTCCCATACTTGTAATAAAATGGAATATAAAATCATTAATTAATTATGCTGATTATGTTCTGCAAGAAATGAACAAAAATGCATCATCATCTCGTTGCAAGTCATTCACAGATTTTAAAACACTTGTAAACTATTCTAAAGCGGGACATGCTGAAATCATTAATCAAATTTCAACACCGAGAGTACTTCATTATTTTATGCTACACTTGATAGAAGAAATGAATCACTGTGCAAATGATGTTAAGGAACCATTTATAGCGACAAAGGAAAACATTTATACTGCTTATGAAACCGCAGCTAAATCTACTTTTAAGGTTCACTTTATTAATAAATAAAAACACATGATCATAATCTATTATCATACCTTGACTTTATGAACATTAATTTATTGAGTATGAATAGTATTAATCAATATTCTATTCATTAACCATTTCTCATCTGCGATTAAAAAGAAACCTTTTTCCTTAATAGTTTTTGTTAACATAATTTTTTTTTGTAAAATAAATATGTGACAGATTTGCTTTCTAAACGAGGACTGTGGGTGAGAGGAAGAAGAGGAATGTAGAAACCTCTAGTGCATCGTTAATACCCGTCATCGGACTTAAACACTTCAAAGAGCGTGGGTGTTGATGTGCGGGTGTTAGCGTGGGTGCGAGGATGGTTGAGGGTGGGTGAGTGTGAGTGCGGGTTAGAGATGTGCAGGGTACCCTTACCCTCTCCTACCCTACCCTACCCTGCAGGGTAGGGTCAGGGTACGATAAATGGTGGAGATAGTAGGGTAGGGTAAGGGTAAGTTTTTTTTAACTAGATATATCACTATAGAACGACATCTTTCTCTTGCATATATTAATTTTCTTTAAAATAGAAACGCACAAATATACTAGATAAAAGAAAAAAAAATCAAAAGACAGATCCCAATATAATTGCCTGTTTATATACTTTCTCGCACAAAATTCCTTTATTCATTATTTATAATACTAAATGTTTTTTGAAAAATTAAATATTTTTGCCTGTATGAATATGTCTACAAAATCTCCTCGAGCTCACATTAAACAAAAAAAAGCAGTAATTCGTCAACTGAAAGAAGGAACTTTAACCACAACAAAAGAGCGAAAGAGTTTTCGGTGCTAGTAGTCGAATATTAGAAGAAAGAAGACAAAATTTAAACGAAGATGCTGTGAACGATATTTTGTTATTAAGAAATTTCAGAAAATGTATTGAATAGTCAAAAGTTATTATTATTTGGAAATAAAATGAAAAAAGCTATTTATCATACGTACTTATTCTTTGATTAAAAAATTTCAATTAGTAGGGTAGGGTAGGGTAGGGTAATGATTTAAATAGCATAGGGTAGGGTAGGGTCAGGGTACGATAAATCGTGGAGATAGTAGGGTAGGGTAGGGTCAGGGTAAAAGAAATTTTCATAGGGTAGGGTCAGGGTATGAAAAATGCTTACCCTGCACATCTCTAGTGCGGGTATATGAAGACGGGTATTATAGTCATTCTACATCCACATTCATACCCACCCATCCCGCGCCCATATCCACACCCGCCCTCAAGATGATTGGATGACAAACGATCCCGACGAATCCTAGATGGTGGAAAGCTCTACTTTCCATTCTACTATGTTATCCGTTCTATAAACTCCGTTTTCCATCATCGTTGAGTGATGTCATAATCCCATTACCCCGGGTATTCTACTACAAACACGTCGCTTACAAAGTTACCCCGCTAGGGTATCGTGCAACCACCTCGTTACCCAAATGAACTATAAGTAAAAAGCTGAGGAATATGAATTGATTTGGAGTAACCAGCTCGTTACCCCAAAAAGAAGTATATGTGAAAAAGCTGAGGAATATGAGTTGATTTGGAGTAACCACCTCGTTACCCCAAAAAGAAGTATATGTGAAAAAGCTGAGGAATACGAGTTGATTTGGAGTAACCAGCTCGTTACCCCAATGATGTATATGTGAAAAAGCTGAGGAATATGAGTTGATTTGGAGTAACTAGCTCGTTACCCCAAAAAGAAGTATATGTGAAAAGCCGAGGAATATGCGTGGATTTGGTGCATTAACGTTTGGATAACGATATTGTCTCTTAGATTGATTTGCTTATTTCGCGAAACTGTCATGAATAACCATGTATGTTAGAGGTGAATTGTGAAAAGGATTATTGCTATTGATCTTTCCGGCAGCTAAAGTGACTATGGCGCTTCAGTTCAATTAATTTGGATTTTGTAGATGAAATAGGATTGATTGAAATCTGCCTTTCGTTAGTCGTTTTGTCGAGATATTGCGGCCGATGCACCGCTTTTGAACACCTTCAATTGTTTCGTTGCCTACAGGTCTGGCTTCCCGAACACCCACACTTGTTGCTTTGCCCACTGGCCTGGCTTTCCGAGCACCC